TCATCATCATGATCATCATCATCATCATGATCACGATGATGATCATCATCATCATCATCATCATCATCATGATCATCATCATGATCATGATCATCATCATCATCATGATCATGATGATGATGATCATCATCATCATCATCATCATCATCATCATCATCATCCTCGTCCTCCTCTTTTTGTCCTCGTCTGTCTGCTTCTCCTCATCCTCGCGCATCCCTCCTGCCCCTCCCTCCTTCTCCACATCACCCATCTCTGCTTGGCTCGCCCACGCACCTTCCTGCGCCGCTCCGTCGTCTCTCTCTCCATCAGCGGCGACACGCTCCTCGCCTCCCCTCCCCCATCCCCCTCCTCTCGCTTCCCACCCCTAAGATGAAGCCAGACGAGGATAAGTTCAGGTGGGGTACTACGCCACGAAAATCTATAGACAAAGACCCTCCGACGGACTTTGCACGTATATACTTCCAGGGAGGGCGGCGGTGTATACAGTCGCTGGCTCTCAGTGGTGATTTCTACACCGCCACCCTTCCATGAGGCCCAGGAGCAATCCATTGGAGGGTGTCGGTGTTTTTCATGTGGCGGACATAAATCGAGACCCTCTGAGATCCAGCGGCTCTGGAGGAGGTGTCGGGCACCGCGGCCTTGTCAAAGCGTTCCGGGACGCTGCGAGAGCGTTCCCGAAGACCCTGAAACGGATTTATCTTCGACCTAGACCCGTCTGACCCTTTCCGACCCTCCCCCCTGCCCCACTGCCTCACTCTGCCTGCTTCCGCCTGGCGGCTTCTGTCTTTCACCCTCCCTGACCTTCCCTCCCTCCCGGAACCCACCGTCGCTGCCTATCTCCTCTCTTTTTCCTCTCCGCCCCTCCTTCACCTAAGTGTTCCACCTTACCCTCCACCTCCGCAGCGAAAATGGCTGCCTGTCGATCAACAGCCGAGCAGATCATCATGCCGGATCACAGCGCGCTGGGTTAAGGCTTGGCGGTTGGCTTGCCTGAGGTGTGTTCTCCGGCAGCTGCTGTATCTTCTCCACGACACCCTGGAAGCAGACGACAAGTTGCTGCTGGTACTGCTGGACGCCGACATGCAGACAGGCGATCTCGTTCAAGCACTTTGCGCACTCTATCCTCGGAACGCTGGTGGAAGGCGCAGAGACCGTCGTAGTAACACGGCCAACGATGATAACAATCGATGCAACTGTGCTTGTTACATCACGCAATCCACATTGATACTTAATTGTATAAAGTACGTGCGGCTATGGTGGGTGAGGTGTGCAGACCGCATTGAAAGGGAGGGGCTGGCGAATGGCAGGATAATCATGCAGAGACTGAGATTGAAGAAACGGAGGTGAACGAGGCGGATAATAATGACGATGCGGAGCACGAGTTGAAACGATAATGAGGCACATGACGAGAAGTACAAGTTAATGATGAATACACCAAGATGATGTGGAGGAAGCAAGGACAAGCACGATGACGGCGGGGAATACATTACACGCTCCGCTACCGATCCCCTGCGCCTGGCTGGCTCCCCGCCCTGATGTTTGGACATCAGAGGCCACGCTGAGCTGCACGCGCGAGCGACTTCCAGTTCACCCCCCCTCCGCCTCCTCCTCCTCCCCCTCATCACCATCTTCCCTTCAGGGACTGAAGGTCCCCAGGGGGCGTCCCCCTCCTAGTCCTCCTCCTCCTCCTCCTCCTCCTCGGCGATTCTTCTCCTCTCCTCAAGAAGCCACCCCTGGGGCTCACCAAAGGTGCGTTCCAACCAGGACGCCGAGGCGGATCCAGCCGCGGCGACGAGGGAACTCCTGAAGACGCAGAAAGATGAACAACGTCAACCATAGTTACTCTCGACAATCGACCCCTCCTCGTCCTCCTTTTCCTCCTCCTCCTCCTCCTCCTCCTCCCCCTCCTCCCGGGGGCGGAAACTCTCCGAGCCGAAACCCCTGACGTCATTATTTCTGAGAGAGCGTAATCCACCGCCGCTGTACTGTGGAAAATCCCCCCCCCCCTTCCTCCGGAACCCGGGATCCCCCCCCCCCTTTCCGAATATCCCCCCCCTCCTGCTGCCCCCCCCCCCTTCCCCTTCCCCCGCCCCCCCCCCCCCGCGCGCGGGTCACTTTACAACCAGAAGCGCACTTTACAACCAGATGGGTCACTTTACAACCAGCTTACAAAATCCGAGAAGGGCACCTTGCAACCAGGAAGGGCACTTTGCAACCAGGCAAGTGGAAACGCATATTGAATGCACGCGGGCCTTTCCCTGAAATCTCCGTGGGCAAGCGCCAGGGTGGCTTCGGGCTCTCTGGGGCATGTCGGTTGTAAAGTTGCCCATCGCGCACGAACAAGCACTGCGCGCGCGTTGGTGATGCGACGACCTGGTGCGATATGGTTTGTTGCGTGCTGGTGGGCGGATTATGGTATTGACCTGCTCTCTAAGCTCTGTCGGTCAGTTCTGCCATTGCTTGCTCTGCCTTTTTCTGACGGATGAAGGCTACTCGCGCAGGACATACGAATAAACCATGATCCTGTCCAAGACTGGAGCTGCATGGCATGTGGTGGTAGCGGGGGCTACAATGGGAACTGCGCGGCGTTGGGAAGCTGCGGTGGCAACTGTGGTGTTCGCCAGGCAGCGGTGGGAACTGTGGTGGTAGCTGGGCTGCAACGGGATATGCGGTGGTAGCGGGGGGTCAGTCAGTATTGTGGAGGTAGCGGGGCTGCAGCGGTAAGTGCGGTGGTGGCAGGGTTGCAATGGAAACTGCAGTTGAAAGGGGTTCAATTCGAGGCCGTTGGTGAAGACCCCGGCCACTGTCTTGAACATGGCGGTGACCGCGGAGGTGGACACGCCCCAGTAGGTAGACATGGAAGTAAGGCAAGTCAAAGGAGAACGCGCCCAGCGGGAATGGAAACCGACCTTGCCGAAACCGCAGCCGTCGAGCCCTAACCCAGAACGCGGAAAGTGCGGAACCTCGCGTGAGACCAAAGGAAAGCGGCAGGCACGACAGGAGGTGGTGAAGCGCCGCCGCTCAGCTGGAGGGCCAGCGCCTTCGGGAGAGAGGGGGGGAGGGATAGAGGGAAGGAGGAGGAGAGAGGGAGGAGGAGGGGACGAGAGAGGGAGGAGGAGGAGGACGGACAGGAGGGGGGGGCGGACAGAAAGAGGAAGGGAAGGAGGAGGAAAAAACGAGGCGAAGGTGAAGGAGGAGGACGAGGCGTTTCTCCTGCCCCTTTTGTTGTTCCACCTCCTCCTGGTCCTGTTCCTGCTCCTTCCCCTCCTCGTCCTCCTCTTCCTTCTCCTCCTCCTCCTCCTCCTCCTCCTCCTCCTCCTCCTCCTCCTCCTCCCCCTCCTCCTCCTCTTCCTCCTCATCCCACTCCTCCCCCTCCTCATCCAGATCATGTTATCCCTTTGCTTCCCCTGTCTTCTTCCTCGGCCTTTTCCGCCTCCTCCTCCTCCTCCTCCTCCTCCTCCTCCTCCTCCTCGTCATCCTTCTCTTCCGTAGCTGGGATAGGAAGGAGGCCGTCCTCCCCCCTTCCTCCTTCTCCTCCTCCTCCTTTTCATCCTCGTCATCCTCCTCCTCGTCATCCTCCTCCTCCTCCTCCTCCTCCTCCGCATCCTCCTCCTCCTGATCTTCAACCTCATCCTCCTCGTCCCGCTCCTCCCCCGCCTCATCCTGATCATGTTATCATGTGGTTTCTTATGTGTTCTTCCTCGACCGCCTCCGCTTCCTCGTCCTCCTCCTCCTCCTCCTCCTCCTCCTCCTCCTCCTCCTCCTCCTCCTCTTCCTCCTCCTGCTGATACTCCTCCTGCGCGTCCTCCTGCTCGTCCTACCCCTGCTCCAGCTCGCCGTCGTCGTCGCCGTCCTCCTCCTACTACTCGTCCGCGTTCTCCTCCTCCATCCTTTTCGGCTTCCCCATCATGACCGGCTGCACGCCGCAGGGAGGGGTCGGCGCTGCCAGATTACACCGCCGACGCGCGCAGACAGCGCAGGGTAACGAACCATTCGGTCCTCCATCACCATCATCGCCATTACCATCACCATCACAATCATCACCATCATCATCATCAGTATCATCATCATCAGCATCATCGCCATCATCATCACCATCAACACCGTCGCCACCATTGTCATCAGCCGCATCATCTCCAGCATCAGCACCAACATCATCAGCAGCCTCAGCGATCATCATCATCAACATCATCAGCATCAGCAGCAGCACCGCCAGCATCATCATCATCATCACCATTATCATCATCATCTTCGTCATCATCATCAGCATCATCATCATCATCCTCATCGTCGTATTCCTCTTCCTCCGCCTCCGTCCTCATCATGAGGTGGCGGTGCTGCGCTGTCACGGTGGCTCAAGCTGCTGCGCTGGCACGGTGGCTGAGGCTGCTGCCCGAGCAGGATACCTGCGTTGCTGCGCTGGCACTGTGGCTGACGCTGGAAGGAACGATCTTCAAAATAATTTCATTTATTCGGAACGTTGAACCTGGATCTTCCAAGAAGAGGAGCAGCAGGGGGCCAACTGGAGCTGGAGCACTTAGCCCCTTGCAGAACACCGTGGGGCTTCAGGGGCCAACGTGGCCCAAGAGACCCGCGGTGCCAATGGCCTAGTTCCCTGGAGCGCTGGGCCCTTGTGGAGGCCACTGGGCTCGCTTCCTGTGAGTGATCTCTAACATGGGCAGCGCGTCGCCCTGAGCCTTCCTACGTATGCTGTCGCCTTATTCCCGTGCGAGCATTGGGCCCTTGTTGAGGCCGCTTGGCCCCTGCTGGCAAACCCTGTCTTAGTCTGCTCGGCTCAGAGCGCCAGAGCGTTCAGGCGCTCGGGCTCAGAGGCGTCGCTGGGGCCTGCTCGGGCTCAGAGGCATCGCTGGGGCCTGCGCAGAGCGTTCAAGCGCTCGGGCTCAGAGCGTCCGCGCGCCCTGGAGCACTTTTGGGAGCGCCCACTTGCTCCTGAGCATTTTTCAGAGCGCCCACTTGCTCTGAAGCACTTTGCGGAACGCCCAAACACGCACGGCCACTCTGAGCTGGTTTTAAAGTGGTCCGTTCTGGTTGTAAAGTGGCCCGTTCTGGTTGTAAAGTGGGCCGTTCTGGTTGCAAAGTGGGCCGTTCTGGTTACAAAGTGGACGGTCTCGATGAAAAACCATACTTTCCAATCCTATGTTGGGTGTAAAGTAACCCATCTGGTTGTAAAGTGGTTGTTCTGGTTGTAAAGAGACCGAATCTCCCCCCCCCTCCCCTAACCCCCCCCTCCCCTCCAGAAGACCGGGGAGGGTCACTACCGCTTCGAACCCCCCCCCGTCCCAGAAAACTAGAGGAAGGTCACTACCGGTTCGAACCGCCCCCCCTCTCCAGAAAACCGGGGGGGTCACTACCGGTTCGACCCCCCCCCCCCCTCCTCGAAAACCGAAGGGGGCCACTAACGGTTCGAACCCCCCCTCCCCCCCCAACAAAAAAACGACGGGGGGGTCACTACCGGTTCGACCCCCCCCTCGAAAACCAGGGGGGTCACTACCAGTTCGAACCCCTCCCCCTCCTTCACCGGGCCGGTCGCCGCCAGCAAACGACTCCCGGTCCCTACCACTGTCCGCACCACATCCCCGACTGCTGTTCCCAGCACCACTGTCCTCACCACCAGTCCCCACTGGTTCCACCACCGTCCCGACTGTCCCCACCATGGCCCCCACCACTGTCGCACTGTCCCCACTGTCCCCACCACTGTTCCCACCACGGTTGCACTCTCCTCCCTTTCTCCACGGCCCCAACCACTGCCCGACTGTCCCCACTGCCCCCGCTGTCCCACTGTCTCCTCCGCTGTCCCACTGAGCTGTCCCACTGTTCCCATTGTCCCCACTGTCCCCACCACTGTCCCCACTGTACCTCTGTCCCATTGTCCCACTGCCGTCCTCGCCACCGCCCTCACCACTGTCCCCACCACCACTGTACCCTCCACTGTCCCACTGTTTCCACCACATTCCCACTGTCCCCACACCACTGTCCCCACCACCACCGTCCCCACCACTGTCCCATCAGTGCCCCCACCAGTGCGTCAATGTCCCCACTCTCCGCACCATTGTCCCACCACGGTCCCACTCTCCCCACTTTCCCCACGGTCCCCACCACTGTCTCACTGTCCCACTGTCCCACTGTCCCCGCCGCTGTCCCACTGTGCTGTCCCAGCGTCCCCACTGTCCCCATCACTGTCCCACTGTCACCACTGTCCCCACCACTTTCCCCACTGTGCTACTGTTTCACCACTGTCCTCACCACCGCCTTCACCACTGTCCCCACCACTACCGTCCCCACCATTGTCCCACTGTTCCCACCACTGTCCCACTGTCTGCTCACCACTGTCCCCACCACTGTCCGCAGCCCCCCCTCGGTTTTCGCGGGGGGGGGGTTCGAACCGGTAGTGCCCCCCCCCGGTTTTCGAGGGGGGGGTTCGAACCGGCAGTGACCCCCCCCCCCATTTTCATGATGGAGTGGGGGGGGAGAGGGGTTCGAACCGGTAGTGGCCCCCTCTGGTTTTCCCGAGAGGGGGGGGGGAGGGGAGGTTCGAACCGGTAGTGACCCCCCCCCAGTTTCCCGCCAGCAGCGGTAGAACACGCTCTTTCTACTTTTTCCATCGCGTCGAACCCAGAGGTCTCGCCCCATTCTTCGTGACCAGTTTTTCATCCTGAGTCGTTCTTCGACGGTCCCGAGGTCCAGAGAGGGCCCACGAAGGACGAGAATACCAAACAAAACCCGTCGTGTTTTTTTCAGGTCTCGAGGGGGTCTAGGGGGGGGTGTCAGGAGATAAACGAAGGGGAGTCGCGCAAGGGGCGCGGGCGCGGAGGTCTCCTGTACTCCAGGGGGTCCCAGAAGTGCACCAGCAGCGTCTGGATCAGGTCCTGCGCTCCCCTCGGCGGCGAGAGAGGGGGGTAAGTGAGAAGGGGAAGGCCCTCTCAGAAGGCGGCGGGACTTCTCGGAACCCCTCGCGCCTTCTGAGATGTTTCTTGTTCTGTCTCCTGGGAAGGCTTGGAACACTTTTCAGCAGTCGCCCACATGGATTAGCGATCCATGGATTTGGCGCGCGGTCGCCAGATCCATGGATCGGGGGAAGTGCCCTCCCCCAAAGGCGGCTGGTGCCGCCTCGTTCGGCGGCGGAAATCCGCGATTCCCCGTGGAAACGAAACCCGTCGCTAATCCACACACCCCTGATCCACGTTTGCGATCGCCTGAAGCAGGCTGGGGGACCTTCGAGCCTTCTGAGCCTTCTGAGAAGGCCTTCCTCTTCTCGCTTCCCCCCCTCGCTCACCGCCGATCTCCGGCGGCGGGCCGCGGGGCCGCGCCTCCACGACTGGCCTCCCAGCCGGAGGGGAGGATCGCGCACCAGAGTTCGAGGAGGGAGGCTCTTCACAGACCCCCTCGGGTCAGGAACAAGAACACGACGCTTTTGTTGTTGTTGTTGTTATTTTCGGTTTCTGGGGGACCTTACCCGGTCTCGGGACCGTCAAGAAACGACTCAGGAGGAAGAGCCGGTCCCGGGGAATAGTTCGAGACCTCTGGGTGTCGACATCCTGAAAAATCATGACGTCGGGGATCTGGGTTGATTGCTTTTGGTACTCGCCTCGGTGCAATTGCGGAGATCCCTGGAGATGCTCCCTGACTCGTTAATCAGCCCAATGGGAAGGATCTGGCATGGCCTTCGTTTCTTGGTGGCTCTGGGCGGTGTTGAGGTTTCTGGGGGATGTTCTATGTGCCTCTCGTGTTCTCTTATCGGATTTCAGCGGGAAGGGGGAGGACTATAACCTGAGTAAACCCAAAATGTCTCAACGATACAACATACAACATACGATCCTCCCCACTCTTTCGACGTCCCTACGAACAGCCGTGTACACTCTGAGAAAAGCCCCCTTGAAAGACGAAGGCCTATGGGACCACCATTCAAGCGAGAACTCCGTTAGGAACAAAAACAACCTCAATTAGTGTAACCAGTGTGACAAGGCTGCACTACCAATCGGAAACAAGCGAGATCCCCATATTGAAAAGGAACCGCCCTCCACGCGTGGTCCTGATGTTCTTCAAGCCGAATGTGCGCGGCACTGTGGCGAGAACCACATCTTGCACTTGTGCCGCCCTCCATCCGTGTAACCGTTGCAAAGCATTCACAGCCAGTGTGCGTGGCGCCACAATGACAGCCGCGGTTTCAGGACGGCACCGCGAGGTGGAAGAAGGTGCTCGCCCGACGTCGTTTTCTTCGCCGGCGGCGCTGTCCAGCGCCTCTGGCGACCCCGCATCGACGCCGACGTCCAGCCCAGCGAGGCTCAGGCCGTGGGCCGCGAGGCAGCCGCACATGTCCTCCGGCACCGGGGCGACAATCTCCAGCGGCCCGTGGGTGGAGGGGTGCACGACCCGCAGCCGCCAGGCGTGCAGCGCCACGCGCCCGATGCCAGACGAGAAAACAGCGGCACTCGAGTAGGGGATCGACTGCAGAATTGGTTTACCCCAGACTTGACAACTCTCGTGGAATCCACGGGGAATTCGTAAACCCTCGTAGAACTACGAACATTCTAAGTACAGTAGTTGAAGATTTGGTGTGGAAAGAAATGCTGGGGTAAATCAATTCTGTAGTCGATCCCCTACTCGAGACACCAGCACAGACTTTCGTAGCTTCGCGCGGGATTTCTTGGATCGACGCTGGGCCCCCCTCCCCCTGGCGCGCGGGGAGCGCGCCGCCCTGCGGCGCCGGAGGCGCCGACCTGAGAGATCCGCGCGGGGCTCCGAAAGTCTGTCCTGTGCCGCGTGCTTCTTCCTCGAGATGCGCGCCGAGTCCGCGCTCCCGTCCCCTCCGTAGAGCGCGTCGCCCAGCAGCGGCAGGCCGCGGTGCGCGGCGTGCACGCGGATCTGGTGCGTACGCCCCGACTCCACGAGCTCCGCGGACACGGCGGCGGCGCTGCCCGACCGCGCCAGCACGCGGAAACGGGTCCGCGCACTCTGCCCGCCAGGGTCCACCGTCCGCTGCACGTCGTCGGCAAGGTCGGAGCCGCGACCGATGGGGGCGTCGACCTCCAGCTCGTCCCCCTCTGAGAGCCCCTGGGCCGCCGTGCCCGGCCGGACCCGCACGACCGCCAGGTACACCTTGGAGCAGTCCTGCGTGTGCCAGGCGGCCTGCAGGCTCGCGGCCGCATCCGCCGTCTTCTCGGGGGTTGCTGCAGGTGCCCCTGGCCTCTCGGGGGGGCCCCAGCTTCTCGCTCAATTCTGGAGCCCCTGCCCTCGCGAGGGGTGCTCTGGAGGCCGTGGGGGCCTCCTTGGAAATCCTGGGGGCACATTGGACCAGGGGCGCCTCGAGCAACACCCGATCTTTGTGCACAGGAACACGCCGCTGGTGTTCTGGTCCAGCCGGTGGATGATGTATCGAGTAGGGGATAGACGACAAAAAATGATGTACCCAAACATGAAACTGTTCGTCGAATCTACGAGAAACAGCAGAATGCTCCGTCCATCTGTGAGCCAGATCTGCAAACTTGCCATACACTCGACGATAGAATCAAGTCTGGGGTGACTCAATTCTGTAGCCGATCCCCTACTCGACATGTATGGCGGCGGGGCGCCCTCGGCGGGGCGTAGGTAGCCCACCAGCATGTTCGTCAGGGACTTGCCGCAGAACCGGTGCACGGGGTTGGTCCGCAAATAGGGCGGCTTGGCCACCGCAAGCAACTGCCCGTCCTCTCGGGGCTCGTCAGGAAGACGGGTGTCAATGCAAACGCGGGTCAGTCAGAGCGCCGGACCTTGCAGGACCCTGCAGAGTCAGGGGTGCACTGACCCGGGGTGTGGGTGCAGGATGCTGCAGGATATCCTGCAGGATCCGGCAGGCTCCTGCAAAACCTGACTGACCTGGGTCTGGGTTTACCCAGATCAGTAGATCCCCGATCCAGGGCTCGACCAAAACAATGATTTTCGTTTTCGTCTTGTTTTCGTTTTCCCTGGTTCTGCATCCCATCCGCCTTTTTGCTGCAAAACGAGGTCAAAACGAAAACGGCCCACGAAATCGCCAGAACACCGTTCGGGTCGAGCCCGGGGCCCTGTCCCGGTCCTCAAAGATCACCTCCAGCCCAGAGGGGTCGTCGGCGACCAGCGGGATGCTGTTCATCGCGGTTCGGATCAGCACCTGCGCCGTCTGCGGGTTCTTCGCATACTTACCGCCCAGCGCCTGCCCGACCTCCGAGGGGGACCGGCGCTCGCCGCCGCGATCGAGGCCGAAGCGAAGCTCCAGGGCGCGTCTCTGGAGGAGCAACAAGCTGCAGGAGCATGAGCTGTCGGAGGTCCGTGCGGATTTTCTGGGTCGGCGCTGGAAGGCTCGACCTAAACAATGTTTTCCGTGTTCGTTTTGGTGTCGTTTTCCCTCGTGCTGCAAGACGACATCAAACCGAAAAGGGCCCACGAGATTGCTAAAACACCGTTTGGGTCGAGCCCTGCGGCGCTGGATCACCCTCCCTGGCGCGCTCCGCGCGCCAGGCGCCGCAGGCGCCGCCGGGGTGCTCCAGCGCCGACCCAACAAATCCGCGCGGGCCTCCGAAAGTTTATGCTTATGCCAGTTTTTGTTCCCCGCGTCTCTGCATCGGGTCGGCCAGCTGCGCGAAGGACCTTCGCGCCGCCTCGGCCACCTCCTCCGAGTCCAGCCAGTCGTCTGGGCTCTGGGCTTTGCGCAGGCTGGCCGTGGCCTGCGGGTCGTCGCAGCGCTGCAGCCTCTCGGGGCAGCAGCGCCGCATGTGCTTCTGGACGTTGGGGAAGGTGCTGTTGCAGCCCGGGCACAGGCCGCCCTTGGCAGACTTCAGGGCGGCCACCGCCTGGCACCGGCGCATGTGCCGCACGACCTACGCCACGGACGAAATATTCACAGCCACCCTCCGAAGAACTTTGCATGCTCCTTCAGGGAGGGCGGCAAGGAGGGTGTATGTGTCAATTGTCTGTGCCGCGCGACCTGCGAGAAGGTGTTGTTGCACCCGGGGCACTTGCCGCCGTGCTCCCTCTCTTCGCTGGGCGCGGCTTGGGACCCCTGTGCCGCAGGCTGCGGCGTGCTGCTGGGCGTTGCCCAACGGGGGGTCGCGAGACATGAGAAGGGGAAGAAACATGCACCTGCCGTGCCCCTTTTGGGACCCAGAGGGCTCCTCTGGGGCCCACGAGGCTCACGAAAGGTGCACCTTTGTTCACCCCTTCCCCATTCCCAGACACCCGACGTCATGAGCTTTTCACAACGTAGGCCCCCAGAGGTCTCGACCCAATCCACCGGACAGGCTATTCCTCCTCAGCCGTTTCTTTGTCCGAGGCAAGGGGCTTGTAGAGAATGCGCTCTGCCAAACGAGACCTGGGCGGTCTCACGCCTCATACTCCTCCTCATCGTCTTCCTCCTCCTCCTTCCTCCCCCTCCTCCAGCATCGTGACACAGATGAGGGGATCTTGCCGGAGGGCACCTTGACAGTCTGAGGGTATTGTGGAGGACAACCGATGGACAGGAAACAGATGACCCACCGAGCATGGTCCTTGGAGTTTCCGCCCATTGCCAAGAGGCGAGGGACTGGACTTTCGAGGACCATGCTCGGGGGCGGGGGGGGTTCGCTCGCTCTCTCTCTCTCTCTCTCTCTTTCTTTGTCTCTCTCTCTCTCTCTCTTTCACTCTCTCAATCTCTCTATCTTTCTCTCTCTTTCCCTCCCTCTCCCTCTCCCTCTCCCACTTTGCTCTCGCCTCACACAGGATCCCCCCAGTAAGGGCCTCTGCTTGAATGATGCCTTACGACCACTTCCTTGAGTAAGGATTCGGAACCCTTTGGTAATGAGTCTGTCGGCAGGAGGAAATGGGTGGGAGGCCCAGCTGCTCGCCCACACATCTCACAACACAGAGGGGGGGGGGGCGTGGCAGGAGGAGATGTTAGCTTTCTCTAATTCCCTTTCTGTCTCTAGCGTTCTCTCTCTCTCTCTCTTTATCTTTCGATCTCTCTGTCTCATATGGTTGTATTATCTCTCTTTCTCTCTTTCTTGTTATCCCTTATTCCTGGTTCACATTCACTCAACGCCCAGCCGATGAAACCTCAATGGGACGCCATGCGAACGCCTCCGCTGGGGCCATTGCTAGAACTCCTCAATACGGATGCCTCTAACAAGGGCCCGTCGAAACTACTCTGTTTATTAAACGCTCCTTAGCATGGATGTGTAATGTTGTCTGCATCAAGTGAGCCTGAAGGGGGTTCCGTTTAGCGAGTTGTGTTGTCAGTGCGGGTGCCTTTTGGTAAGCATTCGTCAGTAGGGTTGCCTTCAGCAAGGGGCCAGCATCCAGGACCCTGTAGTGAGGAATACGTAGTGGGAATGTCTCTGGCAAGGGTCCCCCCAAGAAGAATCCCTGTCGCACGGGTTCACCGCCCACGCTTTCAGCTGCGTCCGTTGACATGGGTTACTTCAGAAAACGGCCTTTAGTCATGGGGCCCGCAGTAGGGACGCGTGCAGTGCGGCGCCTTTTGCGTGGATGCATGTCGTGAAGGTGACTTCAGTAAAGGTCCCGGAGGTAGCCATTCCTTCCTGCAACCCCTCTTAACGCGGATTTCGTAATACGGGTGATGCGTGGTCGCTTGACGGCAGGTTATTTGAACACGGATGCCTTTAGTAAAGGATACTTCGTGTTGCGTGTGTTGAACGTGTGTTTAACAATGCCATCATCAGCGAAGATGCCCGTAATAGTGACCCCAAAGCTGAATGCCCCTATCGCAAAGAGTCGTGCCACTTTCTTTAGCACGGCCCCCGTATGCGTGCAAGGAGCCCGTTTGGTAAGGAGCCCTTAAACAGGAAAAAGTGTGAGGGGGCCAGGTTGCCCTCCCACACAACCCACAACGGAGAGGGGGTAAAACATAATAGGAAATGTCTGCTTGCGCTCTCTCTCTCTCTCTCTCTTTCTCCCCCCCTCCCCCACTCACATTCGCGCATAGCCCAGAAACCATCACTTATGGGACGCAATGCGAAAAACTCCTCGGGGGGCCACTGCTAGGGATCTGTGGTAGGGATGCTTGTAGCAAGGTGCTTTTCGTGAGCATTCCGTTTGGTGCGTGGTCTTTGGCAAAAGCAAGTCTAATAAACAAAACCATTCATAAGCATGCCTGAGCCAGGGGAACCTAAGGAACGACGCCTTCTTTTAGCGAGGTGTCCGTTGCGAAGATGTTTTGGGTTAGCGTTCGTCAGTACGGGTGCCTTTTTAGTAAGGCACCCTTGGTGGGGATCCATGCAGTGAAACATCCTTGATGAAGATGTGTTGAGCAAGGAATCGCCATCAGAACAAAAAATGGCAATAACAACGTGAGCACCCTACAATACGGAGGGGACGGGGGGTGGTAGAGCGAGGAAGGAGGAGAAACGAGGAGGAGGAGAAGAGGGAGGAAGGGGGGTTAGGGGGAGTAGGGAGGAGGAAAGAGAGGAGGTGGTGGTGTGTGCGCACGTGTGCGTGTGAGGTTTGCTTTTGTCGGTGTGTGTGTGTGTGTGTGTGTGAGTGTGTGTGTGTGTGTGTGTTTGCGCGCGCGTGTGTGTGTGTGTGTGGGTGGGTGCGCGCGTGCGTGTGTCTGTGTGTGTCTGCGTGTGTCTGTGTGTGTGTGTCTGTGTGTGTGTGTGTCTGTGTCTGTGTCTGTGTCTGTGTCTGTGTCAATGTGTGTGTGTGGGGGGGTGGTGGGTGGGTGGGTGGGTGGGTGGTGGGTGGGTGGTTGGTGGGTGGGTGGGGGGGGGGGGCGCGCGCGCGCGCGTCCGCGTGTGCGCGCGTGCGGGGGGGGGGGGGGGGGATTGATCCTCTCCCCCCGTCCCCCACCGAAGATTGTGGCCCCCGGAGGAGAACTTGGAAATGCGACCCTTCTCTCTTCAGACCGACCGTGTCCAAGATAGCCCCAGAGGGCTCTCCAAAGCCCCCAAGCGGTGGTCAAAAGAGCCCCAAGAGCGAACAAGAAGTGACCGAGAAACCCCGAAGAGGCCTCCAATAAGTGCCCGAGACGCACCCCGCAGGCGTCCGCCTTGCTTTTTGCGCAAACTTTTCCTGCATCCACGTCGCCCCCCCTCGCTGCGAGAAGCTTCCCCGCTCGCCCTTGATGCCCGCGCTGCTTGACTATATGCGTGCCTCTTTCTTTCCCCCCCGGCCAGCTACCGTGAGCATCGTCTTTCGGTGACCTGGATAGCAAGACAAGGCCAGATACAAGTGCAGGAAACGCACGCGCACACGGGCGCGCACACGCACACGCGCACAGGCGCGTATATACACGCACACGCACGCGCGCACGCACCCGCACGCAAACACGAATACGCACTTTTTGCGCTGGCAGCTGGGCAGAAGGTGAGTGCTCTGGCGGAATGGCAACACGGGACGCGCTGCATGCAAATTTAAAGCCGCACTGCACGGAGGAATAGAACGAGGAACCCCGGCGCGACAGAGGGAGAGGAAGCCGGGCCACTCAGAGCTGCCGAGTGCGGCGGGGAGAGCGCCGAGGTGGGAGACCAGCGCCGGCATTGAGCTGCACTGATCTACACTGAGCTGAAGTTGGGGGGGAGGCAGCACTGTGCTGCAACTGGTGATGGAGAAATGCAGCGTAGCGGACCCCGACCTGGCCCAAGGCGCGGTCCAAAGATGGGCCGAGCGCCGAGACCAGCGGGCCAGCGAGGCGCGTGCAGGGAGAGGCCCAGGCAGGGGAGAGCAGGCGGGGAGAAGCCAGCGCGCTGAGCTGCACTGAGCTGCACAGAGCTGCGCTAAACTGAGTTGGGCAGCACAGAGCTGCAAAGCAGAAGCTGGGGGAACGCGCGGCCCAGCTGACTGAGCGGCAAAAGAGGCCTCGGGAGCGCCAGCACGGCCCGGCGAACCGCCAGGTGCGGCCCAGAGGGCAGCTGACGCACCGAGACCGGGAGGCCTCGAGGCGTGCATTGAGCTGAGCAGGGCGAGGGGGGGGGGGGGGGGGGCAAACGGCAACCCCTCAAGCGAGCGCGGCGCTGCGGGCACGAGGAGCAGTGCGGAGCAGCACAGACAGCGAAACGCCGAGGTCCGTGGGCCTGCGAGACGCCACCGCGGGGGAAGGGCTGGGGCGGCACCGCCGGAGAGCGGACCGAGGCGGCCAGGGCGGGGCGACGGACGAGCCGAAGAAGCGGGCGGCCAGGACCTCGACCCGCGCCGACGGGGGGGGGAACCCCGACGCCGGCAGCAGAGGGGAGCGCCGAGACCAGGCGAGGAGGGGCCGCCCAGGGGCGCAGCAGCACCGGGGGCACGGGTTATGTTGCTCCCATCGTGCTTAAAGACCGAATCCCAGAAATAATTTCGAACACCCGGAAAAGTCGAAAGAGTGTCGAAAGAGTGTCGAAACAGTGTCTGTCGGACGAGTGCCTCCCAGGGCCCGATACGTGAAAATCCTGGAGTTTCGGCATTTCTGCTGGTGCTCGAAATTCTTTCTGGTGGTCAAGGCTGAAGTAGGTTGGAACATCATAAGGCACGGGGAGGGGCCCCGCCAAGAGAGAGCGACGAGGCCGGATGCCAACCGGCGGCGGGCAGGCGGGCGGCGCCCAAGGAAGGGCGGCAGGCCAATGCGAGCGGATGAACCCAGGAGCGGAGTCACCCGAGCACCCCGCACGCGGAGAAACGGCAAAGAAACGACCACGGCCAGACACCAGCAGCCGGTGCTGGGCGCACGCGAACACGCGCACGCACACGCACACGCGCGCACACACGCGCACGCGCGCATACACGCACACGCACACTCACGCGCCCACGCGCACGCGCGCGTGCACGCGCGCGTGCACGCGTCACACAAACGCACACACACACACACACACACACACACACACACACACACACACACACACACACACACACACACACACACACACACACACACACACACACACGCAGCACACACACACACACACACACACACACGCAACACAAACACACACACACACGCAGCACACACACACACACGCAGCACACACACACACACGCAACACAAACACAAAAACAGAGAGAGAGAGAGAGAGGACGAAAGCAACGACGAGCGAAGAAAAGGTCCAACAGACCGCTCACTCCACAATCCCCTGTCCTATTTGTGCGACGGTCCCGAGGCACTGTAAGGGCCCCCGGAAGCCGAAGATAACGAAAAGCCATCTGTTGCGACTGTTTCACAACTCGAGGGGTTCCGGGATTCCTGGATCAGAGCGAAACGTAACACCAAGACGACGTACCCCCAATGAGGTGTTGCAGCGGCCACGGTTCCGGCCACGGTGGGCGCCGAAACGCAGCCGCTTTTCGCCGCGAGGTGGGCCCCGAGCCTCCTTCTCCAGGGTGCCTTCGGCCTCCCCTGGGCTCTCGCCCCCCCATTACGCAACGGCCGATGCTGGCGGCGGCCTCCTGGGGCGCGAAGTACTGTGGGGCGAGAAATGGGGGGGGGGGTGCGGGGGCGGCGAGGGCTGCAGCAAAGGGGCCCTCTGGGGCACCCCCAGCGGGGCCTCGAGGGCCCGACAAGCGCACCTCACTCCACTCCCCCCCCCCCTATGTTTAGGTCGGGCCTGTCCCCCTACAGATGGATCTTGGGCGAACAATGAATCATCAAACAATCGTCCCCAGACTTGTTCTTACAATCTTTGAACATTCCTCCCGTGGAGGGACAGGCCCGACTCAACCCCATGTATCGCCCCCCCCCCCCCCACTTGTTCGCGCCCGACCACCTCCTCCTCCTCTGCTCGTGCTGGCGGCTGCCCTGGGCGGGCCAGGGCCCGCCGCCGCAGGGCCGCAGAGGCCGCCCACGCCACGAGGCCCGCGGCCAGCCACGCGCAGAGGCGAGCGCCCCTCGCGGAGAGCGCGGCCACGGCGCGGAGCCACCCCCGCACCGCCTCCTCGGGCATGGCCGGCGTCGGCACGGGCGTCGCCCAAAACTGCGGCCAGCACGGCCACGGGAAGCAGAGGTCGGTGGCGAGCGAGGGGGGGAAGTGAGAAGGAGAGGGCCCTCGCGGAAGGCGGAGGGGGCTTCTCAGAAGCCCCTCGCGCGGTCTGAGAAGTCTCCTATGTCTATGGGGAAGGGGCAGACAACTTCTCAGAAAGCCGGGGGACTTCCGGGTTTCGGGTTTAGGGTCCGCCCCTCTTCACTTCCCCCCCCCCCCGCGTGCCGCCGAAGAGGAGGGAGAGAGAGCAGGGGAGGCCTCCAGGGGGAGGCCTCCAGGTCCGACGCGGTGGACTCAGCACGGCGTGGTGACAGCGCACGACAGATCACTGACCCCACTCTTGCGCAGGATTCCTCAAGCTGGATCGACTCGTGAGGGTCCCAAGGGCAGGCCACAGGGGGGGACGCACCTGGGGGTGAGGAGAAGTACCCCAAATGAGCCCTTCAGGGCCCCTTTTAGAGCCGGCCGAGGCCCCAAAAGGGCGCCGAAGGGCCTCTCCAGGGCCCTGTTCGTCACCCCCCATGTCGGCCACTCCCATAACCATAATACCTATACGACCACCCTTCGGGTGATAAGGAGGTGAGGGGGGGAGGAGGAACCAACGTCTCACTCAATCGATCTCACTATCGATCCCACTATCGATCTCAATATCGATCTCACTCGATCGATCTCACTATCGATCTCATTCGATCGATCCCACTATCGATCGATCTCACTATCCATACCACTACCTATACGACCACCCTTCGGGTGATTGGATACCACTATCGATCTCACTATCGATTTCATGATTCATCTCACTGTCGATATCACTATCGATCCCACGATCGATCGCATTATCGACCTTACCATCGATCTCACTCGAGCGATTTCGTTATCGATCTCACTCGATCGATTTCACTGTCGATCTCACTCTCGATTTCGCTATCGATCCCACTATCAGTCTCACTATCGATATCACTCGATCGATCTCATTCGATCGATCTCACTATCGATCCCACTATCGATCTCACCATCGATCTCACTCGATCGGTCTCACTATCGATTTCACAATCGATCTCACAATCTATCTTACTATCGATCTCACGATCGTCACAATCGATCTCACGATCGATCTTACTATCGGTGTCATTCTCGATCTCACGATCGATCTTACTATCGATCTCACTGTCGATCTCACTACGGGACACCACGGGACAACGACGGGACACCGGCGGGACACCGGCGGGACACCAGCGGGACAATGGCGGGACACCGCGCGCCACCGGTTGCCGGGCGGAGAACCTTTTGGTCCGGCCGCGGCCCAGCCACAGGAGAATTTCCTCCCCCTCGCCCACGCAGCTTCGCCTCGCCCGCACGCGCGGCACGAACACGGAACCGAAATCGACTTCCCGGTAGGGGGGCTCTCCGTTCCACTTCGATCTCACCCCCTCACCTCCGATTACCATCCGCCCGAGAAAGAAGCACCAAATCAGTTTCAATGCCTTTGCTTCCGAGGCTTCTCGGCCTCTCGCCGCCTCGAGGAGCCCCCTAAATGGCCCAACACGGCCCCGAGCGGGCCCCACCCAGCGAGGGCCCGAAACATCGAAGGCGGCCCAAGGCTGCCACAAAGAAGGCCTGCAGACGCCTCCCCCCAGAAAAAACCGCCCAGACGCTTCAATGGTTGTCCAGGGTCGGACGAGAGTCGGGGTCCACCAAAGCGGGGTGGACCCTGAGGGGGGGGGAGAACCGAAAACGGACAATTCACTGATCGACGTGTCAGGGGTTGGGTTTCGGTCCACCCCAGATGCGACAAGAGCTTGCCCTGTGACCTCATCATAAGCCCCTACATTGCCTCCCTCCACATTGCCTGCGAGAAGAATCATTGCCTCCCTCCACATTGCCTCTTCTGGGGGTCCACCAAAGGGGAGGGGGAAATCGATCCGCTAGTGCATCGAATTTCCGAAAAACGATGCTCCCCGCGCTCCCCGATTGTCGACACCTCTCGGGTTCCGGCGGCGGCCGGAGACCTCGTTTTGCATCGTTTTTCTGCGGTTCGATGCGCCGATGAACCGAACTCACACACACCCTGTGGCGGCCCCCCCCTTTGCGAGGTTCCGAGGGAGGGTGGACTGGGAAAAGGGGGGGTACGAAATCTGCTGCATGCAGCCTGTGTTGGCTTACGCGGCCGCTCCTGGCGCAGGGCGGCGGCGGTAGAAAACCAGCTGCATGCAGCTGCTTCGCTAACCACCCCTGTGTCACAGCTCCCCTCTCGTCCGCGCCCAGGACAGCCAAGAGACCGCCGTCGAGCCCCCCACGGGCACCCAGGAAGGCCTCAGAGGAACCTCCAGCACGCACCGCTCTGGGTTCGGATGAGGCTCGCTTTTCCATGAGTCATTTCACGGCTGTTCCTCGAACCTCCTCGTGCACGCAAGCGCTTCTGTGGCCCAAGAAAGGGGGAACCAACAGGTAACGATACCGCTACTCCCCAGACCTCTCCCTGGGTGCGTTCTGACCAGAAATTCGAAGCGAATCCAGCGGTGACGACGAAGGCCTCCCAGGATGCCCCAGAAGGGGAAATCGAGGGCAAGGTAGAGGGGTAGGGGTACCTTCTCCTCCTCTGAAAAAAAGCCTTTCGGCGACCCCACTGCACGAGGGACTGTGTGAGGGGGGCAGCCCCCTTGGAAGGCGGGGGGGGGCTTCTACAAAGGTAAGAGGCCTCTTTAGAAGCTTCCCAGATGGGGTCCGAGCACGGCCGGACCTCGGAGAGAAAAACATCACTCAAAACCATAAGACCCTCCGCGGGCCAAACTGAAGAACACTCGAGGATGCCATCCCCAAGGATGCACAAGGACAAAAACATACGAGAAACATTTGGGTACCCTCCCCGAACCGAGCTCGAACTTACACCTCGGTCCGACCGTAGATGGAATCGGATAATCGCGCCGCATCGTCGGTGCATCGGCGACGCCGGCGTGGAGAAAATGAGGTTTCACATCGAGCCGAATCACCAATGCATCGGTGATGCGGCGCGATCCTGCGACCCCATCTACTCCGACCTCTTCTGGGAGGCCTCGATTATCAGAAGCCCTCCTGGTTTCCAAGAAGCCTGCCTAGGACAGGCAAGACCAGAATCGAATCGATAAGTCGGATCGGCGATCGAAACGAATCGGATCGGTGGAAATCGGCAGCCGAGTCGGGAGCGGTTAAATCGCGGAAATCGGCAGGCTAGCAAGCCTCCAATGAGAATCCAGACTCCGAATTGGAATCCGAGGTCGAATCGGAATCGGAAACCATCGCAATCGGATCGAATCGACTCGGAGGAGTCGAAACGAGCCCCGTAAAAGCCCCGGATGAAGAAACCAGATGGCCTCCACTGCGTGCCAACCCACTCGCGCAACCCCCACGTGCCCACCATCCCTTGCTCGCCATCGCTCGGACGTCCACTTCCCGTGCATGTTTCGACTTCGTGCGTTTGTCCTTTTGATCGCGAGATGATCGGAGATGCTCCTCGATGGTCCCCGGCGGGAACGAGATGCACACGGCCGAACGATGCCCGATTTCAACGATGCTCACTTGCAACACCACCGGGGACTTGCGAAAGAAAAACCAGAAACGGGCAAACAAAAGCACAAGGCGCACCGCCTCCGAATGAAGAGACGACCTGCAAATCAATGGTGCAAGATACTTTTTCACGTCGGTCGGAAGACGTAGGTCAAACATGAAGCCTTGATTGGGTTTAGGCCCTCCCAGAGAACACCCACACATAGCAAAAGCATATCGAGTCTTGAGATAGGAAGGCGCTTGAAGTTGATTGGCATCTGGGAACCCAAAAATACCAACTTTCACAGACGGGCGTGCGCCTCGGATCACCACCATCAATGGTCTCGACCCCCTCCCCAGGACCCGCTTCTGAGTCGTTTTGCTGACGGCCCCGAGGCCTGGCAAGGGCCCCCCGAAGCCGAACAAAGACGAGAGGCCTCCTGTCGTGGCTTTTCCAACAACACGTGTGGAAACTTTCGAGGGCGGGGGCTGGACCTCGCATGCGACCGGTGACTCTCGGGCATGGACAGAAGCCCCTTTCGCAAAACGTGGTTCAGCGAAAACGACCTCGGGCCCAGACCTGGCGGGTGCAGGCCTGGAAAATGACGGCCGCGGCGCCCTCTCGAGAACCGAAAATGGACAATTCACTAATCGACGTGTCAGGGTGGGGGTTCTGGGGGTTCTGGGGGTTCTTCAGAGATCTGCTGACCCAAGTCAATCCAGACCCAGGTCAGTCAGGCCTTGTAGAATCCTGCAAGATCCTGCACCGAAACCCGGGTCAATGCGAAGGACCCTGCAAAATCCTGCACCCAAGCCTGGGTCAATGAGACCCTGGCCCTGCAGGATCCTGCAAGATCGGGCGCTCTGGCTGACCCCCGTTTGCATCGACCCCGTTTCAAGGCTCCCGAGGCAGGCGTTCTCACCCCCCACACGCTGGCAGGCATTCTCACCCCCTGCACGCCTGACCCAACTCATGCACATCGCTCCGCCAGAACGGCGAACGCGATGCCGCACCTCCAGCGCGGATGCGCTCCATCTCAGGCACAAGGGAGGACACACGACAGCACGCTGCGTGTCACCGATCCGCGTTCTGCCCACCCCCGAGACCCCGGCACGTGCACGCCGACGGCGCCTGCGCCGTGGCTGACCCAAGTCAATCCAGACCCAGGTCAGTCAGGCCTTGTAGAATCCTGCAAGATCCTGCACCGAAACCCGGGTCAATGCGAAGGACCCTACAAAATCCTGCACCCAAGCCTGGGTCAATGAGACCCTGGCCCTGCAGGATCCTGCAAGATCGGGCGCTCTGGCTGACCCCCGTTTGCATCGACCCCGTTTCAAGGCTCCCGAGGCAGGCGTTCTCACCCCCCACACGCTGGCAGGCATTCTCACCCCCTGCACGCCTGACCCAACTCATGCACATCGCTCCGCCAGAACGGCGAACGCGATGCCGCACCTCCAGCGCGGATGCGCTCCATCTCAGGCACAAGGGAGGACACACGACAGCACGCTGCGTGTCACCGATCCGCGTTCTGCCCACCCCCGAGACCCCGGCACGTGCACGCCGACGGCGCCTGCGCCGTGGCTGACCCAAGTCAATCCAGACCCAGGTCAGTCAGGCCTTGTAGAATCCTGCAAGATCCTGCGCCGAAACCCGGGTCAATGCGAAGGACCCTGCAAAATCCTGCACCCAAGCCTGGGTCAATGAGACCCTGGCCCTGCAGGATCCTGCAAGATCGGGCGCTCTGGCTGACCCCCGTTTGCATCGACCCCGTTTCAAGGCTCCCGAGGCAGGCGTTCTCACCCCCCACACGCTGGCAGGCATTCTCACCCCCTGCACGCCTGACCCAACTCATGCACATCGCTCCGCCAGAACGGCGAACGCGATGCCGCACCTCCAGCGCGGATGCGCTCCATCTCAGGCACAAGGGAGGACACACGACAGCACGCTGCGTGTCACCGATCCGCGTTCTGCCCACCCCCGAGACCCCGGCACGTGCACGCCGACGGCGCCTGCGCCGTGGCTGACCCAAGTCAATCCAGACCCAGGTCAGTCAGGCCTTGTAGAATCCTGCAAGATCCTGCACCGAAACCCGGGTCAATGCGAAGGACCCTGCAAAATCCTGCACCCAAGCCTGGGTCAATGAGACCCTGGCCCTGCAGGATCCTGCAAGATCGGGCGCTCTGGCTGACCCCCGTTTGCATCGACCCCGTTTCAAGGCTCCCGAGGCAGGCGTTCTCACCCCCCACACGCTGGCAGGCATTCTCACCCCCTGCACGCCTGACCCAACTCATGCACATCGCTCCGCCAGAACGGCGAACGCGATGCCGCACCTCCAGCGCGGATGCGCTCCATCTCAGGCACAAGGGAGGACACACGACAGCACGCTGCGTGTCACCGATCCGCGTTCTGCCCACCCCCGAGACCCCGGCACGTGCACGCCGACGGCGCCTGCGCCGTGGCTGACCCAAGTCAATCCAGACCCAGGTCAGTCAGGCCTTGTAGATCCTGCAAGATCTGCACCGAAACCCGGGTCATGCGAAGGACCCTGCAAAATCCTGCACCCAAGCCTGGGTCAATGAGACCCTGGCCCCTGCAGGATCCTGCAAGATCGGGCGCTCTGGCTGACCCCCGTTTGCATCGACCCCGTTTCAAGGCTCCCGAGGCAGGCGTTCTCACCCCCCACACGCTGGCAGGCATTCTCACCCCCTGCACGCCTGACCCAACTCATGCACATCGCTCCGCCAGAACGGCGAACGCGATGCCGCACCTCCAGCGCGGATGCGCTCCATCTCAGGCACAAGGGAGGACACACGACAGCACGCTGCGTGTCACCGATCCGCGTTCTGCCCACCCCCGAGACCCCGGCACGTGCACGCCGACGGCGCCTGCGCCGTGGCTGACCCAAGTCAATCCAGACCCAGGTCAGTCAGGCCTTGTAGAATCCTGCAAGATCCTGCACCGAAACCCGGGTCAATGCGAAGGACCCTGCAAAATCCTGCACCCAAGCCTGGGTCAATGAGACCCTGGCCCTGCAGGATCCTGCAAGATCGGGCGCTCTGGCTGACCCCCGTTTGCATCGACCCCGTTTCAAGGCTCCCGAGGCAGGCGTTCTCACCCCCCACACGCTGGCAGGCATTCTCACCCCCTGCACGCCTGACCCAACTCATGCACATCGCTCCGCCAGAACGGCGAACGCGATGCCGCACCTCCAGCGCGGATGCGCTCCATCTCAGGCACAAGGGAGGACACACGACAGCACGCTGCGTGTCACCGATCCGCGTTCTGCCCACCCCCGAGACCCCGGCACGTGCACGCCGACGGCGCCTGCGCCGTGGCTGACCCAAGTCAATCCAGACCCAGGTCAGTCAGGCCTTGTAGAATCCTGCAAGATCCTGCACCGAAACCCGGGTCAATGCGAAGGACCCTTCAAAATCCTGCACCCAAGCCTGGGTCAATGAGACCCTGGCCCTGCAGGATCCTGCAAGATCGGGCGCTCTGGCTGACCCCCGTTTGCATCGACCCCGTTTCAAGGCTCCCGAGGCAGGCGTTCTCACCCCCCACACGCTGGCAGGCATTCTCACCCCCTGCACGCCTGACCCAACTCATGCACATCGCTCCGCCAGAACGGCGAACGCGATGCCGCACCTCCAGCGCGGATGCGCTCCATCTCAGGCACAAGGGAGGACACACGACAGCACGCTGCGTGTCACCGATCCGCGTTCTGCCCACCCCCGAGACCCCGGCACGTGCACGCCGACGGCGCCTGCGCCGTGGCTGACCCAAGTCAATCCAGACCCAGGTCAGTCAGGCCTTGTAGAATCCTGCAAGATCCTGCACCGAAACCCGGGTCAATGCGAAGGACCCTGCAAAATCCTGCACCCAAGCCTGGGTCAATGAGACCCTGGCCCTGCAGGATCCTGCAAGATCGGGCGCTCTGGCTGACCCCCGTTTGCATCGACCCCGTTTCAAGGCTCCCGAGGCAGGCGTTCTCACCCCCCACACGCTGGCAGGCATTCTCACCCCCTGCACGCCTGACCCAACTCATGCACATCGCTCCGCCAGAACGGCGAACGCGATGCCGCACCTCCAGCGCGGATGCGCTCCATCTCAGGCACAAGGGAGGACACACGACAGCACGCTGCGTGTCACCGATCCGCGTTCTGCCCACCCCCGAGACCCCGGCACGTGCACGCCGACGGCGCCTGCGCCGTGGCTGACCCAAGTCAATCCAGACCCAGGTCAGTCAGGCCTTGTAGAATCCTGCAAGATCCTGCACCGAAACCCGGGTCAATGCGAAGGACCCTGCAAAATCCTGCACCCAAGCCTGGGTCAATGAGACCCTGGCCCTGCAGGATCCTGCAAGATCGGGCGCTCTGGCTGACCCCCGTTTGCATCGACCCCGTTTCAAGGCTCCCGAGGCAGGCGTTCTCACCCCCCACACGCTGGCAGGCATTCTCACCCCCTGCACGCCTGACCCAACTCATGCACATCGCTCCGCCAGAACGGCGAACGCGATGCCGCACCTCCAGCGCGGATGCGCTCCATCTCAGGCACAAGGGAGGACACACGACAGCACGCTGCGTGTCACCGATCCGCGTTCTGCCCACCCCCGAGACCCCGGCACGTGCACGCCGACGACGCCTGCGCCGTGGCGCGGGCGCGCGCCTGCCGCATCTGCTTCCCCCGGGCGCGCGCCCGCTCCAGAGGGCGCATCGGCCGTGGCCGCCGCGGGCCGAGCTTGCCGCCGGCGCGGCTCGGAAGAATGGATGGGCCTGGTTTTCCACCGCCACCACCACCACCATGATTTGGAGGGGGGAAGGAGGGCGAGGAAAGCTCGGGAAAGCTCGAACAAGAGGGGGTCGGAGCAGTGCTACGCCCCCGCACGTGCAGATTACGGATAATCTGTAAAGGGGTTATGATATCCGTCGACGGGGGGGGGCTTTGAGCGAGCCGCCTACACTCCCGTCGGTCCTCCCAAAATCCTTGGCCGAGCTGCCGACCACTGGCAAGGGAGCAGATCCGCCACCCCCCACAGGGGGCATGGGCCACTGCATCCCCGCCTTCGGGGTGAGGCCGCGACGGAGACGATTGATCATAGTTTGGCCAGAGGGAGTGCGCTCCTGGGGGCACTCATAGGCCAATTTACAGAGCCGCCCCCCCCAGCGACAATGGGGGCGTACCTGGCGCACCTCCAGCACCAGGCCAAACCATTCTGCATGGCAATAGAATGAGAAGGGTGCACACTGCGGGCTCCGACCTTCAACTCTCGGATACAGGTGGGGGGGACATAGACGTGGTGGCCATGCTCGCTCAAGCCCCTCTTGCATACATCCCCGCGACACGCACAACACTGGAGCCAGTCGGCCAACGAGAGGCGCCCTGGTGTTTGTCGGCATTTGCTACAGGCCCACCTACTAGTGCTCAGGCGGGACAGGGCATGTCCCGCACGGGCCTCGAGCTCCCCAATCCGCCCCAGGCCCGAAGCGGAGCCGACCGAATCGTCCGCCCCGCCGAACCGATTCGAACGAGCCCCACGTTCGACCTCCGCATAGATCGGGGCCAAAACCGCACCGATGCGCTGGTGCACGAGGGTCGCACGAGCGTCGGCCACCTGTAGGGCCTTGACATGGGTGCGAATTGGGTTGGCAGCAGACTCTGCCCCCCGCTGGGCCAGGGCATCCGCGAGCTCGTTGCCGCGGGAGCATCGAGGATCCTGGCCAGAGCGCACGTGGGAATCAGTATCCAAGTGCGAGAAGATTTTGTGCAGGCGGACATTCTGGCCCCCCCGCTGCTCGAGGGCCGACCGAATTCGGGCCCACCATTTGGCGTGGCATCCCCTGGGATATGGGGCATTCCCTTGGACCCAGCCTTTAAAAAACAGCTGGCAGTCGGTGAAAATGTCCAGGGGCCCCGTGGAGAGCTGCAGCGCCCTCCAGAGGGCAGCCAGCTCCGCGACGGGGACCGTTTGGTCCCCGTCGACGGCCCCGAAGAAACCAGAAAACTCGCCGTCGTCCGCTTCCAGCTCCGCCCACTCCCCCACAAAGTAGACACCCCACCCCACACGACAAACGCGGGCATCGCTGGAAGTGGCCGACCCGCCCAGGAATGCCAGACGTGCACGGATGGGGTATTCACCTGCTCCCACATTGAATGAGACTGCATTCGTGAGGGCGGGGGAGGAGGAGGGGAGGGCGTCGCTCGAAGAGGAGTCGAGGATCGGGGGGAAGGTGCCGACTGCCCGAACGCCCAACCCCTCTCCAGAGTTCCAGGCGGGCGGCGGCGGCACGGCAACCCACTCAAGGGGAACTTTCCCCCGGGTCCAGTACGCAACGTGACGATTTTCCAACAGGTCTTGCATCGCATGCTGACGGAGGCCCTCAGTGCGCTCGACCCAAGGGCCCCCCCCCATCTCGCAGGTGGCCGAGCAGAAGTACAGCCTGTGCTCGATGGTGTCCTTGCCCTCGCCACAGTGCTCGCAGTCGCCGGAGCACTGGTAGCCTGCCGCTTGCGCCCTTGCCCCCGTCCGGATGCCTGCCAACGCTCCCGCCTCCAGAGCGCCTGCCTCCTTGTGGCGCTCCTGGCGGCACATCCTCATCAGGTTGATCCTCAGCATATGGAGGTCGCCGCCGTCACCGAGGCCCGCTCCGAGGGGGTGGTCCCCAGCCTGGCGCCACAGCTGGCGCGTCACGGTGCTCTTGATCGCCTTCACTAGGTCCTGCGCGCTACCGCCATCGTTGCCGAGGTGCCGCCACTCGGAGCCCTCGTCGTCGATCCAGACGTCAGGCGCCCGCGGTATCCAGCCGATGTCGCGCAGTGCCAGGATGATCGCGCCCGCGGGCCCCGTGGCGCACTTCCACCGAGCACGAGGTCGCAAGTATAAGAGTCTCTTGAGTACCGCCCGCCATCCAAGTCGAACTCGGTCTCGCAGCTCCGAGTGGCGCGCCCAGAAGTGGAACCACTCCTTCACCTGCTGTGCCAAGGCCGCCATCTTGGGCTCGTCGTCCCGGTAGCGCAGCAGGAGGGTGGTAGAGGTGCAACGCCCGCCCACCGTGTGGCCCGTGAGGTCTGCTGCCTGCGCCCGTCACCGCGTTGTCGTCGTAGGAGGCGCTCCAATGATCGGGTCGGCGAAGTGGTACTTTGCCCTGATGTTGGTGTTGTGCAGCATGACGCCTTTGGTCCTCTTGCTGCCGCGTCCCAACCTGCGGAATAGACAAGCTCGCGTGGCCCTCGCCCTCGCTGCCGCCATCCGCGCTCTGGCCGTCTTATTGCTTCGCCTGGAACCCATGGCGCAGTCGATGCCGAGGTCCTTCGCCGTGGACGCCCTCTGCGCGCGGATGCCAGTCTCCGGGTACACGTAGGTCAACGCCGCCTTCTCGTCTCTGGGCCTCGTCATCATCAGGATGGACTTGGGCGAGACGCGCAAGCCAAGGTCGAGGCAGCCCTGCACTAGGGTGACCGCAACGTCCTTGGCATGGTCGAGGACCTCCTCGGCCGCGCCCTCGATGCGGCTGTGCACGTCGTCCACGTACTGCCTCACCCTTGCCGCAGGTGGTCTCGCGCGGGCTGCTTCCAACAGGTGGTAGAGGAAGGCTCTTGCCCAGTGCTTGGCCTTCCCGCAGCCGGGGAGGATTGAGCCGTTGGGGGTGATGGTCGAGCTGAAGGCCCCGTGGGACTTGACCACGCGCGGCGCCAGGCACGTGAGGCAGCACAAGTAGAGCTCGACGGGCGGCACTTCGAGGGAGATGCCCTTGTGGATCATCAAGGCCAGGTCGATGTAGTCGTAGAACTTCTCCACGTCCATCAAGACGTTGCTCTGCTCGGCCACGCCGGCGCGCGCTCTAGCCTCGTCAAGCACCACGGTGAGCAAAGCAGCCTGCAGCGCGGAACTCCCACGCACCGCAGCGCCCCAGTGCCCAGCTCGCTTGTCACACCACTGCGCCATGGCGGCCTTGGTCATGCGGCCCCAGATGCGCACGGGCAAGGGAAGGAGGCCGACATCCCTCTCGTTGCCGACCACCTGCTCGGCGCCCTTCGGCAGGAGGGCATACCAGTTGTGGAGGAGCTGGTGCGGCCAGGCCAGGGCTTGCTCCACCATGTTGAGCAGGGTGACGAAGGCCTCCTGCCCCTGGTCGGAGACCGCGAGAAGGTGGCCTGGCGTCCACTGATCGGCGCCCTTGCCCGTAGCCCTGGGGAAGGTCCTGATGGCGTTTACCATGTCGTCTCTCGAGTGGTAGCGCCGCTCTGGCAGCGCCTCGCGGGCCAGGGTCCGCAGCTCGCTCAACGCCTCGCGCAAGGCAGGCTCACGGTCGGGCTTGCTGGTCCAACGGTCACGCCAGCGGCGTGCCCTGGCCTCTGTGGAGGCCTGCTCGGAGTCGCAGACCTCGCCAGTGTCGGGATCGACGCAGGTCTTGTCTAGGGCCTGCACCTCGTCCTTCTTGAGATAGCGGTGGCCCCCTCGCATGGAGCCCAAGGTACTTGCCTTGGCCCAAGCTTGCACCTCACTGCGGGTCTGTTGCCAAACCAGGCAAGCGTGCCTAGCCGCTCTCGCCTGCACCCTCAGTGCAAAGGCCTGCCACTCGGGGGAGATCCTGGAGTAGCAGATGCGCTCGCCGTGGCCTAGGACCCTGTAGTCGTCCAGGTACATCCGCCACTTCCCCTTAGTTGCCTGCAGCTGGTCATCTGGCACGGGCTGATGATGTCGGAGACGATGTCCTGCACCTTGCGCTGGTACTCGGTGTGGCGGTGGCGCCCGAGCGCGATGAGCTGTTCCTGCACCCGGGCGTTAAGGCTGACCCACTTGCCGCCAATGTCCTGCGCGCAGGCGTGGCCGAACTGCGAGTCTGCCGTCTGCTCCTGAGCTTTGCGCCATTGGTGCTTGACAGGTTGGCCACGTCGGGCTCTGTCGCGGGGCTCAGTGCCGCAGAGCTCGGCCAGCTGCGCCTCCGCCGCCTCGGCCCAGTATCCACGCTGCACCGCCATCGCCTGCGCCATGTAGGGGTCCATTTGGTACGCGACGCTGGCCTGGACCTCCTCGCCCGCTGGGATGCGAGTGCCTGCGCGCTCCTGGGCCTCGGTGGCGTACTCCGCCCAGGGCGCGCCGACGTGGTCGTTGCACTGCTGGGGCCGCCACTGGGTGTAGGTGTCCTCGAGGAGGTGCCCCTCGTCGTCGTTGAGCAGGTCTCCCTCCTGCATCTGGTCGCAGTCCTCCTTGGCCTGCTGCAGTTCTGCATGCCGCTGCCTGTCGCGTTGACGGCGCTTGATCCCCTTGGGCACGTGAACTCCCCCTGCAGGCACATCTAGAGGTACTGGTAGCACAGGGGCGCGTGACATCACTGCGGCAGGCCTCGCAGTCACCAGGATGTCGAGGCCGATGCGCGGGCCCCACGGCAGCTTCTGGACGGGCATCACCCTCTTGAGGAAGGGGCGGAAGCTGTCGGGCACGACGACGTAGTCCAGCATGCGAACCTTGCCCGACGTGCACGTGATGTTCACCCCCTCAGGTGTCAGGATCCGCGCCTTCAGGGTGAGTGGCCAGCCAGAGCGCGCAAGCTCTTCTGGAGTGGCATTGAAATCGCCCACCAAGCACCACGGAATCCCCAAGCACTTCACAATCCGAGCGATTGCGGTCATATTCCTGGCGTTGGTCCCGGCGAGGCCGATGGAGCAATCCAGGTAACACACGATGAAGGCGAACGTGGCCCCCTGGAAGCGCCAGAGCACCACTGAAACGTCCTGCAGCGCGTCCTGAAATACACTCTGGTGGTTGGCGCCCTGTAGGTGGACGCTAGTGGCGTAGGTGGCTCTCCTCAGCCAGCAAGCGCCGCCGTGGGTGCCCGAGTCAGAGCGAGTAGAGGGAGAAGCTGGCGTACAAGTCCCTTCCGAACGCCAGCCAAAACTGCGGAGGCGCTTCTCCTCCTGGTCGCACTTGCCCTTGCAGAGGTGGTGCTCCGCGAGGCCGATCATGTCGTGGTCGGGCGTCTCGATGAACCTCTTGACCTTGGGAGAATACGAGGTGGCGCTGCCGAAGAAAATCGATGCAAAGTCCCTCTTGCCGAAGGGGGTCCTGGCCGAGGCCGACCTGTACTCCTGGCGGCCCTCGCTCCTACGAGCGGCTCGTCCTCCGACAGCACCGTTACCCCTTCGTCTGGTCCTTGCCGCCCTTGCCGTCCTTGCCGTCGCCCTTGCCTGGGATCGCCGCCCCTGTTGCCGCTGCTGGTGCCGCTGCCGTCGCGGGCGCCACTGGCGGGGCCGTCGGCGCCTTGGAGGCCGCGGCCCCCGCCACGGCAGTCCTGCGCGAGGCAGTGGTCTTGATGTACGCCTCGACCACCTCGGGGTTGCTGAAGTCCTGGCCGCCAGCGTCCACGGGCGGCGGGGCCGAGGCGTCGGCTGCGGCTGCGCCGCCGCCGCCTGGGGCCACTCCACAGGCCGTGTCAGCCTTGCGCCGCTTGGTCGTGGCCACCTGCTCGCGGAGGTTGCGGAGCGTGGCGGCCGCCTCCCTCGCCTGCTTGCCCGCGTCGGTGGCGGACTGGAGGGCGGCCTGGGACTGCTGCGCCGCTGCGGCCGCGTCCTTGCAGTACTGTTGCTGCTCGGGAGTGAGGAGCTGGAGGTCCTCATCCGTGAGGGAGGGAAAGCCGGTGTCATCTGCAGGGCCGCCGTTCCCATAGCTGGCCGCTGGATTCCCTGGAATCCCCGTCTGTGCTGACTAGCGATCCACCTCATCCTGCGCAGCATTGCAGGCCTTACTGTTCTCGTTGAGCCTGCGGAGGAGCTCCTTGCCCGTCTTGGAGTTGGCCACGATCTGTTCCTTGAGCTGCTTTTGCTGGCCGTGGAGCTAACGCAGCTGCCTCGCAACCTGCTCCAGGAGGATCGCTGGCGCGGGCATGGGCTCTGCGACCTTGGCCAGCTCGGGACAGACCAGCTCCAGGGCCTGGAGTGCGGCGGCGTCCTTGGCCTCGCGCGCCGCCTTGTACTTGGGCATGAGCTGCTGCACCAGCGGGGGGTCGTTCATACTGAAGGAGACGTTGCGCCCTGCTGCTGCCCCAGTGCGACAGGCGGGCCAAGGGGCCCCGCATGAATGACACCCTTCCCAACCAGGCTGGCCAGCACGAGACTTATACACCCAAGAGCGAGGGCAATGCACGCAGACGTAGTACTCGTAGCGCTTCTTGCCGCCATGCACGCGAGGTCGCGGCACCACACGATTTTCGCCGCCCGCAGGCGCCCCTCAAGCCGCGGACGCACGTAGCGGGCGCCTGGCGCCGGCCCGTGCGCGGTACGCGCGTGTGGTGTCTGATGGGGGCCGCCTCACCGAGGCTTCGCACCAGAACGGCTTGAGGGGAAGGAGGGCGAGGTGGCGGAGGCGGAGGAGGAGGAGGAGGAGGACTAGGACCCCCTCCCCCATCCAACTTATGGTGGTGGTAAAGGAAAACAAGCCCATCAAGGATGGGGGGGGACCGGGTGCTACCAGGGCTGCCAGGATCTGGGATCGGGGACGCACTCATCCTGGGGGGGCACGCTCCAGACGGGGGTCAACCTCGCCACGTCGACGCACCGCCCCAGGGGTTGGAGCGCCTCTCTGGCGCACGGCGGTTGTCCGAAAAGGGTCGGTTTCGGATTGACGGCGGGGGTAGCAACCCACCGCAAGCTCATCATGAAACTCGGGATAAGCATGGTGCAAACTGACGACCCACATTTGAAGCTCGCACTGGGGACCGTTCCGAGAAACACTCGCTGAACGCATGCGTCGATGTTGCGTCGGACATCCGTCGACTGGAGTGAGTCGAAGTTGAGGTCAGCTAGACTCGAGGTGTGATCGAAATAGAGTCGAGCTGATCCGCTTGGTGGCCCCCAAGAAGGTCCCCCCGAACTGGCATCTGACCCGCACAGAAGGACCCCCCGCTCGGCGCACATAAGGGAAATCCCGCAAGACCACGCGACCAACACACAGCCCACTCACACCCAATACTCCGCAGAAGCCTCCTGGCGAATGCCAGCGGCGGCCCCCCCCCCAGGCTGTGAGTGTGAACGAGAGTGTGAGAGTCCCACCAACCCTCTGGGCGCATGTGGTCAAACGAGATTCCTCTTCCCAGAAAAAAAAGCGTCTTCCCTTACGGGGAGGTGTGTATCACTGTCCCCTATAAGTATGCACCCCCATCCCCTGGCAACTGGGGGCCAACCAGCAACAATGCAGGCACCCCCCCCCACACCATCCCTTGTAAGAAAACAGTGCAAACACACACTATGCCTCCAAATTCGGAGCATGCGCAGCGAACCCGATGCGGCCTCCCCCCACCATCCCTGTCTGAAAACAGTACAGAGTACACTTGGCGGCGGCGGCGGTTGCGGCGCACGCGGCGGGGGCAGCGGCTGCGGCGGCTGTGGCGGTGGCGGCGGCGGTGGCCGCGGCGGCGGCGTGGGCGGCGGCGGCGGAGGCGGCGGCGGCGGCGGCGGCGGCAGCGGTAGCGGCAGCGGCTGCGGCGGCAGCGGCGGCGGCGATTCGGCAGCGGGGGCGGCGGCGGCGGATTCGCCCCCATTAGCTGCCCATCCCAAAACGACTGCTGAATATGCTGCGGTTCGGGCCAGGCTCGGGTGCTACGCATGTGTTGGGAGGGCGGGTGGGAGTGAACGAGACGGCTTGCGGGCGGGGAGGGGGTCTTGACCCCTCCCTCTACCCCCTCCCCTGGACTTGTTTGTGGGGTTCCGCCAGGTGTGAGGGCGTCCAAGACGGCCTCGGCGAGGAAGCCACACTCATTGGTCTTACATAAAAAAGTGTTGGCTCCATGTTGGCCTCTTTGGGGGGGCTGAACGTTACACCATGTCCTCCTTTGATCAATAGCCTTCAGCCCCAAGAAGCCTTCCAGGGCTCCCAAGAGGGCCCAAAGAGAGCCCCTAGAGGGCCCCAAGAGAGCCCCATGACCCCTCAACGAGACCCAAGAAAGCTCCAATACCCTCTCAAAGAGCCCCAGGAGAGTTCCAAGAGGAAAGTAAAAACAGGATCGCAGAAATGTGATCCCTCGTCTTCCTCCCCCCCCTCTCCGCCTCCTCCCTCTCTCTTCTCCTCTTCCTCCTCACCCTCATCACCCTCCTGCCCGTCGTCCACCTCCTCCCCCTTTTTGAACTTCTACTCCTCCTCACCACCACCACCAGCACCGCTCTCCCCTCATCATTGCCCAACTATCCGGGCAGACGAGAAATTACAACCGGGATTGCCCTCATTGGATCTCTCGTACCACCCCCTCCTGATCCTCGTCCTCGTCCTCCCCTTTTCACCTCTCTTTTCCTCCAGCTCCTCCTCACCACCACCGCTCTCCCCCCCATCATTGCCCGGCTAGCGTGGCAAACGAGAAAAGAAAACCGGGATCGCACTCTTTGGATCCGTCCACCTCCTCCTCCTCCTCCTCCTCTTCCTCCTCCTGTCCCCCTCGCCCCCACGCGGCCCCCAGGGATGGCCCGACGAGGCCTTCCAAGGCCACCTTCTTTCTCCCAGAGATCAATCGGTTCATCCTGGTTGCTCGCTTTGTTTCCCTGGATGTGTCCTTTCTTCCTTTTCCCGTCAGGTCTCGTGGGCAGAGCTTCTGGATGGGCTGGCGGGGATACTTTTGTGATCGCGACCGCGGCGGGGAATCGGGCGGCGTCAAGGGGAGAAACACAGAGGCGAGGGCCTAAATTAGCGCACGGGAAGAGGAAAGCGAAAAGAGACAAGACCAAGCCAGGGGGGAGGCTAACAGGAGGCGGGCCTCGCTGCCGCTCACAGGAGAGCTGGCGGGGATATTTTTTTGTCAGCGGCCGCAAGCGAGCGCGCCAGCGGCGAGTCCAGTCAGAGCGGGGCGCGCAAAGACGAATTAACCGAAAACGGTGGGCCGGAGCCTCACGCAGCAGTTCAGCGGCCGGGCTGGCGAGTGGGAGAAGGCGGGCGGTACACTGGGGAGCGGTACTGCGAGGGTGCACGCATGCAACGCGTCGGGAGCAGCTGGCGGCCAGGGTGACTGGCGACCAGGGACTGCAGGATGCGTGGGAATTCGGTGCAAGGGCGTAGGCCCCCGTGGAACCACGAAAGTACCAGGGTGGCCGCAGCAAAGTGAGCCGACTGCCGTAAGTCGAACTGTGTGCTCAGATGGGGCGTGAGCATCAACAAGCTGCGGAATACCAGGGTGGCCGAGGCCAGGAGGTTCAACAGCAGCGGAAGCTGGTGGGGATACTTTTTCGGTCGCGTCCACCAGCGAAGGCGCTAGCGGAGTCAGGAGCGCTACGGGTCGCGAGAACGGCCGAATTAGCAACTAAACGCGCCGCAAGCCGGCCGGCCCACTCACCCAGCAGCGGCAGACTGCGCGGGGGGAACGGCGATCTGAGGGCGTCCAGGAAGCTCGGGCACTTGCAGCTCAGCAAAATGCTGGTGAATTCCAGATGTGCCGCGAGGCAAGACCCACACGGAGCGAAAGGACGATAGCAGCGAACTGCGTGTCCAACTCTGGTGGGGATATTTTTTGGTCGCGGCCGCGAGACAAGGGACAGGGGGCGAAAGCAAAATCCGGGGCACGAGCGAGGCGAATTAGCTACAACAGGCACAGGCCGGCCGGCCCGCTCACAAAGCAGCAGCGAAGATGAAGGGGAGCTGACGGCAGGGGCATCCTGAGAGCTCGAGCACACGCACAGACAAAATGTCATGGAATTCAATGCCTGCCACAGTATGAGACGTGAACCAGGATAACCAAGTCCGTCAATCTGAGTGGGGGCAAGTAGGAGGCCGGTGGAGTGAGTCGCCGGTGGGGCGCCAGGCTCCAAACGCCCTAGACGACGTGTGCTAGCCAGGGGGGCTGAGCTGTCGCGGACCGTGGTGCAACGCAACCTGCTCGAAGCTGGTAGGTGAGCCTGGGGTGCTGTAGCTGCGGGAGGCTGAACCACTCCGTGGCGATACCAACACCCGTCAGACCACCCCACAGTGCAAGGGGGAACCAAGCGACTGTGGGCCACGCAGTGCGTGCCGGCACGGCGTCAGGCCTCAGAGTGAGGGGGGGAGACCAGCTGGCGTGGTGAGCATCGCCAGCGGGGAGAGTGTGGGGGGGCTGCACTGGTGGCAGTGCTGCCTTCTGAAGGACGCCAAACTGCACCGGGGACAAGCATATCCCCAATTGAACAGACCTGGCAGTACCTCCCGAGGCACGTGGCGCCTGTGCGAGCACGGCGTGCCGATGCCATTCGGGGATGCGCCTGGGGGGAGCTGCGCTGTGGCAGACACGGGAGCCAACGGACGCCATGTCCTGACCCTGTCCGCCTCTTGGCACTTCCACCCAAGACTCAGGAAACGCCAACACACACCACGAGAGCCTCCAGGGTCGCAGCTAACCGCCGCTGAAAGTGACGAGACATACCACGGACAGCGAGGGACACGGGCGGCCCTGGGATGGGGGGGGCAACAACACCGGCGTCTGTCCGTACGCCTGGCGGGCCCCGGGGCCAAGGGCGGGGGGCACCCGCCTGGCCCGAGAGGGGAGAGGCGAGGGGGAGCAACGCCCCTCCACTCGGCCTGGCCCCGAACCCTTGGGTCAGGGGGCATGGCCATCTGTGCTGCCGCCTGAAGTACGCCAAACTGAACCAGGGACACCATATCCTCAAGTATACAGAGCTGGCTGCACCTTCCGGGGAACGTGGCGCATGTACCAGCAAAGTGTAACGTTGCCAAAGGGTGAACGACCTGGGGGGAGCTGCGCTGGGGCAGACACGAGAGCCGACGGTCGCCATGTCCCGACCTGCCCGCAGCTTGCGCACTTCCTCGCAAGACTCGGGTTCGTCCACCAACACGCACCACGTGGGCCTCCAGGGACGCAGCTAAGCGCCGCTGAAAGTGGGGAGTCTTGCCACGAACAGCGAAGGACAATGGCGGCCCTGGGGAGGGGGGGGCAACAACACCGGCGTCAGTTGGTACGCCTGGCGAGCCCCGGGGCCAAGGGCGGGGGACACCCGCCTGGCCCGAGAGGGGAGAGGCGAGGGGAAGCAACGCCCCGCCCCTCGACCGGGCCCCGAATCCGTGGGTCAGGGGACATGGTCATTCTCTTGGGTCCTCCAGGGTCGCAGCTAACCGCCGCTCAAGAGCAAATAGTATCGATTGTGGTCCTCCAGGGTCGCAGCTAACCGCCGCCGATGTTTGTGAGTCTGTAGTGTGACAAAGCTGTGACCAGGGCTAGGTCGCGCTCGCCGCCAGGCCGGCGGGGGGGAGGCTGTGACCCACTTCCTTCCCAGGGGCAGGAGGTGGGCCACAGCTAACCCCCCGCCTGCTTGGCGGCGAAAAATAGCTTGCCGCAGTCCTCTCGTGCAAGAGCCGCGTGCGATGCCACTTCCAGCCTCTACCACACGCGCTGATCCCAGCGCAGTAGCTGATGACGTCTGGCTCAAACTTGGCCCCTCGCATCTCGCTGTGGAGGGGCAGAGCCTGCACCCACTGCCCAATTTTCCAACACGCGCTGATCTCGGCATTGTAGCTGATAGCGTCTGGCTGCAGCGTCGTCTTCCACATCTCGGTGCGCAGCGTCAGAGCCCGCTGCCACTGCTCGCCTGTCCCACACGCGCTTGTCGCAGGGTTGTAGCTCACTACGTCGGGCTCCCACGTCGCGTCCCGTATCTATCTAAGCAGCGACAACCCGTCGCCACTGCCGCCTTTCTCGCACGCCCGACCCCGGCGTTGTAGCTGATTATGCTGGTCCCCGGCTTCGCGTTTGACACTCGCGGAGCGGACATAGAGCCTGAGACCACGGATACCTTTCTCGCACGTGCTATTGCCAGCGTTGTATCTGATGATGTCTGGCTCCCATTTCGCCTTTCGAATCTCGCTGAGCAGCGACAGTGCCTGCTTCCACTGGCCGCCTGTCACGCACGCGCTGATCGCAACGTTGTAACCGATGGCGTCTGGCTCCAACTTCGCGGCGCAAGCCCGCCAAGCAGGGACAGTGACTGCTGCCAATGTCCGCCTTTCACGCACACTCTGATCCCGTTGGGCCCCGATGCCCCCTGACACATTTTGCTGAGCAGCGACGGGGCCTGCTGCCAGTGTCCACCCTTCTCGCAGGCGCTGGTCCCAGCGCTGCAACTGATGACGGCGGGCTCCAGCTTAGCTTCCCACATCCGGCGAGTAGCGCCCGAACATGCTGCCATTCCCCGCTTTCCTGGCACTCATGATTCCAGCGCTGTAGCTGACAAGGTTGCGCTCCACCTCCACTTCTGACATCCCACTGAGCAGCGACAGTGCGAGTTGCCATTGCTCACCCCTGGCGCACGCGCTGATCCCAGCGCTGCAGCTCACAACGTCCAGCTCGCACCTCGCGTCCCTCATCTCGCCGAGCGAGGACAAAGCTTTTCGCCATGTCCGCCTCTCTCGCACGCGCTGATCCAGCGTTGTAGCTGATGACGCTGGGCTCCAATTTTGTCTGTCACATCTCGCTTAGCGGCGATAGCGCCTGAATCCTTGCCCACGGCCCCCCGCGTGGATCCAGGGCCGCGGCAAACCGCCGATCTGGGTTGGGTGAAGACGAGGCACCCACGGAGGGTGGCGGCAGACGGCCCTTGTCAGACAGCAGCGGGATGCAAGAGTACCCTGTGCCCCCGTGGGATGCCTCGTGCCCGTAGTCCCTGGTACTCCCCGCGTGGAGTCCTTGAGCTCCCGCGGGATGTCTCGTGCTCGAAGCCTTTGCAGCTCCCCGCATGGATCCAGGGAGGCGGCAAACCGCCGCTCTGGGTGGAGTGCAGACCGAGCGAGCACGGGGGGGGGTGAGTGCAGGCCCTTGGCCGACAGCGCCAGGATGCAAGAGTACCTTGAGCTCCCGCGGGAGGCCCCGGGCCCGTAGTCTCTGCTGCCCCCCGCGTGCCTCCAGGGTCGCAGCTAACCGCCGCTGGGGGGAAGGTAATACCGAACGGTCGATATTTTCTTCCACAGCTGGTGTGGTCCAGTGAGGGCAGTCTGCAGCCAGTGGACTGACTCACTGAGGGCAGTGCTGTCACCTCGAAGGCCGACGCGTCCATGGGGGGGGTGTGGTGGTACATCCAGGGACGCCGCTGACCGCTGCTGAAGTGTAAAGAGTTTTTACAAGCGGACACGACTGCCAACCAACCACATCCACTGCAAACACCGGTTTGGGCAACTATTGCGCCCAACATCCGGAAACCCGGGGAAACAAGCGCGAACAAACCGTGCACTACCACGAACGCACACACGCTTGCAACAGAGCACTGCCAGCAGCCACGCGGCAAGGTGAATTAAAAATGATGTGAAACAATGGCAACTATTGCAGTCTTGCCGCGTCCAGTGCTCGCTGAAGCCGTCAAACCTGGACATGGGCCCCCACGGGCCGAGGGGGAGAGGAGGAGGACGCAGGAGGAGCGAGGACGCACGACGGGCGGGGACGAAAGGTGGAGGCAAGGAGGGGGGAGGGACGGACGAAAGGCACGACGACCGAGGAACGCGGAGGAAGCGGACTGCACAGATAGGCGCCACGCGATCGGCCAGCCACCACATATCCCGCGCAGCTGGCCAGGACGGAGTGGCACGATAAAATTTATTACGGCATCTCTGACTCACAGCCGCCCGTGCGGCCTGCGGCCGAAAATACCACCCGGCGGAAACACCTGCTTCACGCGCCGGCCCCCACAGGCCGAGGAGGATGGGAGGAGGCCTACAAACATTCCGGGGCCGACCAGGACCGGCGCTCTTGCAGTCTAGCCGCGTCCGATGCACCCTGAAGCCGTCAAGCCTGGACAGGGCCCCCGACAGGCCGAGGAGGAGGAGGAGGGGGACGCAAGAAGAGAGAGGACGCACGACGGACGGGGAAGAAAGGCGGAGGCAAGAAGGGTGAGGGACGGACGACGAGCAGGACGACCGAGGAACGCGGAGGAGGCGGACTACGCAGATAGGCGCGCCGCGATCGGCCAGCCACCACATCTCTCGCGCGGCCGCCCAGGACGGCATGGCGTCACGATCCAACTTCTTGCGGCACCTCTGACTCGCAGCTGCCCGTGTAGCCTGCGGCTGCAAATACCACCTGGTGGAAACGCCTGTTTCACGCACGGGCCCCCGCAGGCCGAGGAGGAGGAGTAGGAGAAGGAAAAGGGGAAAGGAAGGGGAAACACAGGGCAGAGGCATCAGAGCTCGTCGTCGTCCTCGTCCATGATCGGAACCTCATGAGCAAGAGGATCTGGGGAGCCTCCGGGGAGCCAGCCCCTGACCCGCCGTCGGCAGTCGCGGCGGGGTGCCCTGCTGGCCGTAGATGCAGCCGAAGATGCAGAAGCAGATTTGCTGCCAACCAGAGTCGGGCGCCACTGCCGCTCCAGCGCGCGGCCCCGCGAGGGCCGAGGTGACCCGTTGTCCGTGGGACGTCCATCGAGCACGCGAGCGTGTCCATGTCCTGCACCTGGCATTTCTGGCCAAGCATCCACGAATGTGCGTAAAGCCTCGGAGCCCTGCGTCCCGCAGCGCCCCGCTGCGCGCTGCCAACCACGGTCCCTGGTCACTGCGCTGCAAAGACTGTCGGACGAAGCCTTTGAGGAACCCAGAGGAGCAGAGTCCAAGATTGCGGTAGGCGTGCCCCTCTGTGGCGCGATGCCACCGCCGATTCCAGCCTGGGTCGCATCGTTGGCCATCTCGGATCATTGCTGCCAGCGCGAGGGTCATCATTTCATCATCGGTGTCCTCATTCGCAGGGGCTGCCTCGGGAGTAGTAGCCTGGGCCAGGGGGCCCGGGGCTCGCACCCGCGCAGCAGCGCGCAGCGCCGGCAGCTGGCGTAGCGCTCTGCACTGCCGTGGATCCAGCGGCTCGCCAGCGTCCCTCTGCTCCTGAAGAGCGGAGCACCTCCGCAGCTTGCGCCGAAGTCGGGGCAAAGGGAGAGCCGCCGGGGCATGTGGGTCGACGTCGTGGCCCCCCGTGGCCGCGAGCGGCGCTGTCTGGGAGATGCCCTCCCAAGATATGTCCAGCCTGCGGGCGTCAATCTTCGCGCGCTTAGCTGGTGCGATCTCGGTCGGCTGCGCCGCCGGCCAGCCAGAGTGCAAGTCGAGCCCGCGGTCGATGTCTACGTGCCAAGGCTCCTTGGCGCCGCCGAAAATCAACGCACGAAAATGCAGCTCGTGAGCATCTCGCACACAAAGTTGTACTCCTTGGAGGGCATATGTGCGCACCGCGTCCCGCCGCCACTGTATGCCTTTCGAGTCCTGGGAGGCCACATCTGTAAACATTGTGACTCATGCAATAAGCGGGCGCAGCGCCACCTCCCGGAGGAAGTGCTCGAGGCGCACTGCTCCTCTAGCTGTGAGGAGGTACGGCGCCACAACGAGCACTGCTATGGACACATCGAGGTACGCCCCAAACAGCTCAGCAAAAGACCCCCCAGCTCCGAGCATCACTGTCGGCGCCGCCTTCGTGACCGCGGCGGCCGTCAAACGTCGCCAAACTGCCAGCATGCTGTCCTGATCAATGGCGCCAAACGGCGCTACCTCCGCCTCTGTGTCCTGCGTCTCTGCCAGTAAAACTGTGGACCACCGCCAGCTGCACCGGTGGCTTTTCCACGGAGGCAGCGCCAGGGGCAGACCGAAGTTGGTCGACTTCGGTTCTGGCTGCGTGAGGTCGCCGGGGATCGCCATCTGGAGCAGTGCGGGGTTGCGCTCTGGACCGGTCATGTGTGAAACAGCACTGTTCTCCGAACTTGCATGAAACCCGAGCGAAGTACGTGCAGGTGCCCACGGCGGGTCTGGGGCGCGCGGAAGCTGCTGGTGGATGACCCGCAGAACCGCCCGTGCACCCGACCATCGAGAGGACCTGCCCCAGCGACATCAAAATATATTGCTGCTGGACACACATCGTTTGCATCATCATCAGAAGAATCGGGTCGCTGACCCCTGTTTATTTTGGTCCCGAAGAGTCTGCGCCCGGCCACTCGTGATAGCATCTGCGTTCAGAAGCCGCGCGCCGCTGCCGCCGCCTTCTTGCAGCTGGAGTCTCGAAGTCGCGACGCGTGCCGGCATGGCGCTGCGGCCACCCCTCGTGGCGCGCGGGCCCTCTCCGAGGGCGGTTGCCCCCAGCCTGGCACCGCCCGCCAGCGGCAGCCGCCGAATCCCAAGGGTCGGCCGCCTGCAGCGGGTCTTGCAGCGGGTCCTGCGGCACCGTGCGCCAGCGGCCTGCCGCCATGGCTGCAACTGTAGTGAGCGGGAAGAAAAGAGTTAAGGCGAATGGGGGTTGGGAGAGCGCCCGGCCCGGCCGCCCGCGGAAGCCTCCGGCGGCAGCTTCGAGCCAGAGTGGCTTGAGCCAGAAGGGGGCTTGAGCCAGGCTGCGGACCCTGGCGGGGGTATTTTTTCCCAACCATCCTGTGGTGTTGGGTCCTCGTTTTGAAGAGACGGTGTCCCGCGTCTCCTTCCTCCTCTCCTCCTCCGCCTCCTCTCCCCTCCTATCATCCCCATCGTCATCATCATCATCATCATCATCATCATCATCATCATCATCATCATCATCATCATCATCATCATCATCATCATCGTCATCATCATCATCATTATCATCATCATCGTCGTCATCAACATCAACATCATGGCCGCCATCATAACCATCATCGTCATCATCACCATCATCGTCGTCATCACCATCATCGTTGTCCTCGTCGCCATCATCGCACGCTTCGTGGCCCCATACGGAGCTCCACCGAAGGTCCCAGTGGGTGTGCCCGCATGCGTCCCGCACGCCCATTTTGGCACACCCCTCACACGTTTCGTGGCCCCATAGGGAGCTCCATTTACGGTCCAAGTGGCGCAGCTCGCATGGCGCCACCGCCCCATTTTGGCACACCCCTCACACGTTTCGTGGCCCCTCAGGGAGCTCCACCTGAGGTCCAAGTGGCGCAGCTCGCATGGCGCCACCGCCCCATTTTGGCACACCCCTCACAGATTTCGTGGCCCCTCAGGGAGCTCCTTTTGGCACACCCCTCACACGTTTCGTGGCCCCATAGGGAGCTCCACCTAAGGTCCACGTGGCGCAGCTCGCATGGCGCCACCGTCCCTTTTTGGCACACCCCTCACACGTTTCGTGGCCCCATAGGGAGCTCCATTTACGGTCCAAGTGGCGCAGCTCGCATGGCGCCACCGCCCCATTTTGGCACACCCCTCACACGTTTCGTGGCCCCTCAGGGAGCTCCACCTGAGGTCCAAGTGGCGCAGCTCGCATGGCGCCACCGCCCCATTTTGGCACACCCCTCACAGATTTCGTGGCCCCTCAGGGAGCTCCTTTTGGCACACCCCTCACACGTTTCGTGGCCCCATCGGGCGCTCCACCTAAGGTCCACGTGGCGCAGCTCGCATGGCGCCACCGTCCCTTTGTGGCACACCCCTCACACGTTTCGTGGCCCCATAGGGAGCTTCATTTACGGTCCAAGTGGCGCGGCTCGCATGGCGCCACCGCCCCATTTTGGCACACCCCGCACAGATTTCGTGGCCCCTCAGGGAGCTCCACCTGAGGTCCAAGTGGCGCAGCTCGCATGGGGCCACCGCCCGTTGAGGCCTGCTGCCGCCACGAGGTCGGGAACGGCAAGAAGGAGGACGACGACTGGTGGCTGGAGCTCTATGCGCTGCTCTCGCGCGCCACGCGCCACGAGGACCTCCTGCTCATGCGGGCGCCGCGCATCGAGTTCTTCCTGGCAGGACCGCCGGAGGGCCTGCGAAAGCAGCTGGAGCAGTTTGCAGCGCGCACGAAGCGGCGCAGGAGGGAGGCGACGGCCCTCGCCAGGGAGCTCGGCTTCACCGAGTTTATCCGCGAGGCCTGACCTGAGGAGCGCCCCCCCCGAGCCGCGCCTTCTCTCGACTGCCCGCATAATTGTTCGGCCTCGCGCCGCGGACGACCCGCGCGCGTCGCTGGGACCCTCTCGGGGCGACCAGCGCGCGTCGCGGGGATTCCGCGCGGCGCTCTGCTCAGCGCCTCGCTCGCCCGTCGTCGCTCTGCCCAGCGGCCGGAGCCTTGCCCGCAATCAGCCGGCCGGCTAGCTCTCTGTGCTCCGCGCAGCGGACGACCCGCGCGCGTCGCTGGGGCCCCTCCGCGGCGACCTGCGCGCGTCGCGGGGGCCCCGCGCTGCTCTGCGCCCGCAGCTTTGGATTTTTGGAGCGCGCAGGCAAAGAGGGGGGAAAAGAAGGGGCGGAAGCGGGTGCGATCCCCGTGGGGGGCGTGCCGACATGGGCGTCGCGGCGCGCGAGCGCTGCCGTCGGGGTTCCCGCGGAAGCTGCCTGCGGCGGCCACGCCCAGTGTCACGAGTGTTCGGACAGGCATGCTCGAGCCATTCACATTCATATACATTTACACTAAGCGTAGCCAAGATCGCATTCATGCAAATATACTCACTCCCACGCAGACCCATTCACACTCAGACTCTCTCGCGCTCTGGCTCACCCGCGTTCATTCTTTCGTAATCTGACCTATCGTATTCCTTTGCGTTGTGTACCCCGCCATATTTCGGCATACCCCTCATGCGGTTCGTGGCCCCATAGGGAGCGCCACCGAAGAAGGTGCTCACAATTGCGGCACTCGCAACTGCATATGGTTGGGTCTTTCGCCAGAATAATTTAAAAGTTCGCGGCTCCAGGGCGGATGACAGGGGGCAAAGACAGCGTCCAGGGCGCGTGGCGATGTAAATTGGCCACCGAGGCGAATGCGCGCGCAAGGGACAAAATGGCCCCCATTACAACGCAAGCTGCGTTGGCAGGAGACCGATCCAGACATCCCAACAGGTGGGGACGCAGGCGCGGCATGGCGGGGGTATCTTTTTGTTGCGGCCCGCAAAGAAAAGTCCAGAGGGCGGTGTGAACGAGGCTGGGGCACAGCGCGCGCTAATTAGCGCGAAAACGCGCGGAATGCACATGCAAGACGATTAGGCGGGAGGCGGCCACAGGTGGGCAACCACAGGCCGGACCCGCAGGCGGGGCCGGACCGAAACCCTGCCGGAGTGCAGCAGAGGCGAGTCGGCCACGGATGGGCAGACAGAATACAGGACGGACCCGCACCTTAGCACCGCGGCCGACAACAGTCAGCGGAGCGTCGCACAGCGGCGCCGGCCCCAAGCCGGGCGGCGAAGGGCGGGGCGACAGGGGGCGAGAGAGCGGGAAGGGCAGGCGGCGACGGGGAAAAGAAGGGGGAACCAAGCCTCACTCACAGAACACCACACGTGTTGACGCTCAACGCGGAGCCCTCCTGAGTCCGAAGCTGAAGCCAATGAACCAGGGGCCCGAGGACCTGCGGGCGACGAGGGTAACCGAGCGTGGCCCGGGGCAAGCGACACTGGCGGCCGAGGGCCCAACAGACTGATGATCACTTCCGTCACCGACGATGGGGGGAAGCCACTTAGCATACAGCTGGACTTCAAAGGGTGAAGCACGAGGGGGGCCTTCAGCCAGTTGCCTCTGCACCACGGCCCGCGCTCAACGCGGGCAAAGAACCTAGGTGGGGTTATTTCAGCCGACCGCAGGAGCAGAAACCCACGGAACGTCGCGGGCATCTATGCGCAGTGTAGTGCCCCTCGAACCCAGGAGGTGGCACAAGTCCGTGGCCAGAGCCGTCCACTGCAGGCGGGGACAGATGGGGCGACGCCTTCAGCCAATCGACCCGGTCCACCACGGGCCGCAACGCGGCCAAACACCGTGGGTGGGGTAATCTCAGCCGACCGCACGGGCTAGGAGCCCACGAGGGCCGTGGGGGTCTAGCGCAGTGTGGGGGGTGTACCTCACTCCCAGGAGATAGCACGGGAACCAAGGCCGCGGCCTGCCGCTGCGGCGAAACCATGCCCATCCCAGGGTGGGCCGTCAGTACGTAGCCGCCCAGCGGGAATCCCTCGCCCCAAAGGCCAGCCCCGACTGACACTGCCTGCGCGAGGCGGGACCCATGATAGCCGCGCCTCTCAGGCACCAGTGCTGTGGCGACGAGGAAAAGGGGGGCTAGCAGCCGATAGCCGCTGGAATTGTATGTAGCTGTGGCGACGAGGAAAAGGGGGGTAGCAGCCGATAGCCGCTGGACTTGTATGCATCAGGGCCCAACAGGCGGAGACCGAAGAGGACCCAACACGTGTAGATGCCACGTCGGGTGGGGGGAAGCCACTTAGCATACAGCTGGACGTCAAAGGGTGAAGAACGAGGGGGGCCTTCAGCCAATTGCCTCCGGCCCGCGCTCAACGCGGGCAAAGAGCCTGGGTGGGGTTATTTCAGCCGACCGCAGGAGCAGAAACCCACGGAACGTCGCGGGCATCTATGCGCAGTGTAGTGCCCCTCGAACCCAGGAGAGGCACAAGTCCGTGGCCAGAGCCATCCACTGCAGGCGGGGACAGATGGGGCGACGCCTTCAGCCAGTCGACCCGGCCCACCACGGGCCGCAACGCGGCCAAACACCGTGAGTGGGGATATCTCAGCCGACCGCACGGGCTAGGAGCCCACGAGGGCCGTGGGGGTCTAGCGCAGTGCGGGGGGGTGTACCTCACTCCCAGGAGATATCACGGGAACCAAGGCCGCGGCCTGCCACTGCGGTGAAACCATCCCCATCCCAGGGCGGGCCGTCAGTACGTAGCCGCCCAGTGGGAATCCCTCGTCCCAGGGGCCAGCCCCGACTGACACTTCCTGCGCGAGGCGGGACCCATGATAGCCGCGCCTCTCAGGCACCAGTGCTGCGGCGACGAGGAAAAGGGGGGCTAGCAGCCGATAGCCGCTGGAATTGTATGTAGCTGTGGCGACGAGGAAAAGGGGGGTAGCAGCCGATAGCCGCTGGACTTGTATGCATCAGGGCCCAACAGGCGGAGACCGAAGAGGACCCAACACGTGTAGATGCCACGTCAGTCCTGCACAATGTACCCTATGGCGGCCCATATGGCGGCTCGGCTCTCCGGCCGCATGGTGGGGATTTTTTTTCCAGCCGCAGGCGGAAGCGCCAGCGGCGGAAGGTCGCGAACGGGCTGCGGACGCGACTAAATTACCTAACGCGCGCGGGGCCGCGGATCAGGCGGCTCACGACAGCGTCCAGGGGGGCGAAGCCGATGCAATCCAGGTGCCATGACAGCCCCTGAACGGGCATGCAGGTGCGTCCAAAAGGCCTGAGGTAGGCGCGAGACGACCAAGCGCAGCCAAAATGGCGCGATAACGTTCCAACGTCCAGGTGCGGACAAGGGAACGACTCGAGAACGTCAGCACCAGTCTGTCGGGTAGCACAGACGACGGGGTGGTAAGTCCAACGAGGATCCCGACGGCGGCAGCGAGCCGCGGCGCCAGAACGACATCAAGGTGTATCCATGTTCCGAGAAGACTACCACACCGAGATGCTTCGGCCCAGACCCAGCGGGTGGAAGGGCACCTGATGCGCGCTACCCGTCGAAACGCGGCGTGTGCACACCACAGTGACACAGTGCAGTCCAAAGAGACGGAGAGCACAGGCGGAACGAGACCGTGTGTGCCCAGGCAAGTCCTAAAAAGCCACTGATCCAAGGTCGCGGAGAAGTCCAAAAAGCCACTGATGGTGGGGATACGCGAAGCGTGAAGAATTGAGCCAGTCAGAGGAGCAGAAGGAACATAAGCAAGTGGAGGAGCAGAATGAGCAGCAGGAGGAGGATGCATGATGCTCCCTTGGCTTGGCCTGTGCTGGGTTTGCGCGACCGCTGTTGCGCAAAGGCCCCCCCCCCTGCCCGTGCTGTAACACGACGACTGCGCACCATCTTCGTGGGACATGGACACGCTGCCGCACGCACGTCTCCCCGCCCTGCCGGTGCAAGGGGGCAACCATTCTGCGCTGCTGCCGAAACCTCCCATGCCGGACCAGGCCGAGCAAGCGGTCTTGGGCGAAGGCCCGTGAGCCTTCAGGGCGCCGCTCCAGCGCGCCCCCCCCCCCCCCCCCCGCGCCAGCACGAGGCGGAGACTCGAGGTCGATGGCCTTCCTCTACGGCCGCCCTTCTCGTTCCTCACGAACTCCCTCCTCCCCCCTCCCTTGAGCAGGGACCGACCGTCCCGGCATTCCTATCGGCCTACCACAACATGATTCTAGAACCCAAAAATGTTCGACAAAACAACAACAACAATGTTCTTATAACATTGGCCCGATGCGTTTAATCGCGACAGTCTCAGCCAGAAATGATCTACTAACATTTCGTGTAAACCACAACACGTTCTTAGAACATCCTTTGATAGGCCTATAGGCGAGCTAGGACGCTTCGCCACTGCTTGACTCCCCTTCCCCTCCCATCCCGCCTCCTCTCCCTCCCCCCCCCCCGCACCCCTCCCCGCTCCCTCCCCGCGTCGCCCCCCCCCCCCCCCCCCTACCCTCCTCCTGTTGGCTAGCTAGCCGTGCTCAGTCAGGTTCCTGCCATCCAGGCTCCTGCACCCCCCCCGCTTACATGCGACACAATGCTCTCTGACCGCTGGTGCCCGCCCTGGCGCTCCCTGCCCGTGCTGCCTCCCTAGCGCGCCCGCCCCCTCCGTCTCGAAGACGTAGCCCAGCGGTACCCACTCGAGGAAGTTGGCGAGCGTCGACAGGGTCGTCGTCAGCAGCGTGGCCTGGCGTACTACGCGGATCTGCTGCACGAGTAGACCTAGTATACCAGCTCGCAGACGATAAGGATGTTGGGGTGGGGGTGGGGGGAGATGGGGCGCGCATAAATTCCAGAGGCCCTCAAACCCAACCCTAGCTATGGCACAGTGATGAATGCACACGCATCGTAGTAACACTGCGAATGCTCATACGCTTATTCGTCGGATTACTCTGGTAATTAGCGTAGGGGGTCGACTACATAGTGTATGTTAAGCAGAACATTGGTTCTCTCAGATGATAAGACAACATTCGTGAAGTTCTCGTAGATCAATGGACATGCTACGTATGATTCGTCGATGCGATGGGAAACCATCTTGGGGTAAACCAATTATGTTGTCGATCGCCTACTCGAGTAATTGCCAGCATAACCCTCATGATTACCACTGTGATGGTATGAACCCGTTCGATACCAACAACCACCGCATGATCATACGACATAAGAGCTACATAGCGACACTGCCACACCACGAACCCACGACACAACGACGTAGCGGCACCACGACACCGATACATCACTACACAACGACACCACGGCACCACGAAGCCACGACACGAGGACGACACAGCTCCACACATCACGACGCCCCACGACACCCCTTTGCCCGCGCGCGACGCGAGCACAGAGTCAGATTTCGAGGGTGAGCAGCAGGGGGGGACCTGGATCAGGGAGGCAAAATCGAGCTGGAATCGGCGATACATCGCCGATAGATTGGACACAGGCCCCCGATAGCAGCTCCGACCGTCCTGAGCGCAGTGGGCTATCGGCCCAGAGGATTCATGGGCGATTGGGTGTCGATACGTCCCCCCTGAGCCTATCCTTACGTCGGGCCTGTCCCCGTACAGGCCGATGTTGGACGAAACATAAGCAACAAAATACCGTAACAAAAATTCAAACATTGTCAAACATCGTCCCCAGACTATTTTTTCACTATTTTTGAATATTCCCCCTGTAGAAGGACAGGCCCGACTCGAGCCTATCCCGCCTCTGCGTAAGGTCGCCCCTGGGATGTCTCCGCTTCAGCGCACACAGCCTCGACTCGGGGGAACGAGCGGGGGCGAGCGCGCTTCTGGACGTGTCTGCGGGCGACGGAAGAGGAGGGCGAAAGGGATGGCGAGTGGACGGCCGCAGCAACGCACTCCCCAGCCTGGCTCGTTCCACATGTCTCTGAGGGAATCAGAGTCGTATCTTTGCTGCTTCGAACAGCAAGAGAATAGTTATGACAGCGCCGAAAGAGAAATGCAACGCTCTCGCAATCCAGGTCCTCTCAACAGTGGGGCCTGGACAATTCGGATCCCAGCGGGAACCATATCGAGAACTCTCTGAGCTGCATCCTGCTGTAGCAGCGAGGACCCCCCCAGTGGCGCATAAACGAGCCAAAAAACAAACAACACCAAAAACGCGCAGCCCAGACATCCGATGTCGTTTTCTCAAGAGAGGCGCGGGCCGCTGACCCCCCGACGCCGTCCCCAGGACGAGTCATCGTTCTCTGGTCTGGTGACTGTCCTGGTGCCCGACGGCAGCCCCCCGACGCCGAAACTGAGAGGAACAGGTGCCTGCGGCATTTTTTGCGGCAGTGCGACAACTGGTCTGCGCCAAATATACACACCAACCCCCGCCGACAAGTTTTCCCCGTGAGTGGCGGTGCATCACATCGCTGGCTCTAATAGAGCCAGGGTGCGGGGAGGGGTACGACATAACGCCCCACCCCCCACCGTGACAGACTGGTGTCGGGCGCACTGCGGCAGTGCTGGGGACGCACTGGGGGGGGGAGGCGCGTTGCGGTGTGGGAAGGGGTGGGAGGGGAGGGGAGGGCGGCATAACGCGCGTTATGGCCCAGAGGGTCACAACAAAGACTCTCTGCGATCCATACACCGCCACCCTCCCCGTGAGACCCAGAAGAAACAATCCACTGGAGGGTGTGCGTTTTTTGCGGCGGGAGGTCTCGGGAGGACCCCCGAGGCCCGAGCCTGCGGAACGGACCGGGGCGGAACGCCCGCTCGGCCTCCTCGAGAAGCGCGAGTGAGGCGGGGCCCGGGCCGCACAGAGTGGACGTCCCCCGAGGCCCCCGCGGGCCTCCCGTTAAGGGCGCAACACAAGAGGGCGACAGCACTGAGCAAAGACCGACCATCCTGGCATTCCGGCAGGCCTACCACGGCATGTTGCGAGAAGAGAAACATGTTCAGACAGCACGGAGTAGCCACACACAAACGCAACACACATGTACACAGATACACAGACATAAAAAGGGGTGAGAGAGAAGAAAAAAAGAGCAAGACTCCCACCCAGACTGGTTACAAGAACGTGTCGTGCAAACCACGCAGGGTTCTCAGAACACTCTTTGGTGGGCCCATGGGCAGGTCAGGAGCTTCGCCACAGCCTGACAGCAAGCCTCCGATTTCGATCGGGCGGGGGCGTTGGGAGGAGGGAAAGCCGCCACCGAGGCGCGCGCGGAGCCTTCAGGGACCCTGGACTTTGGATGTGGCTCTTGAAGATGAAGTTGCAGAGCTCGTAGATGGTGGAGAACTGCGAGTTCAGGGACTCCTCGCCGCTCGGAGAATGCAGCAGTGTTTCGCTAACAGAAACCTGATCTGAGGACTACGGTCAGTTTGCAAGGATAGCGTGCAGCATCGATCTCCGAAGCGCATGCTATCCCTGTGAGGCGGACCCTCCGCCAGGGCCCCGTTCTGCGCACGTTATCCTCCTGCGAGGGACTTCTCGGTGCACGCCATCCCTACCAGTGCCTCGTGGGTGCACGCTGTCCCCAGGGTGGGGGATAGAGTGTGGTAAGCGTGCCAGCGGCGCCACACCGCACGCGATCTGTGCAACGCCAACCGTTGAAGCTGACTCGTGGTCCTGCTTGCGCCCAGGTGTACGAGGAGCGCTGGACTCGGCGGCTTCAGCCGCAGATGGGAAGTCACCCTTGTCGCCGACCAAATCGAAGGCGAGGCCTTTGCTGGAACGCCCAATCTGGCGACACTCGAAGGGATCATGGGCCATCCTCCTCCTCCTCCCCCTCCTCCTCCTCCTCCTGCTCCTCCTTGAAATCGGCCGCGCGACCTGCCCAATAACCAATTCCGACCACGGCTCCGAGGTGAATGTCCAGCCGCTTCGACGAGGGACCCCCGAGGCCGAAGCGAGGCCAGAGGCACGAACCTCGCTCTGAAGACAGCACTACGACTCCTCTTCTTCTCCCACCCCGTGCCCCTCGCGTCTACTCCCCCTCCTCCTCTCCCTCCCCCCTCCTCCTCCACATCTTCCTCCTCCTCCTCCTCGTCCTCCTCCTCCTCTTCCTCCCCTCCTCCTTCCCCTCCTCCTCCTCCTCCTCCTCCTCCTCCTCCTCCTGCCTCCCCGTCGCTTCGCACTGCTGCCGTCTCTCCCTCCTGCTTTCTCTCTCTCTCTCTCTCGCTCTCTCTCTCTCTCTCTGTATATATCTCTTTGCGCAGTGTTGCTCGGTTCTTTCTCTCGTCGCTTCCCCTCTGCTGGTGTCACTCTCTTTTGTTTTCTGTGGCTCAAGAGAGGGACGCCGTACGCAGGCTCAGACGGGATTTCGCTGTTTTTGGGTGATGCCAGGCGTGTAGCTGTCGCCGCTTCGCTGCACCCCTCGAGGGGCCGGCGGAGTGGCGCCGCACGCAGACCCAAGCGTGACCTCACCCTCCATGCATGCTGCCAGGCACGCAACTCCCTCTCTCTCTTTCTCGACTTTGCTGCGTCGATGGGGGAACCGGCGGAGTGGCGCCCCGCCCAGACCCAAGCTGGACCTGTTGCCGTCCTGGGCGCTGCCAGACGACAAAGTGTGGCCACTCTGCTGCGCCATTGGGGCGTCCCGCGGAGCAAAGCCAAGCAGAGAACGACCAACGACCAAATGTAAACTTCTTTGTTGCGCCCTCCGGGTTCCCGCACGCACCAGTGACCAGGGCTGGACCAAACGTTGTGTTTTCCTGCACCTCCCTCCCAAAACGAAAAATAATACACAACCGAAATCCAGCAGAACTCTGTTTAGGTCCAGCCCTGCTGCAGTGACCGTGCTCAGATGTAGGCCAAGAAAACCTAACCGCTGCTGGCCTCTGAGATGGGGCCACGCACTCCGCGTGCGCTGCGGGCCAAGCGCCAACTGAGTGACGATCAACAACGGGTCTTAATTATGCGAGATGGCGTACAGTCAAAGCGTGTGGGCGGTAAGGACGCAAGACCCTTGGAGGCCGACGTTTGATTTTTTCTGGGCGGCGGGCGACCACAACCCCAGAGGAAACGGCCAAGGACGGGCCGCAGAGGCAAGGACACAATGATACCCTAGAAAAGGCGCGCGCCCTTACTAATTATGCGCGTTGACTGTGGCGACATTACGCGGCGGCTTACGCGGGCGGAATGCCACACTGGAGACGAGAGCGCTCACGCGCGACCTTACAGCGGCGTGGCGCCCCACGCAGACATTGCCCGCCCTGGGTGCCGCCCAGCGCGCCGCGCCCACCACGTTGCCGCACCTCTGGGTGGTCTGGCTCTGGGCGACCCAAGCAGACCCAAACGGGACATCGCCAACCCCTGGTGCTGCCAGGCGCACGGCGGTCGCCTCTGTGCTGCATCTCTGCGGAGCCAGACGGGACCCTGCCCTCCACGCGAGAAACTGTCGCCACTTTGCTGCGCCCCTGGGGCGCTCAGCGGAGTGGCGCCCCACGCAGACCCAAACGGGACCTCTCGTGCCCCGCCGGAGTTCAGGGGGCCGCTGGATCGCGCGTGGGAACTCCAGGATAGTTGGCGCGCCTCGATTCGGGTGGATCTGGCGTGGCTCGAGGCCAACGGTGGGCCTGACGACGGGGCTGAGGCGGCAGCGCTAGGCAATTGGTTCGGCGCGGCCCGAGAGGCCCCGGCGGCCCGGGCTCGCGCGATTCGGAAAGCAGCCGAAACTTTTACACGTTGAAATCGGGACTGCTTCTCGCGCCAGGTATGGAACACCCCCGAACGCTCTGAGTCCATCCTCCCTCCTGCGCATCTCCTGCCTGCAGGCCCCCTGCAGGGCGAAGGGCGCGGTGCTCCTTCAGCCGCGTCACCTTCTGCGACACCATCTGCCCCTTCCCGAAGGCGAACACGTCCTGGCAGCGACGAGCCCCCGGCGGCCACCGGCAGCCCTCGGCGGCGGCGCAGTGGCACCCGGCCTTGGCGGCGACAGCAGCGACGGCGGCGGCCGCGTCGGCGACGAAGAGGCATCCTCATCCTCCTCTGGCCCCTGGCACATACGTCCTCTGCCCTCTGTCCTTAGGAGGGAGCAAAAGGGACGGCGCTCCCTCCGCCTCCTCCTCCGCCTTCCCCTGCTGCTGCTCCTCCTCCTCCTCTCCACTTTCGCATCCTTCTCCTCAGCCTCCTCCTCCTCCTCGTCTTGCTCTGGTTGTGCGTCCGTCACGCCATGACAAGCTCCTCCCTAGGTCCCCTCGTCTCCTCATCCTCCTCTCCCCCGTCCTGCCCCTCCTGATCCTACTCCTCATCCGTCTGGTTGCACTTCCTCTCCCTCCTCCCATCTGTATGATTATCTCTCTCCCTTATAGTAATACTGGTCCCGCTCTTGCCCGTGCCCTAGATCCTTCTCTTTGGGCGGTCATACCAACCCCTTTCTCTTATCCTTGTCCACCTCTTACTCGTCGTCGTCAACCTCCTCCTCCTCCTCCACCTCCTCCTCCTCCTCCTCATCATCATCATCATCATCATCATCATCTCCCTCCTCCTCCTCCTCCTCCTCCTCTTCCTCCTCCTCCTCCTGCTCGTAATCGTCAACCCTGCCATCCCCCCACTCAAGCATTACGCGGCTCGAGGCTCCCCGAAGGCATTTTGGCTCACGGTGGCCGAGCCTCGAGCCGCAACCAGTGCTTCGACGCAGCGCTCGGGGGGCAACATCCAACAAGCACGAAGAACATTAGGGTACCCTCCCCGAACCGACCTGGATCTTATACCTCGGTCCGTCTACGCTGCTGATTCTGCCCCTCCTCCAGGAGGACGAGGGCCAGCGGCCGTATAACGAGGGATAAAGGAAGACGAGCGCCGGGGGGCGGAGGGGAGGGGGAGGGGGAGGGGGGGAGGAGGACCAGTGTAAACCCAAGATTCATCAACGATATTGCAATACACCCTGCCTCCAAGCTGCCTCTGTATAAGCCCCTATTAAAACTCATGTTCACTGAAAGGAGTGCTCCGTTGAAAACCAAACGTTAAAAAATCTTGAACTGTGCCAAGACACTATTTCTGGGACTTCGACGCCGCGATTCACCGTTACAATTGCGTCTTGACGATCCTGAACCGTGCCGAAACACCATTTCTGAGCCTTCTACACCACGAGTCAACATAACTGCTGCAACCTGACAATCCGACACCGTGCCACAACACCATGTTGGGGATGTTAGCCAGGAGAATCATTCAAGCTAGTGCTAGCTCAGAAATCGAATGTGAACGGCGCTGATACGAAAATCACAATTTGAAAAAAAGGCCATCCATCTGTGAAGCTGTCGCATGTTTAAACGAATGTGCGCAGTGCTAGGACGAGAACCACATGTTAAACACTACCTGCCCTCCATCCGTGAAACTGTTCTCAACTGTTGAAACGGATGTGCGCGGCGCTAGGGCGAGAACCAACATGTGAACACGACCCGCCAACCATCCGTGAAACTCTTGCGAACTTTGAGACGGGTGTGCGCAGCGCTAAGGCGAGAACAACATTTCAACAACCAATCGCCTTCCATCAGTGAAACTGTAGCAAAGTTTTACGCAATATGTGTCAATCGAAATAGCGAACACCACAATTTGAAAACCATTTGCCCTCCATCCGTGAAGCTGTTGAAACATTTCAAGCTTCAGGACCATGAATTGTGAGGAAGCCTCAAGCGGAACGCCTGGACCGCCCTTTCGATCTGCCTCGGGGTGCGACAGGGAAGCGTTATCGCTTAAAGCAAAAACGGATGAGGACGAGGGGGAGGAGGAGAAGTAGGGGAGAATGAAATGGAGGAGAAGGGGAGGCGGATGAGGAGGAGGAAGAGGCCTGGCTTCAGCCTTGCCTTTGCAACGGGGCCCTGAGGGATGGTGCTGCTAATGTCGTCCACCGTATGCCACTCGCGCCGCCAGAGCACTGCTCGCTCGAACGCCGTTGGAACGGCTTCGCTCGTACGTAAAGTACTGCCATCCGAGACTCAAAACCGCTGGCTGAATCGGGACTCGGCTTGATCGAAGCGCTGGTGGCTTCGACGTCTGGTGCGCGACAGGTTGGCGCCACCTTGATGAAGACAGGGGGAGGACGGACTGAGGAGGATAAGGAAGAACATCGACGACGAGGAGGATGATCAGGAGGAGGACGAGGAGGGCGGGCCCGAACTGAGGCGCGAACAAACAACAACACCAGTGCGCTGACAAAAGTTGCATACAGCGTACACTGCGACCTAGGCCAGAAGAACGTCCTTCAAGAACATGAGACCCTCCGCTGGCCAAAACAGACAGAACATCCAAGGGCACCCTCCCCAAGATGCACAAAAAAACAACAACCAAGAAGAACAACACCCTCCCCGAACCGACCTGGATCTTATACCTCGGTCCGTCTGTACTGCTGGTGCTGCCCCTCCTCCAAGAGGACGAGGGCCAGTGGCCGTAGAACGAGGGATAAAAGAAGACGAGCGCCGAAGGGCGGAGGGGAGGGGGAGGGGGAGGAGGGGGAGGATGAGGACGAGGGGGAGGACCAATCTACACCCAAGACTCGTCAATGACATTATGATATTGCAATACACCGTCGCTCCAAACCGCCTCTTCACATGCCCCTACAAGGCCTCATCTTCACTGAAGGAAATGCCCCGATGAAAAACAACCGTGTGAAAATCCTGACCTGTGCCAGGACACAATCCCTGGGACTTTAATGCCGCCGCTCACCGTTAATGCTGCGTCTTGACGATCCTGAACCGTGCCAGAACACCATTTCTAGGACTCCGACACCACGAGGCAACGTAACTGCGCCCTGACAGACCAACATCGTTCCACGACACTACGAGAATCATTGCCTCCCTCCAGGTTGCCTCTTCATACGCCCCTACCAAAAAATGATGTCCACCTTGACCTGTACAATCGGGGATGGACAGAACCCCCTTTAGTAAAGCGCGGCTTAGTTAAAAACGACCTCGGGCCGAAACCAGGCGGGCGCAAGCCTGGAAAGTGACGGCCGCGGCGCCCTCTCGAGAACCGAAAACGGACAATTCACTGATCGGTGCGAGAAGAGCCTGCCCCTTGACCTTCCGCCTGCCCGGAGCCGCCGCCACGCTGGCACCGAAGGCGACGGGCCATGGCGTAGAGACGGGCCCCAGGCCCCTGGGCCTTCCCCCAAGACCACATCTTTCGAGTACAGTCATCGGCCTGACCTAAAGAACGATACACCAGGAACGAAGCCCTTTTTCGTCCAAGGAATAACGCATACGGGACGATAAAGAATACATAGCGCATAGGGAACGATAAATAACGCACGCGAGACTAAAGAACGACCGAGCCCCTTTTGAAAAGTGTCCCTTATTCAAGCTAGGGGATCGACTACAGAAGTGATCTATCCCAAAAGTGATTTCCTCGTCGAGTCATACGTAGGGCTTTCGTAGATCTGCGAGATTGCTGCGCACTGCTCACGGGATCGACTGACACTTGGGGCAAAAATCGGCTCTGCAATCGATCCCCTGATTATCAGATCTTCGTGCCGGATCGTTTCTGGACGGCCCCGGGGCCCATGGTGGACCCCACGAGCCCAAAGACGGGAAAACACCTCACAACCCTTTTCCCTCAGGATCCGGCTGTGGCTGGACAGTAGACATGCATGTACACGCTTTCCCCTCTTATCCTCTATATAAGGATGCCTGGCGGCAGGATGGTGCATCGTCCTCTTTCCTCCTCCCTGCCTCGAGTACGACTACTGCTGCTGAGCTCTGCTCTGCCCGAGGACTCCTTGAGGGGGTGGTTGAGAGCCTAACGCTGGCCGGATACCTTCCCCTGGCGGGCACGGGACGGGAGAGCGGGTGGGCCCGGCCCTCTCCTGGCTCAGCAGGTTCAGGATCCGGAGGTTGTTCTCGCAGAGCGACTGGTTCGCCTCCCCAGGGATTACTGGGTTCAAATCGGGCCTGTCCCTCTACGGGAGGAATATTCAAAATAGCCAGAAAAGCAGTATGGGGACAATGTTTCTACCATTGACTTTTTTTTAACATGTTTGGGGCATTTCTTTACTTATTGCTCGTCCAAAGTCCTCCTGTAGGGGGCCATGCCCGACCAAATACTGGGTGGGCGGTACGGTCGTCTGGTGATGGCGGCGGAGTGCGGACCACTGGCGTCGCGACTTGCTTGTGGCGGGCGGCGCTCTCAGACCCTTCTCGGGATCAGTTACTCCATCCGGAGGGTTTGGGAAGCCAACAGACACCGACACCACCATTCCCTGGATCTGTCCTGGGGTGGGCTTCAAATCCAGCGGTGGCGACCAGCATTGCAAGGCGAATCCAGCGGTGGCGACCAGCATTGCAAGGCGAATCCTCACACATCGAGTAGGGGATCGACTGCATAATAGGATCACCCCAGAATTATTGTTCGTCAGATCTACGAAAAGAGACTTAACATGTTCACAGATCAACAAACTATCATACTCATGTTTCGCAAAATCGACGAAGACCGATTTCTGAGGTAAATCTAAAAGTTTCTGTAGTCAATAACCTACTCGAGCAAATGCGACAAGGAGGCAAGGGACGAGGGGGGGGGGAACGAGGAGGAGCGAGAGGGACGGGAGGGAGGGACGAGGAGGAAGGGGAGGGACGATGGGGGAGGGACGAGGGGGAGGGCCAGGAGTAGGGGGAGGGACCAGGGCTAAGGACGAGGAAGAAGGACGAGGAGGAAGAAGAGGGACGAGGGGGAGGCGAGGGAGGCGGCGGCAGGGCACAGCTGGCCATCGCGGCCCTTCGCCGCAGTTCCTCGAAGGCGAGGCCCGCGGCCGGCGCCGCGTAAAAGGCCAACGAGCACACACCGAATCAATTCGTCAGAAAAACGTCGAAGCAAAAATCCGGTGGGCGCCCGCCCCCCCCCCAACACCGCGTCACCACAGAAGCTTCGCTTCCTCGTTTGTTAGACGCGCGAATTCCGCGCATGTGCGTGGCAATCGTGCCGCCCCCATGCAAAGCCTAGCCCGCCGAAAAAACGGCCGCGGTAACATCCGACGCGATAACTTCCAGTGCCCTCTTGGGGGCCCAACAAGGCCCCAGCGGCCCCCATGAGGGCTCAAAAACAACCACAGCAGGGTTCCAAAAGGGGTCCCAATGAGCCCCTGGTCCAACTCCACGGCTTGGAACTCGAAACGGTAACTTCTAGGGCCCCTTTTGAGGCCGTTCGGGGCTTCCAAGACGGCCACGGAGAGCCCCTGGAGGGCCCCAAGGGAGCCGCAAGAGGGTTCCAAGAGGCGTCCCGGTGAGCCTCTGGTTCAACCCCAAGGCTTGGAGTTCGCAGCGATCACTGTCGCTGCCGTCTGGGGAGGGCCCCCTTCGGGCGGCCCTGAAGGCCCCATGAACGCTCCCCCGAGGCCGCGAAAGGGCTCCCAAAGGGTTCCATTAAATATTACCCCCGATTATTATCCGCTGCAGGGTACCATGCTTCGCTCATGCACGGCGGGCCGTTTTTGCTACAATCTCCCCTCATGCACGAGGGAGGCCGCTGTTGCTACACTTCAACTTCACAAGCGTGTTTGCTACAATCTACTTCATGCGCGGTGCTTTCGCTTCAGCACCCTCCCACGCACATGGGAACATTATTACGAAGACCCCCCTCAAGCACACAAGGCAAGGTTGCTGGAACCCCCATCATAGACGAAGGAACCGTTGTTGTTGTTGCTGCTGCAATTTCGCCCGACGTGCGAAGAGCTATCCTTGCGATTCCTCCTCCTGCACGGAAAAACAATTGCTATTTCAACCTGCTACCCTGTACGCGATGATACGTCGTTATTGCAATCCCGCCCATGTGCAAAAATCATGTTGGCTACAAATTTCCTCGTAACAGAAAACGAATTCACAACATGCACCCTCAACTGCGATAGTCTACTTGTCCGGCAATTCCGCTTCGTGAACAACAAACATGCTTTGCTGCAAGCCCCTCACGACCAAACGACATGTTTTGCCACAATCCTTCCTCTTGCACGGCGGACCGTTTCTGTTACAACCTCCCCCCGTCATGTACGGGAGACCGCTTTCGCTGGAGTCCTCCCTCGCGTACCAAGAGCAGTTCTCGCTACAACCCCCCCCTCATCATGCGCAATGGACCGTTTTATCACACGCACACACACACACACTTTTTAAGTCGGCTGCTAGGCAGAGTCACTGTGCTGGCAGATGGCCACACACACACACACGTGCACCAGAGACCGCTTTTGCTTCAATCCCCGTTGACGCACGAGGGGCAGCGTTTGATACAATCCCTCCTCTCACGCACGAGGGACAGCGATTGCTACAGTGACCCCCACGTGCGATGACCCCCACGTACGAGGAACAGACTTTGTCCACCCCTATCCTCCACTCCAAATCACACTGGAGAAAGCCCCAATCAGATGTTCGAGCGAAGCGTGTAAGACATCGCGATGTCTCGGAACCTTTTTGGCCCCCTTCGAAGCCTTCCCGAGGTCCCCGAGAAGCCTACAGAGAGGCCACAAGAGGGCCTCACGAGAGCCCTAGGAATTGCCACTTTCATGGGCGCCCGAAGTGACAACTCGAAGGTGCCTCCCGGGGCCCTCTCAAGCCTTCACGGGGAGTTCTCCTGAGGCTCGCCCGAAGTCCCGAAGAGGTCCTGGAAGGCCCCGAACACCCGAAAAGGTTTCCAGAGGGCCCAATGCCGGGGAGGCGTCCCTACCCAAAAAGCCTTGCAAGCCTGCCTGGGAGCGGAGGCTATGCGAGGTCCGGACCTGGCGTTGACGACAACAATTTCCACGTGGGTTGCTATGAAACATGGAATACACGCCCCATACGGAAGATTGGTGCATACTGAAAACTGACCCGCCCCCAAGGTTAATCAAGTATACACGGACTCCGGTGCACACCGCGGTGACAAAAATCTGGCTTGAACAAAACAACCTGTTTCGCATAAGTTCGCTCGCGCGCGCACGTGCGCGCGCGAACGAACCAAGCCAAAGTTTGCAGCGCCAGGTCGCGCCACCTCTCCGGATCCTCGCCCCCGCTGTGGAAATCTGGGATTGCGCTTCCAAGGAGCGCGCCTGCGAAGCCAGTGAACGATCTCGATCCCGGGAGTAGCCAGCATGGCCTCCAGAGGGCCCCCAGGAGTGCCTCAAGCGGGCCCTAAGAGTTCACTTCCACGGGCGCTGGAAGTGACAACTTCATGATCCTTCTGGGGGCCCTCTCGAGTCTTCTCGGGCCCTCTTGAAGCCATCCCGACGTCTCGAGGAGGCCCTGGGACGGACCCGAAGAGTACCCAGAGGGCTTCGAGAGGGCTCCGAAAAGGCCTCGAGAGGGTTTTGAGAAGGCCCCTCCTAGATGCTCCTGGCAGTGCGCTTCGAAATGCGTCCTAGAAATCTAGGAGGGGCTCTCTTGGCCTTCTCTCGGGCCTTCTTGAAACTCTCCTCAGGCTCTCCGAAAGGTCCCGAAGCGGCCCTGGGAGGTCATCCGAGAAGCCCCAAGAAGGCCCCAAGAGGGCCCCATGAAAGCTCCTCCAAAAAGCTCCCGGCACACCGTTTCGGGAGGCTCCCTGGGAACATCTGGGACGGGGCATCTTGGGTTCTCTCGAGCATTTTTGGAACCCTCCCGAAGTTTCCCGTGGGGCCCGGGGAAGCCCTGGGACGCAAAATGCCCTGGCGGGCTTCAAAGGGAACCTGGCGGTCGAGAAAAAGAAAGGAGCTCAATTCACCGGTGTGGCTCCCGCGCTGGCGCGAGCAACTCGTTCACTCGAAAGCCCAGGCATTTCTTCGGCAACAAGAGACTTGGAGACGGGGGATGTGACAATCTTCCTGGGGGTTGAAGCCCTTCTCCGAGTGAGGGGATGATTGCCCCCCTTGGATCAGCGAGGGAGGGACTTTCGCGCACTGCTGGAAGGGGGCCAGGGGGGAGATGGCACAGTTTGAAACTCAAATGTATGGGCCAGGAGGGTTGGCCGGATAGCGTCGGCAATCCCCGAGGTGGGGATGGAAATGCTTGACACTTAGCGTATCCGCACCAGCCGCTTCCCCGCACTCGTGCGTGCTGCTGCCAGGGGTCCCTCGGCTTCCGCCACCCTGGGAGTTGCAGCCTGCCAACGCTCTCGCCTCTGGCAACAATTCCTTGGTCGACGGTCCTTTGGTCCACCCTGTTTTTCGCGCTTCGCGCCGTCCAGGGCCTCGCCTTTGCATTTCTCTGTCCTACCTCGACCGACGTTTCGTTGGCCACGGCCACCCTGGTGCCCACGCAGTCGTCTGAGGTACGGTATCACGTTTTCTCTCTCGGAGCTGTCCCTGGCCGTCGTTGACTTTCCGACGTGTGGCGCCTCCGACTGACTTGCAGCTGTGCACGCTGGCAGTTCCCCTCAGTCTCAGTCCCGTCCGCCCCCCATCTGAGGCCTCGGCCGCGCTGAGTTGTCGCCTCGCCCGTCGCGGTGTTTGTTTTTCCCGAGTTTCCTTTGCCTAATTAGTCTCTGCGTAGCCCGCTTTGACCTGACACGCCGCCGGCGCGCTCGCCCGCGGCCGCTGACTAAAAAGTATCCGCACCACCCCATCCAGAAACAGATCGCCAGGTGAGTTGCCTTGTTCAGGGAAGTGTAGAATTATGCCATGTAACAGCCGCCTTGGGAGTGTGTTCTCGGAGGCCTCCTGGAGCCATCCTGGGTCTCTCTTGGGGTCTTCGCGGAGCTACTTGGGGCACTCTTGGGGCCCTCTTGGGGCTCTTTTGGGGGGTCCAGAGGCCCTCTTGGGGCTCTTTGAGGGGCTCTGGCTCTGGGAGGCCTCTTGAGGCAAGTTTGGGCTCACTGTTCAAAAAGAGGGGGCGGAAATTCTGCCACCCCCTTTGGAGGCTCAGAAATGGCGCCTCGGGGCCGTCTTGGGGCACTGTTGGGCGTCGTTGGGGCCGTCTTGGAGCCCTCTTGGGTCACTCTTGGGACTCTTGGGCCATCTTGGGGCCACCTTGAGGCCTCCGAGGCCCATCGGAAGCAAAAATGCGAGAAGGCAACAATCATCAATTTGCCTTTCCGGTTTGGGAAAAGTTGGGAAAAGTATTTGCCTCTTGGCGGGTCATTGGAGGGCTCCGAGGGCACATAACTGTCTTGGGGCCGCCGTGAGGCCCCTTGGATGTGTGTCGGAGGTTATCTTGACTCATCTTGAGTGGTATTGGGCCATCTTGGAGGCCATCTTGGGGTACCTGAGGCCCTCCTGGAGCCATCTTGGGGGCTCTAGCGCCTCGCGGCCCCCGCCCTCCCAGGCCCAGGGGGAGGGGGTAAGGGGGAGGGGTCAAGACACCCACCCGCCGGCAAGCCGTCTAGCTCACTCCCACTCGCCCTCCCTACACATAAGTAACACCCGAGCCTGAGCATGTTCAGCGGTCGTCTTTGGATGGACAGCTACTGGGAATCAAAGCCGACCCCAAGTGCGACGCTTGGACGAGGTGCGCCACGCGTGCCAGGGGCGCCACGCGCGCCAGACACCCCTGGGGCCCGAGCGTGCCAGGCACACCTGGTGCGCCAAATGCGCCACGTGCTCCGAATGCGCCAGGTGTGCCGCACACTCCAGCCGCGACAGGTGCGCCGCGTTGGGGGCACGTGCAGGGTGCGTCAAGTGCACCTGCGCACGTGACAGCACACATCCGGAAACATGTCGGCCCCCGCCATCTTCGTCGAACACCGATGCGCATCATTGTGCCTGCTGGGCCTGCGCACAACAGGCCACGCGCCACCACCCCCGCCGTCCCTGTCAAAAACCACTTGGCAGGGATCGCGGGATGGCCGCGCATGATCCAGATTTAGCCGCGAGGTGCATGTTGTATTCTTGTGTCAGGGATGGTAGCCCTGCGCGCAACAGGGAATATGCTGACACCCCCGCCGCCCTGAAAGACACAACTCGTTCAACCACCTACGCCCAGAGGGCTGGTGGGATTACGGGGCGGTCGTGGGCGGGAAAAGATGAGACATCGATTCCCCCACAAGTGCTTGCACTGGAATGGTCCCGGCGGAGATTGAACAAAAACACATGCGGAAATGTGATGCCAATTTCAGTACGCGGCCAAGTTCCTGGGTTTCGAGTTTCGGCCATCCAAGACGACACGCCAGGCCCCAAGAGGGGCCAAAGAGGAACCACAATGAAGTCACGCAATTGCCCTCTCGCGTGAGATTGTTGTGACTCCGTTGACCCCCTCTTGGAACCCTCTCGGGGCCCTCTGAGACGGCGCCAGGGGGCGGGGGTCACCACGGAGTCAACCGAGAGCCCTCTCGCATGACTTCATATTATCTCCAGGTACATCAAGTCATTCTTCAGTCCAGGCCCTCTTGGAGCCTCTGGGGCCCCCCTTTCCAAGCCCGCCTTGCCTCCTTTTCCCACTCTGGCCCCTCGCGGTCCATGCATTACTCCCCGCCCTCTACCTCGATTCTTCCTCCTCAATTCCCTCGCCCCGCTTCCGTTTATTTGCCCCTTCCGAGGGCCTGGCGCCAACCATCAATGGACCGCCACGTGAAAAACCGAACCGCACGAATTCGGTAGCGGTGTAACCCTATGAAGCTATGAAGAACCCCCCTGTCGGAACGATATCTTCAGCACCCCACCAAGCCGCAACAAATACATAATCATCCCTCCCCAGGCCTCTTCCTCCTCCTCCTCGTCGCTTTCGAGGGTTGCGAGGAGCTCTAGAGGAGTGATAAGCAACTGCCAAGTGCCAGGGTTCCAGGGTAACGCTTCAGGGTGCTGGGTGCGTTATCGTTTCACCAGGAGGTTATGCTTGTTGGCCTCCGAGGTGATGCTTGCTTTGGGGGGGGCGGGGCAGGAGAGGAGGGGGAGGAGGAGGAGGAGGAGGAGGAGGAGGAGGAGGAGGAGGAGGAGGAGGAGGAGGAGGAGGAGGAGGAGGAGGCGGAGAAGGAGGGGGAGGGGGAGTAGAAGAAGAAGGAGGAGGAGGAGGGGGAGGGCTCTGAATGGTTTCACAAGGTTATGCTTGTTGGCCTCCCATCGCGGCAACTGCAGGGGGCGTCGCAAGGGGACCTCTCTCTCTCTCTCTCTTCGAGGACGCACTGACCCGGGTCCGTACAAACCTGGGTCCGTCGGGCTTTGCAGGATCCTGCAGCTGCAAGATTATGCGGCCTCATCCGGGTCAGTGCAGCCCTGGCTCTGAAGAATCCTGCCGGGGCCCTGGCTGGCCCCCGTTCGCTGTGACCGCCGTCGCTTGAGCTAAGACGAGGCCAGGACGAGGATACATTCGGGTGAGGATAGACCGAGAATCTATGAGATCCAGCGGCTCTGGAGGAAGTCTCGGGCGCCGCGGCTTTCTCAGAGCGTTCTGGAACGCTCTGAGAGCAATCCAGAACGATCTATCGAAACGGAGTTCTATCCTCGACCTAGCCCCGTCCGCTGAGCCCCGACCTCTGGAACATCCGCTCCTGCCGGCCCCCACGGGAGCCCCAGAAGCGGCCTCCGGGCGCCGAGCCGGAGCGGGGCAAGACGGGGCGCGAGGCTCCCGAGTCTGGAGCGGGTAGCGCAAAGAGCGTTACCTAGAGGGGGGGCGACGAGGAGGAGCCCTCAAGGAGCCCGTTGGGGCCCCGTCGGGGCCACTGCTGGCTCCCAAAGGGGCCCCTAAAGACCCGCCTCTCTAGGGTCCCTTTTCTTCACACCCCCCCTTCGGGCCTCTCTAAGGCCTCCCTGCGGCTTCTCTAGGGCCCACTTTTCTTCTCCCCCCAGAGGGCCTCTCTTGGGCCTCTCGAGGGCCTCTCCAGGGCCCCCCAAAGGCCACTCCAGGGCCCCTGTTCTTCACCCCCAATTGAGGCCACCCCGCATTGCCACCCGCCGGGGTCGCCAGAGCTCTCCATCTCTGGTGCAGTGGCGGCGCAATCGCGGCCAGGGAAAACTCCAGCTCGGTGAGATCGTCTGCCGCGTATCCACGGGTCGGAGGAAGTGGGTGGACGCGTGAAGTATGAAGGCGTTGGAAGTAGATGGGGTTTCCGCCCGCCCCCTAAAGATGAAGGGAAAAGAGAAAAACGCTCGTTGATCGAAATAGGAAGGCGCCTAAAGTAGATTGGGATCTGGGAATCTGGAAATACCAACTTTCAACGACCGATGGGTAACCTTGAATTCCCCAGCCTCATGTCGACGCGCAGGTTCGATCCCCGCTGTCTCATCGAGGCCTGCCCGCGGCTGGGCTGGCTGTGGCGAGGATTGCGCCAAGGGGAGAGGACGATGGGGAGGTGTTCGGGGCTGTTCTGGCTTCCCCGAGGCTCTCATCCTTCCCATCCTCCAGGTCGGTCCTCCTTCCTTCTCTCCTCCTCCCGCTCTCTTCTGCTCCTACCCCAAGCTCGAGGAGGGGGGGGAATAGGGGGGGAGGGATGAGGAAAGTGACGGGGGGGGTGGGCGACGGGGGGGGTGGGTGGGCGAGCTGGATCTGGGGAATGGCGCGCGCTGAATGCACATGCGGAGGGCTGGCATACCATGCCATAGAAGGGCCGAGCGCTGGACATGCATGCGGCCACATAGGTGAAACCAGCTCTCGCCCAGGCTGGCCGCGTCACGTGGTGGATTCCAGAAATTCTGAACCAAAAAATGATGTCATCTCTTGGGGGGCGCACTTTTTTTCTTCCGCCACCTTCCGCCGCCCTGCGGCCATCGTCCGCCGGCGGAGGCGGCCTCGTTTTACTTCCGCCGATCTCCCGCCGCCCTTCCGCCCCGGAAGAGGTGGCAACTCCTTCGATCCTCGAAGGCCAGGCCTTTTTTGGAACGCCCCATCTGGTATCCAGCCTCGTGGTAGGGCGCCACCTTGACATTGTCAGTGCACGGAACTGCCACAGCGGTCTCCACGTGTGCGGCGCGCTCGCCCCCACCGGCAGAGGCCCGGGGGGGCACGCGGCGAGGCCAAAGCACGACCACCGCACCTTCAACTTCCCTCCAGGCACCGTCTCGTGGGATCCTCGGGACGTCGGGTCCTCGAACGGTCTGTCAGCAAACGGCGTTCGTACCGACGATCTCCCGAGAGTGCCGTTGGAGCCCGGGTTAGGACCACAGCTCCCGCAACTGTAGGTGGTCTGTCTGGGGAGGGGGTGGGTGGAAGGATCGGCTACTGACACGTCGGTCGGAAGAAGTCGGTAAAACGTGAAGTAGGAAGGCGGATCAAGTAGATTGGGTTTAGGCAGTCCCAGGGAATTACTAACACACCGAAGAAGTGCATCGATTCTTGAAGCAGGGAGGCGCTTGAAGCAGATTGGGACCTGGAAATCCAACAACAAATATACCTGCTCTCAACGACCGGCGTGCACGCGCAGGGGTGACCCCGAGTCCTGGGCAAGGGGCGACCTCTGGTGCGCGGCCGCAGGGGGCCCGCGTGGGAGCCAAACCAAAGAGCGCAGCCCAACGCAAAGGGGGGGGGGGGCGCCCCTCGCCGCCCGGGCTTCAAGCGACGGGCTGGAGAGCCCAGAATCGAATCGAGAGGTCGGATCGAATCGGAGGAATCGAATCGAATCGGAGGGATCGAAATGAGCCCTGACAGGGGCGGGGCGTAGGCTGCCTCTGGTTTTTGTGTGTCCTCTCCCTGGTCGGCCTCGTCGCTCGTTCGCCCCGCTACGCTCGTGTCATCCTCGTCGTCGCCCTCCGTCCGAATCTTGCCGCAGCCCTGTGGCATCCGTGAAGGCTTCGGATCCATCAGGCAGTCCCAAGGCCCGCACCAACGGCCACTCCAGCGAAGGGTCACTCCTACCCAGCGCGCCAGCTGAGCAATGTTTTTCCTCACCGTCCTGCGGTGTTGGGTCCTCTTTTTGAAGAGACAGCGCCCCGCGTCTCCCTCATTCATTCCTCCTCCACCCTCATCCTCATCCTCATCGTCATCGGCACCGTCACCGTCACCGTCATCATCATCATCATCAGCACCATCATCATCATCATCATCATCATCATCATCATCATCATCATCATCATGTTCATCATCATCATCATCATCATCATCATCATCATCATCATCATCATCATTATCATCATCATCATCATCATCATCATCATCATCATCATCACCATCACCATCACCATCATCACCATCATCATCATCATCATCATCATCATCATCATCATTATACGCTGTTTGTTAGGCGGAGAGCGACTTCTCAACAAGCCCGCTTGCAGCGATAGCGGGCTGCTCCTCCAAAGTTCAAGGCAGAGGGAAGCTCCCTCACGAGACAGGCACTGAAGTGAGAGCTGACACCCGAGACTCCCAGGGCCAGGGCGGGCGGGGACCCTCGAAGGGCTGCAGAGGGACGCACGCAGCAGAGAGAAACAAAAACTGAACTGCTAAGCTGCTTCTGCAACTGCCGACACGACGACACTCCACTCCCCGCTAAATCATGTCCGTGCCCGCACCCCCATGATACGCTGTTTGTTAGGCGGAAAACGACTTCTCAACAAGCCCGCTTGCAGCGATAGCGGGCTGCTCCTCCAAAGTTCAAGGCAGAAGGAAGCTCCCCTCACGAGACAGGCACTGAAGTGAGAGCTGACACCCGAGACTCCCGAACCTCTACACAGGGTTACAGTTGTAAATGGAGGCTCTCGACAGGCTTAGCAGAGACCGAGCGAGCGCAAAGTTGAAAAGGGCAGGTCGTTTCACACTGGCTTGACTACGACTCTGGCCAAATTGATCACGCCCCCTAAGTTGAACGTGAGGGCGCTGAGTCCTGTCACAGATTCCATTACGGCTTTCACATGTGTGCGCCAGACCTGCGACGTCTTCTGGCACCTCCCCTAGGCACATATAGTTGCAACGATGCTTCCAGGGCGTGCCAAACATACACCTGTCACTGCTGAGTCTGAAAACGAAAGAGGCAGGCACATTCACGAGAGAGCGGACTAGGGGCGCCCACAGTCGACTACCTTCAGGCATCTCGACTAACACTGGAAATGTTATGACACCAACAATCTGAACAAATGCGTCCTACACGCTCAGCGTATCTTTGAATTTTGAAACGACAGAAGCGATTCCCACTGGCCTTACTTGCTCCCTGGATGTGTGGAGAAAGGAAGACAGACGCTGCCTCCCGTCGCCGAACATGCGCTCGAATCCGACTAAGCCGGCACCCAGGACGCAATCGCTCAGCACGCTCGCCTGCCACAACCAGCCAGGCACGCCGTGGGAAGCGAGCTGCTGCCCGACGCTCGTCAGCTCGTCCCCGATGAGGATCACCTTCGGGCACTGGGCAAGGGCTGGATGCCGCCTGGCAGCGGCGCCGCACGGCCCCACAGCAAGGCGGGCTCCAGCTCGCACAGGCACTGCTCCCCGTACGCCACCATCACCGCCGTGCGCTGCTGCTCGCGATGTCCGAGCCGCGCGCTCTTCTCGTGCCTGGCCATGTTCTTGAGCTGCCGCCAGCCCCCGCGCCTCTGCGCCTCGGCCTGGCTCCGCTCGTTGCTGGCGCGATCTATGCTCGCACCAGAGTGCCTGGCCTGGTAGGGCGTGATCCGCCCTAGCTGCAGGGTGTCGCAAGTGGACCGCATCTCCCGCAGCAGCTGCGGGTAGTCGAACTGCCACGCTGGCTTCCTCGGGTCCTGCCGCTGCAGCTCCTCCAGCACTGGCCCAAGCCACAGCAGCCATGACGAGTCCAGCTTCACACTCAAGTCGAACTCTCCCACTTTGTCGGGGGTGGCCCTCTCCTGCGGGTGCATCAGCAGCCCCCAGAAGCGGCAACCACCCCCAAGCTTGACAATCTCCCCAGGGCGGAGTCGGAAGAGCGAAGACGGGCGCAAGTAGGTCGACACTGCCAACGCCAGAAACACTGCCATCATGCGCTGGTTCCGCAGGGCCAGACCATGCATGAGGGCACGCCATATAATGAGCGGCTCGGGCATCCTGGCACGGCCAGGCGTGAGCTTCTTCCAGCCCTTCAGCGCCTTCCACATACGGGGTAGTGCACTGGCCCCCAACCTCCCATACTTCGGGAAGAAATGGTTCACAGCCGCCGCCACATACATGCCCGTGGACGCCTGCTCCCCTTCAAGGTACAAGGTCGTGAAATAGTGTACCATACATACATCCAGAGTCTCTGACGGCATCTCGAACAAAACCTGGCGGCCACATCGGTCTTTCATCTGCTCTAACACTCTGTGGTGCTGTGCTCGTACCTTCGGCGTCGCCGTGCTCGACTCCAAGTAGCGTCCGATCGGCACTCCGTCCTCGATCGCCCGTGACACTGCCGCATGTCGCCGCTTGACCCGCCTCCCCAGTGTCCTCTGGCGCTTGGCAGCGGTGGCGGCCTCGGATTCGCTGGTAGTGCCGCTCGAGCTCGGCACGGCTGATCGTCCCCGTTTTCCAGTTGTGCGCCTTCGGGCGTCGCAGCTCGCGTCCGCGCCCGCCCCCTCCAGGCTCGGCGTGGCCTGGCCCTTCGCCTCGGCGGGCCGCTGGCCGCCGATCTGGTTCTGGAGCGCGGCTGAGGCAGGCGGCCTCGCCGCCTCGCGGGTCAGGACTCTCGCCCGTCGCTCCTGCGGCTGCTCGATGGGCGGCTGCGACCTCAGGAGCAGGCGACCCCTGGAGGCGGGGCCCGAGAGCATCACAACGATCTCGAGCCAAAGCGCCTACGCCAGAACAGCTGGCTGCTGTGCGCGAAGGATTTACTGACGCAAAAAGGTGCTTCAGGTTTGGCGGGCTCATGACATCTGTCACGACATGGTCTCTGATCAGATTCACTTCGGAAGTTCGTTCATCTCGCCAACGGCTGTCTGGGTTTGAAGTGCGTGCACAGACACGGGGGGGGGGGGTCAAACTGAAACTCACAGCAGCGCCTCCTCCATCCTCGGACTCGGGAACAGGAGGACGAGAAAAGGCAGGCAAAGAAACAGGGATCAACCGCGTGAGAATATTGGAGGGTTGTCCTCCCTCTGCTCGGGGTCCCTCATCACTATTGTTGAGTTCACTCGGGGTCCACCGAACAATCGCCCTAAGGTTCCGCCCCAAGAGGTAGGCCGAGAATCTACGAGTCTGCCGCAAAATGGCAAAACTCTTGCACCTACTTCTGGCAAGCGCCAGGGCCACCCCAGGATTATCTACAAGGAGTACCTGCCTAGCGCCAAAGCCAAACCGAGTGAGAGCAATGCGTTTTAAACTCTGCACGAGTGCTCTAGCTTCAAGGATTCCTATATGCTCACTGTATCTCCAGACCCCTTTTCCCAACATCTCGCCACAACGGGTGTGCCAAGAGACGACTGGGCACCTCCGAGAAGTCGGGGTCCAACTCGTAATCCCCTTCGGGCAACGTGGTCTCGATCAACCACTTTTCACCCTCGTCCACGCACAGCTTCGCCTCCCCCGCTTTCGCCTCCAAGAGCTCCCCAAGAGCCGCCGCTGTAAGAGTTGATCGACGTGCCTCTTGACCCTCTTCTGTCCTGAACCGCCTCCTCTAACGACACCGCCCGACGACGTTTAAAGACTCGAGGTCCCAGTAGCTCCCAGATATCCCGTAGCCAGTCTCAGAGGCATCCGAACACTGAACCCACCTATTGTATGGGAGCCACCAGTCAGACACGATCACGGGCAGCAGGCCTTTGAAAGCCTCGAGCTCCTCTCGACAACTCTTCCAGAGAGGCGCGCACTCTTCCTGCATTTTCGAAACGAGGCGGTAGCATGCATGGAATACCAATAGTACAGGCCGCCGAACGAGCCCAAGATAGGCGCAGTGGCCCAGCAGCACGCGGAGGTCGTGCCCGCGCACCGCCCGCATCTGTAGCACTCCCACGAGCGCCTGCCGCACCCTCCAGACCCGCTTCAGCGATGGGCGCGTCTGCAGCCTCTGGCCGTCCAGCACCGCCCCGAGCACTTCGATCCCGTCGCTGCGGACCTCTCGCCCGTGGACCTTGAGGCCGACCGCCTCGAAAGCTCGCACCAGCTCGTCGAGGCTGTTGCTGACGCGCTCCCCGTTCTGGCCCAGGACGCCCATGTTGTCCACGTACACGTAGTGCTCCACCTGCTCGGTCCCGCAGACGATCTTCAAGACCAGGGGCTTCCCCAGGTCGCTCAAGGGCGCACTCCCTGCGATGGCGGGAGCAAACTGGCATCGAAGCTCTGTCACACTCTGGCACAGGCGGAGGCCCCACGTGCATCCCATCGGCAGCGCCTCGGGGATCGGATAGATCAGGTCGTCGAAACCCAGCACCTCGCCGTCCAGCCGACCCCCGTGGATCCCGACGTCGCCGGCTCGGAGACTGGGAAGGCCGAGCAGCCGCTTCATCCAGGCTGGCAGCCGCATGCGATGGAACGCGTCCTTCACGTCCGCCACACCCACTGAGAACTCCACGTCCTCTATGGCAGCAAGGCGGGGTGCCTCCAGGTGATCTCGCGCTCCGCCCACCTCCTCGAGCTCGAATGCTGACAACCCCTCCGCGGTCAAGAGTTGGACCGAAGGTGGATCGATCAGCCAAGCATTGCTTCTTCGGCAATCAAGTATCATACGTGATCTCTCTTTCCCTTTCTTCCACACAAAGAATAGACCCACCATCTCTACGACCGTACGGCTGAAGGACACCAGGCCGCGCTTCACAAGGTCCCTCACAAAATCGCTATACATCTGTCGGCTCCGTACCAACTAGGGCTCGCTGAAGGGAGCCCGCGGGCACCGCGCCAGCATCTCCTTCACGCCATCAAGGTCGCGCAGCATGCGCTCGCCCTGCCCCTCCACAAACTGGCGCGCTCGCCCCCGTAGAAGTTCACGAAGCTGAGGTGCCTCGCTGATGCTGTCGGGAAGCGAGGGAAGCCCAGGTCGGTAGGGGGCAAGCAGATCCTCGGGAGGACCACCCAGGTATGGCGATCTCCCACGCTTCAACTCCCGTAGGGCTGAATACGGCGGCTGCAGCTGCTCGCCCCGCATCGGCTGCACGATGTCATACACCTGCCCATCGGTGCGCTTGATGACGTCCAGCTGCATGTCCGACAGGAGAGGCGTGGAGGAACCCACACTCGCACCTGCCAGCCAGTTGATGCTCGAGATGGCCTCGTTCAAAACTTTCACATGTAGAAGCCGTCGGCGTTCACGCCCTCCTCGATGTCCTGCTCCCAGGACGCCCTCGACCTCCTCCTGCAGCGGCAGCGGGAAGATGTCGCGGGCGCCCGCCTGGGGAAGTAACCCAGACAGCCCTGCGCAGTCGACGCCGCTGGTCGGGCTATCCCCTGCGGCGGCCACATCATCGGTCATTTTCCTCCCCCCGCCGCGGCCGCGTCGGGGGAGTTCTTCGATCCCTTCGGGCCCTTAGGCCCATGTTTATCTCCGTCACCTTTACCTCGTTTATCGTGTGGGGCACGGCCGGCCCCTGTGAGGCCCCTGACGGGAGCGTTCAAGAACTCCGCGTCCTCCTTCGCCTTCTTAGCTCCGAAGCTACGCAGCTCAGGGGCCACCGCGTCACTCGGCCCCGTCTCGCCCGTCAAGTACCGAGCCATGCGCCAGTTCGCGGGCGCCCCAGGCACTGCGTGGGCATCCGTGATCACCTGGATGCGCCTGGCCAGCCGCTCCATCGATCGGAGCCCTCCCAGGCTCAGCTGGTCGTAGCCCCCTGCCAACAGCAACGCGTGGCACAGGACCTCCAGCTCATGGTAGATGCGGTCCTAGCGCTCCACTCGATGTTCTCGCGACCACTCGGCCAGCCATCGCATGGGGTCTCCGCCGCTGCGGTACATCGCCTTAGCCAAGTAGACCACCGACACGGGGCCCTCGATCGAGTCATCGGCGTACGACTCGGCCCTGATCTCGCTGACGACGCTCCTCCGCTCCTTGTGCCTCTCGCCGTGGCCGTCGTAGTCCAACGCCAACGTTCTCACGTCCTCGACGGTGTGTCCTCCGAGAGCCTCGCCCGAACCTGCAGTGGCCTCCGCAGCCCGATCTCCGAGCCCGAGGTGCTTCTGGACGCCATCCTCGCCTGCAGGCTCCCCTGGTGGGGTATCAGTCCCCAGGGCACGACGAATACGGGTGAGCTGCTCTCCCCGAGGCGCGTCCGAGACCTTCGCGCGGGCCACCCGACGCACCTCCGTTCCGAAAACCTTCAGACCGTGGCCTCCCAACATGACGTCGCTCCCTGACATCTTCACATCCTCCCCAAGCGCCTTGCCACCGCCTGGTTCCATCAGCATCCAGATCATCTCGTCATCGGCGCCGATGTCTCCAAGCGCTGGGAGCTCTCGAGCTGGCGCGCCCATCACCGTGCCCAGGCCCAACAACTCCCCCGTCTCCGTCATCACGGACTGTGGCCAGTCGCTCGGCTCCTGGCCCAGGGCGGACTCGATGTCACGGCACCCTTTCGCCAGCTGCGCCAGGCGGTCCAGGGTTGGTCGCGCTCTGAAGCGGCACAGCCGTCGCCCAGCGATGTGGGGGCAGCCAGACGACGGCACCGGGACAGCCCCACTCGGGGCATGCTCAGGGTCACCGCCGTCCAGCCGCTCCCGCCACAAGTCATCGTCGGGCGACAGCACCCGCCAGACGCTCTCCTGCTGGGCAATGCCGTCATCGACTCGCCTGGACGGCCACACCAAATAGCGCTCGTGGTCCACGTCGTCGTCTGAGTACGACACCCTCACGCGACTGCCTAAGGCCCCTCTATTCCAGAAGCCCTGCTCCGCTGCGACGGGGCGCAACGGCTCGCCCGGGGCTGCCGCCGTCCTCTCGAGGCGGGCGGCGCTCGCGAGCTCCTCTCCGCGCCTGGCACAGCTGCCGCAGCAAGCCCCCTGCTACCTGGCCGACCCACCACCAGAAGGGGCCGAGGCTCAAGCCGCTCTCGAACGGCCCCTCCGTCGGCCGCGGGCAGACCAGCGGCTCCACGAGCGGGCAGTTCGGCTCCACGCCGAAGGGCCCAGCGGGCGCGGCAGGCGCCTCGGGCGGAGGCGGCGGAGGTGGCGCTGAGACGGGCCAGGCCTCGGGCTCGCCCCACCGATCGCGGCCCCGATACTCCTGGGCCAGGCGGGCGGTCTCCAACCACAGGACAATCCAGAGGGGAAGGTTCTGTGGGGGATGGAACATCCCCCCCTGGCCCTCGAACGGCTGCAGAGGGACGCACGCAGCAGAGAGAAGCAAAAACTGAACTGCTAAGCTGCTTCTGCAACTGCCGACACGACGACACTCCACTTCCCGCTAAATCATGTCCGTGCACGCACCCCATCATCATCATCATCATCAGCATCATCATCATCAGCAGCATAATCGTCATCGTCATCACCATCATCAGCATCGCCATTGCCATCGTCATCATCTCCATCACCACCACCACCACCACCACCATCACCATCCCCATCATCAGCATCATCATCATCATCGTCATCGTCATTATCGTCACCATCATCTCCTGCTACACCACACCCTAAACATTTCTGCGTGGAGGGCGCCCCGGGCGATTCCACCGAAGACGCAGCAGCCGGCGAACGAGACGCACAGGGGAGAGAGAGGAGGAGGAGGAGGAGGCCCCAACGCACCCACACAACACCGAGGAGGAGAGAAGGAAGAGGGAGAGGAGGGCGGGCCAAAAACAAATTGATCCGACGCGGTCGCGGCAATGATGCGTGACCGCGACGGCCTTCGGTTCCACTGAGAGTGAAATTTGCAAGCGCGGCCATCTCCTGCTACGCCCCAGGCCGCCCTAAAGATTTCTGCGCGGAGGGCGTCCCGGGCGATTCCACCGAAGGCGCAGCAGCAGGCAAACGAGACGCACAGGGGAGAGAGAGGAGGAGGACCCAACGCACCCACACAACACTGAGGAGGAGACCCGAGCCCGAGAGGACAAATGGCGACGGCAGAGCGGCGCCGTTTTCTTTCTTTATATATATATATATATTATACCATCTAATTGTATATATTTTGTTTTTAAAAAATGAAGTATGCATAAGCAGAACATTGGCAAGAGCACATATCAGAGACAAGACAGGCAAGGGAAACCAAACGTTTGAGACCTTGAAAACCTGTTTGCCGAACAATTCGATCTAAAACAATGCAAAACTTAAAACAGGGCAAGGCTCGGCAAGGCGGGTCCAAAGGACCCCCAAAACGGGGTGGAGGCCAGAGAGGACGATGTGGGGCTTGTCAGAAAAACAACACATACACTAATACACTGTCTGCCACTACAACGCGGCCTCAGGAAAGCGTCTGGATGATGTCGGGCCCAGGAAGCGATCCGCGCGCACTTCCTCCAGCGGGCCCCAAAGCACGCATGTCGAGGTCGAAGGGCACGGCATCGCGGCCCCCGAGCAGGGCCATCAGGGCGGGCGTGCTCCAAACCCAAGAACTGCCCTGGAGCGGCCCAGCACGATCAAACCCAGGGCGAACCGAAGCTGCTTGTTCCCAAGGTCGACGGCCGCCTGCGGCCTGGCAGAGAGGTTTGGCAGCCCCCAGACGTGATCCCTCGAACGGATGGTGCACCAAGACGACCCAGGTGGCCCGTGCCTGGCCCGGCTCCAAGATGAGCATGGCAGCGCAATCCAGAGAGCACCGGCGACTCCACCACGAACCCACCCACGAACGACCTGGCGGACAACTGGATGGTCGAGATCGAACCACGGTTTCGAAGCGAAGTCCATCGGCAGCGCGGCGACTTCGCGACGCCGAAGCGCTGCGGACAGGCGACCCGTGCCGGCGAACAGCTCCAGCACCGCAGTTCGGGGGGGCCCCTGGTGGCGCTTGAAACTGGCCTGCAACTCTTTGAGGAGGTGACGATGGACCGACTCTGCTGAGGGGCCCCCTTCGGTCGGGCCTGCAAGCTCTGCTGCCCGCGACAGGTCGGGCAGAGCTCGGGCAGCGGCGCGCCCTGCAGGAAAATCTGCGGCAGGGCGGCGCCCATCGCCTGGCCGAAGGGGGGGTCGCCCGGAAGCCGATGCGCAGCAGCTTTGTCGGGGCGCGCGCCTGCATGGCGTGCCACTGGAAGTCGCTGTCGGAGGCCCCGCCGCCGCGTGGCCGACAGTCGGGGGCCGCCCGCCTCCTTGCCAGGAGGTCGTCCGGGGCGCCCCCGTGGCGTAGCTTGTAGGCTGGGACTGGGATGTCGTTCAGCACCAGCGCAAGGGCGGCCCCCTTCATGCACATGCCGAACGGGGATGGCGGGGAGGACTAGATCCGAGATGTCGCCGACGGCGCTCGGCGCCCCATGCTGAGGAGGGCCGGGGCCACGCGGACGACGGTGTCGATCGCCACTGTGAGCTCCCAGAGGCCTGCCCACGCGGGCTGCCCCATCTCGCTGGGATACAGCAGCAGCGCGGCGAGACCCTCGCCCACGGCGCCCGCCGCGATGAGGGAGGCGCCCTGCACCGCCGTCAACCGGCCGTACTCCGAGGACCCGAGGTAGCACGTGAAGCCCCGCATCAGGGCGGTGGCCAGCTCGCGCGAGGCGCCATCCCCGCTGTGGCCGCGAAGGTACACGTAGTCGGCGTAGGTCACCACTATCATGTCCAGCGGATCCGAGCTGCTCCAGTCCAGGGGGAGCCCGGCACACCAATCGGCGAAGGCGCCCGCCGTCTGCGGGTAGCCCCACAGCGTGGCCGTGCTGACAGACGTCGGCTCGAGGTAGGTGAGACCCATCAGGAAATCCCCGTTCGGGCCCTCCCGCTGGCGCGCATCTGCCACCTGCAGGGCGATGGCCGTCAGGGTCCCAGCGCCAGCGGCCAGGGGGGCGGGCTGGAAATGAGGAGCACATCCTGGCAGCATCGGGGGCCGAGCTGAGCGCCCCCGCTTTTCCGCGGCAGCATCGAGGATCATGGAGGCGGTCGCCAAGAGCAGCGGCCACTTCGGCGTCAACAGACTCGATGTATCGGAGCCCCCGCGATGGCGCGTTCAGCAGGGTTGAGCACGCTGGGGGCCCACCCGGCAAAGACGTGGAGTCTGCGGGCCAGAGAGTACGCGCAGATCACCCGAAGGACGCTGCGCTGCTGCGGCGAGGCCCCATCGGCCTTTCCCGATGGCAAGGGCGAGCGACATGTTATCGACCAGGCGCGCGGTCCTCTTCCCGAAAGCGTCCGCTGCCCTAAGCTGGTGGCACAGAGCGGACGCGACGGCGAGCCCCTCTGCGCGGTAGATGTCGAAGGAGTCCCATCCGCGGGAACGAATGCGCGATGGCCCAGCCGTCCTCGGCGAGGAGGTTTGGGTCGACTTCGCCGAAGGACTTGTCCCAGCTCGTGGCCTCGCCAATCGGCAGGCTGCCAGGGTCGCGAAGCACTGCGCCAGGCGAGCCAGGCCCGAGGGCGCGGTCGCGCGCGCGCTGACTCCTCGAAAAGATAGCGCCACCTCTCGGCCGTGCGGCCGATCTCGGCCACCGCGTCGCGGTCGCACCGGCGGCGGCAGACCCCGCAGCCCCAGCCCGAGGCGTCGCTGGCGGTGACCTCGTCGCGCCAGTCCGCGTTGGTGAAGACGACGAAGCGGCAGCAGCGAGCGGACGTGCCAAAGCTCGCGCCGCACCGACGGCCAGAGCGGCATCGCCGTGTCCTTCGCGACGGCAATGAAGGCGTAGACCGAGTCGAAGACGGCCAGGGAACACCTCGTGAGCAGCATGACCCAGGTGCAGTGGCCCACGACGATCTCCACGATGGACCCGCGAACCTTCGGCCGTCGGAACAGCCCCTCGATGGCAAAGCGGAGCCGCCAGGGTCGGCGCGCGGAGACCCGCGCGGAGTGGCGATGCCCATCGAGCTCGAGCCCGACAAAGCTGGTCGACCAGGTTGCCTCAACCTGCTCGTGGGCGACAAAGCCGAGCGAGGAGGGCCCCCGCTCAACCCGGCGGCCCGCGGACTGAACCTCGGCCCGCTGCGGGCCTGCAACGAGGTAGTTGTCGACGTGCGCGGCGCCCGCAAGGGGCAGCTGGGGCGCAAGAACCAAGCCGCGGCTGCGGTCGCGGACCTGCTTCGCAGGGCCGACGCGGGCCCGGGTGAGCGCGGCCTCCGAGGCGCTCGGTGCAGGGAGGTGACCTGAAACGCGCGCTGCAGACGCGGGCGAAGAAGATGAGTCGCTGCTGGCCCGACTTCTTGGCGACCACGAAGACCCCCGGGAGCCCCCGGCGGCCACGAGCTGGAGACAGGCGCAGCATGCCCCTGCCCAAGAGCTCACTGGTGAACTCGCCGCAGGTGGCAGGGTTGCGGAGCATAGGGTCGATATAGGGTTGAGAGAGTCCGAGGTCTCGTCGAAGGGCCGCTGCTTCATCTGGCGGGCGAAGCATATGGGCCTTCCAGTCCTGCAGCCATAGACGGTAGGCCCCCAGGAAGGCGTCGCGCAGCGCAACAGGCACCGAGCCGCCAGAAGGCCAGGGCACGAGGTTCCTGCTGCAGGAGACCATGTTGCCACGCCCCGCAGAGTAGAGCGGGCAGCTAGAGCATAGGTCGGAGAGCGAGTTGGAGCGGGGTGCGTCAGCTGGCGGGCCGCCGAACTTGACATACTGCGCAGCAATGTAGTCGAGAGACCGTTGCTGCAAAACTGAGGGGCGCGTCCGAGTAGGCGGCGCCCCGCCCCCGCAATGCCAGTTGATCGCCTCGATGCCATCGTTGGCCCAGTCGATCCGAGCCAGAGCGCCGCCGCGACTGCCAGCATCTGGGGGAAGTTCGCGAGGCAGAAAGGGAAGGGGGAGAGCGTTTCGCTGACCACTGACAGCCATGGGCAACCTGGAGCGAGGGGCCAAGAGGGGGCCCTCCAGGATGGCCGAAGTCCTGGCGACCGCTGCACAAACGCCGTTGGGCGCCGGCTAGGACTGGGTAGTTCTGCCAGCGCACCTGCACTGTTCGCCGCCGCGGCCGCCAGCGGGCGGGTGGAGCAGCTGCCGCTCCTCGCGCGCCATGCGGCGCCTCTACGCTATGGCCGACTCGGCAACCAGCTGCTTCGAGATCCACTCGGACAGGGCGAGGCAGACAGTGAACTCTCTGTCGGACTGCATCTCCGTGAAGAAACACTGCTCATCACCGTCATTGACGAACAGCCGTGAGGAGACCAACTTGTTGTTGTGCCCATCTGCGCAGGGCTGACGCTGCCGCCCGACCAGTTCCATGGAGGCCAGGTTCGACCCGTCGAGCTGGCCGTGTGACTAGGCGAATCGCATGATCTTCGGAAACTCGTGATGCATCGAGACCGTGGGATCGCCAACGGGCACTGTGGATCCCAACGCCGCCTACCAGGCGAGATGGTGCACCATCGGCGAGCCCCTGTTCTCCGCCTGGTGTGTCGCGACCCAATGGTGCGTGGGAATGCCTGGCACAGGCAAGTCGGGAAAAATCGTCGGATGCATGATCGACCCGCTGTCCCTGGATTGCCGATGCCGTTGGCCCAGCATGTCGCAAGCCGTAGTGCGCGTCCGCAGGCCCCCAGGCCCCGGGGCAGCAAGGCCGTCGGGTGACGCGGGGGCTACCGCGGCGAGGCGGTATCCATCGGCGGCGGGGGCGGCGGCGGCCAAGGCAGTCATCCCCGCGAGCCCGCCGCCAGCTGCGCGGGCGCACGCCGCGCCGCCAGCGGCTGCTGGGGCGGGGGCGGCGGCGGCTGCAGCAGAGCCGCCGATCGCCGCGGGCACGCCTGCGGCGGGGCCGCCTCCCAGAGGCGCGCTGCCTGCAGCCGCTGGGGGAGCGGGCAGGCCACCGCGCCCAGCGGCACCCGGAGGAGGGGCAACAGCAGGAAGACCCTCGCCCAGGCCGCGCCCGAGCTCCGCCGTCTTCGCAGCTCGGAGCGCGAAGGCTCGGGCCAGCTGGGCGACCATTGGCGTGGCGGCGAAGTCGTACCGTCGCAGCCCAGGGGGGGCATCCAACGGGGTTGCGCCAGGGCCCCCCTCCTTCCGCCAGTTGCGGATGTCCGTGTTCCCCGCGACACGATCCTCGACGTAGACCTCGAAGTCGGATGTGAGCACCGCGCGGTGCTCATGCCCTCGGGATGAAAGCGCCACGACGATGCGCTTGGGCGCGAGCCGCGCCACAGGCTCGTCGCACCAATGCAAAATCTCATCGCTGACCGAGATCACGTGCCGCGGCCCAGCCCGCCAAATCTGCCGCCCGCGCTGGTCAGGCGAATCCGCCCGCATAGGGTGCTGCACGTTCACGTGGAGGTCGCCGTCCAGCGCGGGCTGCCAAACGCGGCCCCGACAAGAGAGTCGGGCGGCCGCCGCGGCGAGCGAGAGCCCCCCGCGCAGGAGCTCGGAGGCCAGCAGCACCCCGACGTACACCGTCGCCTCCCACGCTGGGGAAGGCCGCGGCCCGCAATCCTCGTCGCAGACAGGGCACTGGTGGCAGGGCGAAGGGCACGCGCGCGCGGCCTCCCTCGCGTCCCAGGCGGCCTCCAGGCAGTCAGCCAGCGGCACCTGGATCCCAGCGGCCACGCCCGGCGCTGGGAGCGGGCTCGCCTCCTCAGGCGGGGGGGCCGCCGCTGCGGCGGGCGCGACGGGAGCCGCGGGCACGGCGGGCACCAGCCACCAGCGCGCCAGGTACAGGAGAATGGCGTTGCCTGCAAGCGGGAGGCCGAAAACGGAGCCAAGGTGCATCCGGGTGGAGGCCGATCCCTCCAGAAAAAGACTTGAGCCGACGCGGTCGCGGCGATGATGCGTGACCGCGACGGCCTTCGGTTCCACTGGAGATGAGATGTGCAAACGCGGCCATCATCATCATCATCATCATCATCATCATCATCATCATCATCATCATCATCATCATCAGCAGCAGCAGCAGCAGCAGCAGCAGCAGCAGCATCAGCAGAATCATCAGCAGCATCATCACGACCACGATCATCGACGTCGTCGTAGCCACCATCATCATCGTCATCATCATCAGCATCGTCATCATCATGCCCATCAACATCATCATGATCAGCACAATCACCATCATCATCAGCAGCAGCATTAACATCATCATCAGCATCATCACCATCAGAATCATCATAAAAATCAGCATCATCATCATCATCACCATCGTCAGCATCATCACCACCATCATCACCATCGCCATCACCATCATCAGCATCATCCTCATCATCATCATCAGCAGCAACATCAGCATCGCCATCATCATCCATCATCAGCATCATCACAAACAACATCAGCATCACATCATAATCATCGGCGACATCATCACCATCGCCGCCATTATGATCGAAAGCACACCCCTCGCATCTTTCGTGGCCACATCGGGAGCTCCATCGAAGACCCCAGTGGCGCAGCCCGCATGCGTCCCAGCCACCGATTTCTGCACATCCCTCACACGCGTCGTGGCCCCATAGGGAGCTCCACCGAAGACCCCAGTGGCGCAGCCCACATGCGTCCCAACCACCCATTTCGGCACATCCCTTACACGTTCCGTGGCCCCTTGAAGAGCTCCACTTCAGGCCACAGTGGCGCAACGCAGCCCGCATGCGTCCCAGTCACCAATTCTGGCACACCCCTTACACGCTTCCGTGGTCCCAAATGGAGCTCCACCGAAGGCCCCAGCCAGTTTGGGCGCCCGAGTTATCCGGGGTAACTCGGGTCCGGGGTAACTCGGGCTTGGATTCCCGAAAAAGGAACCCGAGTTATCCCTGACCCGAGTTACCCCTGATGATTCGGGGCTCTGGACGCCCGAGTTATCCGGGGTAACTCGGGTCCGGGGTAACTCGGGTTTGGATTCCCGAAAAACGAACCCGAGTTATCCCTGACCCGAGTTACCCCTGATGATTCGGGGCTCTGACCAGTGGCGCAGCCCGCATGCGTCCCAGCCGCAACAAGTCGGCACATCCCTCGCACGTTCCGTGGCCCCACAGGGAGCTCCACCAAAGGCCACAATGGCGCAGCCCGCATGCGTCCCAGCCATTCATATCGGCAAACCCTTCGCACGCTTCGTTGCCGCATAGAGAGCTCCACCGAAGGCCCCAATGGCGCAGCCCGCACGCGTCCCAGCCGCAAAAATCCGGCGAACCCCTCACACGCTTCGTGGCCCCATAGGGAGCTCCACCGAAGGCTTCACTGGCGCAGCCCGCATGCATCCCAGCCGCCCCTCACACGTGGCGTGCCCCCATGGGGAGCTCCACCGAAGACCCCCATGGTGCAGCCCGCATGCGCCACGGCCATCAATTCCGGCACACCCCTCGCACGTTGCGAGGCCCAATAGGTAGCAACACCAGAGGCCCCAGTGGCGCAGCCAGCATGCGTCCCAGCCGCAAATTTCAGCACACCCCTGTGGCGCAGTCCGCATACTTCCCCGCAACCTATTTCGACACATGCCCCGCGCCGGCATGGTGGCCCCGCGCCACCCTTCACGCGCTTCGTGGCCCCAGAAGGAGATCCACTGAGGGTGACACTCATAACGGCGGTAATCACAACTGCGTATGATTGGTTCCTTCGCCAGGCTAATCCATTTTCGTGTTTGTTTTCGTTGTCCCTTTTTCTGTCTTCACACCGCCTGTGCTGCAAAACGAAATCAGAAAGACAACGGCCCACGACATCGCCGACGCATTGCTTCGCACGCGCCCTCTTTCTGGCCGGATGGAGGATCGGGCGCGTCCCAGGGGGGGGTGCATCCAAGAGGAGGGACGCAAATCATGGCTGGCGGTTGAGTCTGTCGCGGGCGGCAGGTCTGGAGGTGGGCCTGGACGTCGCGACGGATGACCATGTGTACTCTATCCGGCGCTTGAACCGAGAACTCCGTCTTAGTGAAAGGACTAGGCCGTCAACTCTGTCTTACTGAAAGGGTTTGGCCGAGAACACTGTCTTTGTGAAAGAATTTGGCTGTCAACTCTCCGACTTGACGAACCCGTCCGAATTGACGAGCCCCCCTTGACGTCGTCTTTCCGAGTCGACGAGCGCCCTTGACGGCCTTCCTCCAAGTTGACGAACCCCCTTGACGGCCTCCCTATGTCGGGGGCGCGCAAACATGGAGTAGCGATTCACCTCCCCAAAATGCGGCTGGTGCCGCCTCGTTCGGCGGAGGGAATCCCCGATTCCCCATGAAAACGGGGCCCGTTGCTTGTCCACGCCCCCTTAATCCATGTGTGCGATCGCCTCCCTCTGGGGTGACGAACCCCCGTGACGGTCTCTCCCTGGGTTGACGAACCCCCTTAACGGCCCCCCTCGCCGCACCCTCCGCCTTCACGAGCACAGCGTCGGGACCGAGCTGTTGGAACAAAAACGAACTCGGTCTTGACGAACACAGTGTCGGCGCCGAGTTGTCGGCTCATCTCGTCTTGACGAACGAAGTGTTGGAGCTGAATTGACGAATTCTTTCGTCTTGTCGAACGTCGTCTCGGGGTCGAGTTGACGTCTGAAATGTCTGGGCCGAATTGGCTACCGATGTGGGATCTTCTCCAGACAGGCGCCGTCTCAGCCACTGGGCTGGACTCAAACTGGCGGCATGTGCCAGGAGAGAGGCCGGGAACGCATTGAAATAAGAGGAGGCGCCATGAGATCTGGGGAGATATCATGATATCCCCCCTAGTCATCACCCCCCTTTTTGTCCGCCCCCTAAGGACAGGGGCCTTGGAAGAGTTGCAGATGTCCGGGATGAAATTCTCCCACGCGTGTGGCCACTCCTGCGCCGGGGAGCCCTTCCCAGCGGGCGCGGGCACGGCGAGTCAGATGGCATCTCCGACGCAGCTGGGCTGCACCCCAGCCCCAATGAGGGGGGAGGAGGAAGGAAGGAGAGGTGTCGGCGGCGAGCGAGGGGGGAAGTGAGAAGGAAAATGCCATCTCAGAAGGCGGCGGGACTTGTCAGAAGCCATCGCGCCTGCTGAGAGGTTTTCTGTGTCTTCCAGGGAAGCTTAGAAAACTTCTCCTGGGGAATTTCCGAACCTTCTGAGGAGACCCGCCCCCGCTCACTTACCCCCAGGGCTCGCCGCAGACCAGAGAGAGGGAGGAACAGAGAAGGAGAAGGCATCGGACATCGGACTTGCACACATGCAACGTCCGTGTCCATATTCGTTGGCATCAGATCGATACCCGATCGTCGACTTGCAGACGTCCTTGGCTCTCTTAGTAGAGAGCCGAATGCAATCCACGCGTATCTCAAAACCGTCTTTGTCTTGAGGCTGCGTCTCCGAGTCGATGTCTTGATGATCTCGGCGCCAGCGTAAGCGCGCCAGTTTTTGAACAACAAATATCAGAGGTGAGGGGGTGAGATCGAAGTGGAACGGAGAGCCCCCCTACCGGGAAATCGATTTCGGTTTCGTGTTCGTGCGTGCCGTGCGTGCGGGCGAGGCGAAGCTGCGTGGGCGGGCGAGAGGAAAAGCTCCTGTGGCTGAGGCGCGGCCGGACCAAATGATTCTCCCCCGGGCGGCCGGTGGCGCGCGGTGTCCCGCCGGTGTCCCGCTGGTGTCCCGTGTGGCTGAGGCGCGGCCGGACCAAATGTCTCCCTTCCGGGCGGCCGGTGGCCCGCGGTGTCCCGCCGGTGGCCCGCGGTGTCCCGCGGTGTCCCGCGGTGCCCCGCGGTGTCCCGCCGGTGTCCCGCGGTGTCCCGCGATGATGATGATGATGATGATGATGATGATGATGATGATGATGATGATGCTGATGCTGATGCTGATGCTGATGCTGATGCTGATGATGATGTTGATGATGAGATGATGATGATGATGATGATGATGATGATGATGATGATGATGGTGATGCTGCTGATGATGCTGCTGATGATGCTGATGCTGATGTTGATGCTGATGATGATGATGATGATGATGATGGTGGTGATGCTGATGATGATGCTGATGCTGATGATGATGAGGACGATTATGATGATGATGATGATGATGATGATGATGATGATGATGATGATGATGATGATGATGATGATGATGCTGATGACGATGATGATGATGATGATGATGATGATGATGATGATCGAGTGTGAGATAGATCGAGTGAGATCGAGTGAGATCGATTGTGAGATCGATTGTGAGATCAATCGAGGGAGATCGATCGAGCGAGACCGATACTGAGATCGATAGTGAGATCGATAGTGAGACCGATCGAGTGAGACGTTGGTTCCTCCCCCCCGAACCTCCTTATCACCCGAAGGGTGGTCGTATAGGTACATAAGAGGACGACCATCATCATAGCCCAACGTGTCTCCACGAACAGCTTGAAAAAACAGTTGGGCCGAAGGACGGGGAGGAAGAGGACAAGAGATGCTGCGAGGCTGCGAGGCTGTGCCGGGCCAGGAGAGGTTATGGAGGGTGCCGGGCGTTTCTGAGGGAGTCCGACATCAGGTCCAGGTCAAGGCCGTTGGGGGTCTCAATCTCAAGCGCAGAAAGCTTGAAACACTTCGCTTGCCGCTGGGCGACTTGCGGGGACCCAGGAGGAGGGAGGAGGGAGGAGGGAGGGAGGAGGGAGGAGGGAGAAGGGAGGAGGGCGGAGGAAGGAGGGAGGAGAGAGGAGGGAGGAGGGAAGAGTGAGGAGGGAGGAGGGATGAGGAGGCGGAAGAGGAGGAGTCCTCCTAGATAGTTGGCAGTCCTGGGGGCGTGCCTGCGTCGCCCGAGTGCCTGGTGGACTCCAGGAGCTGGGTAGACCCTGCCAGCAAAGAGACCCTGCCAATCCACCCCCAGAATAACCACCCCGACACGCGAAGTCGTTTAGTAACAGGGGCCAAAGAAGGAATCGAACAGGGCAAGTTTGTTTCGTAAACACCCAGGGCCGTTTAGTGAACGCCAATTGTCTGGTCCGGGGGGGTCCTCCCTTGAGAGTAGCGGAGGCGGGGAGGTCGCCACTGCTGCTGTCGCGCAGCGCACGCCTCCCTCGAAAAGGCCAGACAACTGCAGCCAAACGCCATGCCCACCACACACACACACACACACACACACACGCCTCCAGATCCGACGCGCCCAACGAGCGCCGTCGCGTGCCTGCTTCCTGTTGTTCTTTCTTCTCTTTGGTGAAGGGTCATGGTGTTAATTTTCTGAGCACTGCTTTCGCATGGCATGACACGGCGTGCATGTTCCAATCTGTTCGGTGCGTACAGACGCTCGCGCCTGCCAGCCCTCGTTCGTACGATCTTGCCGTCAAAAACCAAGTCACTGATCAGTGCACCTCTTTCACGTGCAATTGGCAATATCTTCGTTGGTCGTGCCGCTGTGTCCTCCTTCTCCATGATATATGCGTATTCAACGGTCCGCAGATGATTTCTGATCATGTGACAAGGAACATTGTATCGACGAAGACTCCATCGGCATAACTTTCCGAAACATATATTTCGTCATGCGAGTGTTGCTCGCTTTTTGGAGAATGTGGTCAATGTCAACACACTGGTCTGCCTAAGTGCATCTATTGTCTGTGCCCTCCTCCAATTTTCGAATAAGTACAACCATATGCGTCTGTGTCCTTCGATTACGGTGTCCTAGATGGGGTCCAAATAGATGGAGTCGAAGGATCGCGCCGCATTGCCAACACATCGCCGATGCATCGTGGATGCATCGGCGATGCGGCGCGACACTCCGACCCCATCTACTCGGACACCATCTATAAGGCCTAGAGTCCCCACTGACAGAAATTTGGGCATACGGCTTTAGCCATGGATGATTGCAGCAGATGCCCTCTTCGGCTTTCAGAGGGGCACAGCCTTGCAGGGCGATCTTTTCGCTCGTGGCCTCCCTCGCTCGCCCTTTCTCAGAGTAAGCAAGTTGTGCGCTGCCCCGCTGGGAAGTAGCACAATCATTGCGAATCCACGTGCCCACACAAGCGGCACAATCTGCGTATAAAATTGGATGAAGTGCGCGAGCGGCCTGCACAACCAATGCCATGCCTGGCTCACCCAACTCCGCGTGCACCGCGTCTGATGAAGCTGTCCAACAACCTCAACATATTTAGCTTGGCTCCCTGATTTTCCGCTCATATGTGCGACGCAGATTGTCTCTACGTCGCGCGCATTGTTGCTCTTCAAGGTCGCGCTGTCGAATCGAGATGCGGCACAAGAAGAAAACATGGCGGCAACCATCGCGGCGACAACAATACGGTACGCAGAATGAGCCGTGTGCGCCGAGGCCCTCCCGACCCCCCCTGGCCCCAGAAACGAACTGGTGAGGGCCTGGGTGCGACTACCTGGGGGCAGCTCTGAGCAGTGTAAGGGGAGTGAAGAGGAGAACACGTCTTCCTTTTCCGCCTCCTTCTCAGCCGCGGCTTCGCCGTCCTCCTCCCCGGTGAGGAGGGAGGATGAACGAGTATGCTGTGCGGCCTCCGTCTCGTCGTCCTCGTCCTTTTCCTCGACCTCTCCCACATGCACCTTGTCGTCCTGCTCCTCCTCGGCGCCCTCCGCCTGCTCCTCCTTGAATCCTGCTCCGCTCCCAACTTCTCCTCCTCGTGTTCCCCCTCCCCCTCCTCCTCCTCGCGAGGCCAAGGAGGTCCTCATCCTCCCTGCCCCCATGTTTTTCTCCTCCCCCCTATCCTCCTCGTCTTCGTCCTCGTCCTCGTCCTCTCCTCCTTCTCCTCCTCATCGTCATCCCTCCCCTCCCCCCTCCCTCCCTCCATCCATCCCCTCCCTCCCGCTGCCACACCTCCTCCTCCTGCTCCTGCTCCTGCTCCTGCTCCTCCTCCTCCCCCTCTCTGTCCGCTGCCTCCACTCTTATTGTCCTCCTCCTCCGCCTCCTCCTCCTCCTCACCTTCGCCATCCTACTCCTCGTCCTCTCCCATCATCCTTCTGCTCCTGCTCCTCATCCTCGTCCTAGTTCGTTTGTTTGTTGTTGTGTGCTCTCTCTCTCTCTCTCTCCCTCTCTCTCTTTCTCCCTTTTTGCCTCCCCCAGGAAGGCCCCGATGATGAACATTACCAGCTTCCCAACTGATGGGAAGGGGACTCCACCATGCTCATACGGGCCAGGGTGAAGAGGGACAGAGGGAGGAAGCGAGAGGGGAGAACTACGTCAGCATGTCCAGATATCACGCCCAGGGCGGGATGGCCCGAAACTGAACATCACATACATTCGCCGTGGTATTAACAGGAACCATCAAGCCGCACTACCACCTATCGGCAGACCAACACTGGCTGGCCAAAAAAACTACGAACACACACGATTGGTTGCGTAAGTCGGAAGAGACGTGAGACAGCGGCAGAGAGGCCATGCTCGAACGGCCTCTCGGCATCCCGCCCAGAACGGGCACGGCAAGGCAAGACAGTACAACGCCTCTCTCTCTCTCTCTTTCCCTCTCTGTATGTGTCCATTCCGTGTCCCTTTCCCTTGCGATTCATGTCATGTTCCTCTCCATGGTCCTCTTCATCATCCTTCTTCAACCTCCTCTTCCCCTTCTCCTCCTTCTGCGCCTCTTCTGTTCACCCTCCTTCACTACATCAATTCTCCTTCTAGATCCACCTCAGCATGATCCCCTCCCTATCAACCTGACGCCGCTCCTCCTCCTCCTCCTCCTCCTCATCATCATCATCACCATCACCATCACCATCACCATCACCATCACCATCACCATCACCATCACCATCACCATCACCATCACCATCACCATCACCATCATCATCATCATCATCATCATCATCATCATCATCATCATCATCATCATCAGAATCATCATACTCATCATAATCATCATCATCATCATCATCATCATCATCATCATCATCATCATCATCATCATCATCATCATCGTTGTGTCCACTTACAGTGTGTCGCTGGTTGTTATATGTTTGTCTTATCTGCTTTCTGTTATGTTTCTTGTTGTTGTTGTTCCCCCCTCCTCCCCCAACCCCCTCCTCCCCCTCCGTTTCCTTTTGTTGCGCCTCCTGGTCGGCGACCCCCACCGCGCACGCAAGACGGGGACGGGGGGCGGGCGGGCGGGCGCGCCACACCTGCCAAGCGTGCTGCGCACTGCGCACGCCAAACAAACCGCAGCGAGAAGAGAGAGGCACGAGCGCGCTCCGATCTTCGGCGGCGAGCGCGGCGCAGGCGGCGCCAGGGAGGCGCGGGAGGCGGGGGACAAGAGGCCGGGGGGGAGGGGAGGGAAGAGGAGGGGGACGGGAGGCACAGGGGGAGAGGAAGGGGGGGACTGGGGGACTGGGGGAAGGGAGGGGAATGGGGAGAAGGGACAGGAGGCGGGGGAGAAGGGAGGGGGAAAAGGATGGGGGGAGGGGGAAATGAGGATGGAGCCAGCAGCCAGGCGAAGCCGAGGGGAGGAGGGGCAGGCAAGAGGGGGAGCAGGATAGGGAGGTCGGTCGGTCGGTCGGATCGGGCATTGACGCGGTCCTCGTGCCGTGGACAAGGAGGGGGGGAGGGAGGGGAAGGCGCAATAGGAAAGAGGAGGAGGTGGAGGAGAACGAGGGCGAAGGGAGAGGACAAGGGAAGAAGAGAGCGTGGTGCACCACGCGCGACGGCGAATAGATGAGGGGGGCTGCGATGGCACAGCAGTCCGGGAGGTTTTAGAAGGACGACGCCTCCTTTTCTTCGAGGAGGAGGACGAGGATGACGAGGACCCACCTCCCTGCAGGGCTCAGCCGCGGGGAGGTGGCAGGACAGGTCTGCATGGCCACATGATCACCATGACCGCCATGAGCAGCAGCAGCAGGACGGCGAGGAGCGAGTCTCGCTGGGCAGCCGGTGGGGCACTTCCCTGCTCCCTCCTCAGTCTCCAGGTGCCTCGAAGGGATCAGAGAGTGCAGATCACGTCCAGAATGCTCCTCCTCCTCCCAGACTCCCATCCTCCTCCTCCTCCTCCTCCTCCTCGATACTCGATCTGTTTCATCTTCCTCCTTCTTGATTCCCCTCCCCGCCCCGTCCGGGCTCCTGCTTCACGATGTGTACCAGCGTCTCGTTGAGCTTGGTCAAGAAATGCTTCTGGGTCGCGGCGTGGTGCTCGTCAGACGAGATCTTGATGACCAATTGCACGACGTACTGTTTTATGCCGGCCTGCTCTCGGGCTTGGGAAGGATAGGGGAGACGTAGAGTGGGAGGGAGGCGGAATGGAGAGAGGGAGGTCAAATGGAGAAGGGAGACCATCGAGGGTACAGAAGGGAGAGGGGAGAATCACGGAGCGCGGCCAGAGGACAGGGCGGGGAGGGCTGGGTGTGTTTCTGTCCTGGTTGGTGTTCTCTGTCGCATCGGGTGTTTCTGAGTCCACGTTCGTTGGCTGTTTGTGTTTGTGGGTGTTTCTGCGTCTGGCCAATTATGTCCAATTGCGAGACGACGTGCATGTTATATTGGATTTCAAATGGTAGTCATACTAGATGGGCCAGCTGGGATTTGGGCGAGCTGGGCCATTTGGGATTGTCTATGTCCGCCATCATGCGCGCGTGCGCCATCATGTATACATACCTGACGCGCGCATCCCACCGACATGGCGAGGGACGTGTCTGGAGGCAGCGGCGCCTTATGCAATACTGCAAGACTCCGCCACGGTACAGCAACAATATCGTACGACATGCCACCGTATGCACTTCGCCTGCAAGCGACCTCGTTCCCTCCAATGATCGCGTGTCGCACGACCAATCCGCAAACCCCCGCTTGCCGTAGGTAGAAAGGCGCGTGGGACATTAGGCTGTCTCCCTCCCCCTTTCCCCCTCCCAACGTCTCCAAAATCGGATTAGAGGGGGGGAGCCAAAGGAGGGGGGTAGGCGAGCTCTTCAAGGTACCCCCCAGGCTTCCGGAAAAAGCCTCAAGACGGCCAGAGAGCGCTCAAACAGAATGCCACAACCCAAGAGAGCGTTAAGACCGCCTAGGGTCGCCCCAAGACGGGCCAAGAGGACGCGCCTCCGAAAGATGGTCCAAGAATGCTCCCAGAGGACCAGAGAGGGCCCCAAGAGGCAAAGTCGTCCCACTCCCTTGCGAAAACGTGCATGTTTAGCACATTCATGCTGTTCGCCTTGGCAGCGTCCAAGGCAGCCGCAGGGTCCCCCAAGATCACCGCGGGCCGTGGGTCGACTGGCCCGCGGGAGCCCGCAGACGGGGTCCAGGGCCCCCGCCCTGCAGCAAGGCGCCTGGCCTCGCTCTTGACTCGCGCCGCCCGGATGTCTGCCCACTCGTTCGCTCCCTCGTCTCTGTAGGGTGCATGCTCTCATGGTTTCGGGATCCGTGGACCTGGCGCGTGGGCGCCAAATCCATGGATCTGGGGAAACGAACAAGTACCGATACCGTTACTCCCCGGTCCTCTCCTGGGGTGCGTTCTGACCAGGATTGCGAGGCGAATCCAGCGGTGGCGACGAGGGCCTCCCAGGGGGGGCCCAAAAAGGGGAAGACGAGGGAAGGGTCGTAGTTTCGGTACTCTCTCCTCCTCACAAGCGCACCCCGCACAACACGAAGACAATGCCGCCTCCCTTGGCGACGGGGCGGCGCCGATTCACCGCGGAAGCGGTGCCCGTCGCTAATCCACGCTCCTCAATCGCGATTGCGCCGCCTCGCCTCCGCGCTTCTCGCTCGTTGGTGCCCTCCCCTTTCCACTAGAGGGGCCCAGGGGCACAAAAAAAATACACACAAATCCCAGGATTCTCATTATTAGTTCATATGTTATGTTGTTTTGTTTTCCCCCCTACTTCCCATATTTTCTAATATTTTCCCGGGAATCGACGATTGATTGTGTCTGTGTGTTCCCTTCCCTCTTGATCCCCCCTCAACGCTCGTTCGATGCCTCGCTTCGGCGGCTCGTGGCTGCCCGCCCCCCCCGGCGGCGGCCGACCGCCCGCGAGGCCTTCTGCTGCTCCGGGAGGACCTGCCATCGGGTGGAGATCACGTTCTCCAGCACCTGATTAGACGGGCGCGTTCCGCTGCTCGCAGAGTAACTACTCGCAAATGACCTGGATCCTTGCGAGTAGTGGAAGGCGCTTGGTGACTGATGGTGCTGCGACCGCGCTGCTCCCGGTCCTCTACTCTGAAGACGAAGCCAGGACGAGGGCACATCCGGGTAAGGATACGTTGAGAATTTCTGAGATCCGCCGGCTCTAGACGCGGCGTTCCCAAAACGTTCTGGAACGCTCTGAGAGCGCTCGGGAACGCTCTGGAACGGATTTACCCTCGTCCTAGCCCCGTCCGATGGTCCCCAACTCTTCTCCTTTATCATGAGAAGCTCCTCTCTGTCGCGCCACCGCTCGTGTCCGTAGGCCCGTCTGGGCGTTTCGCCTAAGCCTCCTCGCAACTCATTACCCTGAAACTTGAAAGTTGCAGCAATTGTAAGCATGGATGGACCCCGGGTGGTTGTCAAAATGTGGCTATCGCCTCAGCGCCGCAAATATTCGGCTCAAAAGCTTGCAACACGTTTAAGGATTGAGATCGGGTGGTTTCAAAATGTGGCTCTCGGCTTAGCGCAGCACGGATTCGTCTTAAGCTCTTACAGCGGCTTCAAGGATGTATGCGGTCACGTTTTCAATATGTGGCCCTCGCCTTAGCGCCGCGCACATCCAGCCGAAGGAACCTTCACCATTCGATGCAAACCAGATCGGTGTGCATCCATCCAAAAATAAACTGCAAATCGAGACTCTCATCCATGATGTCGAGACGGCTGTCGGCACCGAGGGTTTCCCAGGTTCGAGAGATCAGCTGAAGCCCAGGTACGCGGTGTCGCACCCATGGATGTCGCCAGCCCACCCAGACCCTGGAGGAGAGAAGCTGCAATTCCTAGTCGAACAACTGAACCTTCTTGGTGCCCCTGACCACGACGCTGTATTTATCGACGACATGGGGCTTCCCCAGCACGACGCGCAGGATCCGGACTTGCAGCGGCTGGACGGCGAAAACAGGTGGCCCAAGCCCGGCGATCACAGGGCGGTCCGCACGGAGGCCGAGGAGCTCCTTTTCGAGAGGGCGCTCGGCTCGTTCGAGAAGCTTTACAGCGTTGCGGGCGTGCGCGTGATAGTGCTGCCCATGAGTGGCAGGTTGGCTGCAGGACAGGACTAAATGTCGCGGGGCTGGTGCTTTTTCGAGTTTTGCATCGCTTACAGTTTCGGCAACGTCGCCAATCGGGAGATGGACCCCGACGTCGAGAGGCTGTGCGGAATCGCGAGCGACCTGAAAACGAACACGGTGAAGGGGTTCTGCCAAGCATTTCAACGCACGCATTTCACGTGCAGTGGGGACGAGGCCGTGGTCCTTCGTTTATTCGAGCAGACTCTGGGAAAGAAGGCCGTTCAATGACGCAGTCAGTATCTCGGAGGTCAGCAGCTCTTTTAGCTCGGGCCATAGCATCCGGCGATAATTCTTTAGTCTCGTATAATTTAACTGCTTCGCTTATTCCGCTGGACTGTCTCGTATTATCGTTGGCAGTTGTTTGCGTGCTCACGGGGGCTGAGAAAGGTGGGTCGCGGTCGTTTCCTAAGCTGCCCCGTGAATCTCGTTTGGGGGAGAAGCGGTGGCATGGTTGTTGCAAGTTATCGCTCAACGGAACGCGCCCACGCCGAATCGTAGCGTTGCATGACATGACATGGCACGGAACAGCCCCCACATTGACCTCATTGAATTCATGGAACTTGGGAGGGGGAGGGCGGGAGGGGTTGTTTTGGTGCCTTCTTTGCGTTCTGCTGCCCTTTCAGGCTCCCTCCAAGTAGTTTCTGACCACTCTGTAGGTCCCGGCGGGCGCAACCGATTCTCGGTCGGCCCACTTGCCATGGCAGGCGGCGGGGAACAGCAACGTTCTAGGGGAGGTTTTCGTGACGATGTTCGTTATGAGGGTCCACGGGAACGTCGTAGCAGAAGCCGTAGCCACCATAGGGCACGGACGCAGGACACGGGCACGAGCCACCATAGGGCTCGGGACATGGAGCGGACCCCTGCCCATCATAGGGCCAGCGGCCGCTCCAGGAGCCACCATAGGGTTCCTGAAGGCCCGTTGTGTCCGCAATGCAGTATCCGTGGTCACCTTGCTCGTGATTGTCCGTCGGCGGCGAGTCCAGCAACCACACCAAAATCGTCCTCCGCAGCGCACTTGCCGCTCCTCTTCACGCCGAAGCAGCATCAGCGCCGTGATCTCCCGCAACCACCACCTCGCCCACACCCAGGCGTCACGCAGTTAAGATGCTGAAAAAAAACAACTTTGGGCTCGGGAGTGGTTGTGGTTTTTGGGCCGCTCCTTTTTTGGGGGCTTCGTCGGGATTGTGCACCCCACGGGAAGGGAGTGGGGGGGAACGGGAAACTTCATTGCCTTCAATTCAAATCCCCACGAACCTCGGGCAGTACGTGCGGCCCGGGGGGGGGCGGACCGCTCACCCATCCCACCACCATACGGGGGATGTGAAGACCCTGTGAGCGGGACGGGGTGGGCACAGGGGGGCCACCAAATGGCATCCCGCACCCAAGTCGTGGCCGTCATGGGCCTCTTCTTGGGATGAGGCACCAATCGGCCTCTCGGATGGGCACCATACGCCCGTCCACAACCAAAGGAAGCGCACCATTTGCCTTCCGCATTTCTTTGGCAATTGATTGCAACACTCATGGACCTTTTTCATTTGATACTTCAACCTCTCTCCAGACCCCATCATCCAATGAACAAAACGATATTTGGTCGAATATCCATACGACCAAGCCCTTACCACTCCACGCGAAATACAGATTCGGTGCACATTCATGCGAGCCACCCCCCACAATCCGATGCAACAGATACTATGCACTAAGTATGCGGTGTGCGTCCACACGATCCAGCCTTCATCATCCGATGTAGATCATTCGATTCGGTGCACATCCACCCGACCCAACCCTCACCATCCGATGTAACAAAGACAATCCGGTGCGCGTCCATCTGGCGCGTCAATATGTTCCATCTGACGTGGAACAAAACAATACATGTATAGCAAATGCAAAATGGATCGATACTTTTCGGGCACCCCTCGCTGACTCCGATTTGGGACCCAAGAGCTCCCCAGGCTGTCCCAGGCGCTCCCGGACGCTCCCAAACGCTAGCATCCCAAGCGCTCCCAGGCTCGCCGTCGCCACCAGCAGCCCTCATCTTCATCGTCGCCGCAAGAGAACTCAAGGGGCAGATGGATTCATATCGTATTGACGCGTGGATCACAAACGGT